GACATAATAAAATCTTGAAAATATATACCGATATTAATATCAAATTAAATTATTTAAACTTTCTCGTTTTTTTTTACAATTTCTTTAATTCAATTTTTTATTATAATTTAATTTAGATTAAATAGTGAAATAATTTATTTTTTCCTTAGCAATAAATAATGTTTTTAACAGTTGTTCATGCATAAATAATGTTTTTAATAGTTTTTATCAAATATCTTATAATATAGTATAGATATGATTTTATAAATATCTAGATTATTTTATAATCTAAAATATTAATGATATTAAATAAACTTTAATCATCTTTTAAAAATATGTAGATTATAATAAATAAACTTTTATTATTTTCATAAATTACTTATTTTTGTAACAGTAAATTCTCATGTCAACAACACCAACTATACGAGACTGTTTGGTAGTTGTTGAATGTTTTGGTGCAGAATGATTAAGAGGCTCTCATGATATAGTGCAAAATAAAATATTATTGTTTGGTAATTGTTTACAATGAATTAGGCGCTTATTGGATAAGGGAAACTCATAATACAAAATCATTTAGAGGGTTTTAGAACAATTAATAGACATATTTTTTGTTTGCCAAACATGATTTATCTCTTAATGATTCAAAAATTGTCTTTTAATTGAACTATTAAGAGGTAAACAAAGGATCCCTACGTTGTCATTTTTTTTATTTAAAAAGTAAATTGTATTCGCAAAAATGGTAAAGAAAAATCAATAGTTGAATTTCTCTTTTATACATAAAATAAATTAATATTTATAAAGTTTATTGTTTTCTGAAAGAGCAATGCCGTGTTTCATATATTCACGACTTCATTTGGGAAACTTGCTTTTTTATTAAAATTAAAAAATATTATTAATTTTTTATGTAATTAATAAAATTTATTATATTCTTTATGTAATTGAAAAACATATTATTTATAATATATTATAAAACATTTGAAAAAAAACTCCTAAAAATAAATTTTTATGCATAAAGTATTGTTTATTGATGCATATTACTTAAAATTCAAGATCACAAATAAACTATACGTAAGTATGACTTATTAAGATTTCATGTTTGAATTTGCTGCAGATAAACATTTCATTTTAACTATAAAAAATCTAAAATATAATTGGGATAAAATTGTTGAGTTCTATCAGAATACTTAATTATTATCCTTATAAAAAATTATAGTATCAAATCAAAAATAAATTATTTTGGTATTAATTCTAAATTAAATTATAATAAGAATTGCATTAAAGAAACTACACAAAAATAAAAACTTTTAAATAGTTAATTTGATACCAATATCGATATATTTATTTTCGAAGTTTTATAATATCTTCAAACTGATACTTTATTAAAAAATAAATCATATACCCGTATTATAACATCTACAGATACAAATTAAAACGAAACATTAAAATCGAGATATATCATGCTGTATTGCGCGAGTACCCTTCTAATAACTATATAAAAAATGAAAACTTTTATTGCTTGAAATGTTTTGTCGTATATGTCAAATTAGCTGCTAAAAATAGATTTTTCAGAATAAAAATCGATACAAAATACATTGCAATTCCCGGTTAGAAGTAAGATGAAGATGAAAATACATTCATAACTTCCTATGTAAAAGTTTGTTGGGTGTTCTCTATTTTTTATATTGTTAAATATATTAAATGTATTGAGTTCACTAGACGTTAGTCTAACACTTCTTCTTAAATGCTATATATATCCTCTATAAAAATGGTTCATGTTTTGGGAGTTGGAAGAATTTGTTAGCAAAAACTATTTATCTTCTATATTTTTTTGCATTAATTTGATCGATTCAGATTTCAGACTTCAAACGTAAAAAACGAACAGTCTTACTAATCCGGATTTCAGACTTCAGCAACATACCTTATAAATCAGAAGTGAAATCAAACTTCAGACTTTAACAACTCATAAAAAACAAAGACCACATACACGTTTCAACCAATAAGGTTAAACACGTTTTAAGATATATTAGATATAAATTTATAAAATATTTTAATAATGTAATTAATTATTAAAATAAATAATATTAAAGTACAAACAACCTCATATTTAACAGACATCAACCAACCGTTTATTTAATTATTTATGGAATTAAAAAAGAAATCAAAAAAAGAAAAAAAAATGATATTGAAGCACTAAAATGGAATAGAAATTGATGCAATTGTAATTGTGCATAGAAATTTGTAAATGTGTTAAATGCTTTAATAAATGCTTGCATTAATCTAAATTTCAGTTCCTAATACCATATGAATTCAATATTCCACTTTATCATTTTGGGATTAGAGGTCTCTTTTTTTATAAATCCAATATTTGGATGTACAATTAATTCCTATTTAGGGGTCGTTTACCAAACACTTAATCGGTAAGTTCTTACCGATAAACTTAACACTATCATTTACTTATCGGATGAGATTTTAGTACACTAAAACGATATCGTATGCAACAATTTACCCGGTAGACGATTACCGTGGTAAGAGTTGTCGCCCTCATTTACCGGGTAAGACTATTTGTCCTTGTTTCGCTCTTACCGAGTAAGATTCTTGATCCTTACCATATTTATCCAGTAAGGTAATATGACTTGGTGTTCACTTACCCGAGTAAGCGTTTGATAAACAGCCCTTTTGAAACGTAATCCAACTTATTACCAACCAAAAACGGTACACGAAAGAAGTACACCATACGAAACAAAAAAGCACGTCCACAGACAGTTTGCGAGAAGAAAACCAACAAGAAGTGACCAGAACAAACAAACGCAAACCTCATCGGAACAACCCCTGCACAGGCAATCGACAGACTTGACAGACCCTATTGGATGCCGTCACACAAAGTAAACAACGACCAACTGATTAATGCCCTGCCTCCACTGGATCTGTGATCCACGTTGCCTAGTCCAACTTTTTGCCTCGTGACCTACTTGCGATCCATTTGAAGCACATGCGTTGCATTTCGAACACCATCTTGTGAGACTTGGTCCTCTAATTAATATATTTATAAAATTAATTCTTTTTGTTTCCGATTTTACTCTTGACACCATTAATCTTCTAAAAAAAAAACATGGATTTTATTATAATTACAATAATTGCCATTTTTTTTTTCAACCGTTGATTAAATTATAAGTGGATGGTTGATATATATTCTCTTGTTTTCTTATTTGAATGTTATTCTCGTTTGAACCTCCCAACTCTCTATATATATCATCTCCTCTATAACATACACATACACACATTCACAATCAACTATGTAGACATTTTTTTGATTAACCTGGATATCCAACCCGCTATGCGAGCTGACTAATTCCAGGGTGATCACATGCTTTACAGATAGCCCAGAGTCACTGCATTTGAACCTCCGTGGCCACAAGGTGGTTTTTTTTCCTCATTGGATTTGAACCTAGGACCTTCTGGTACTTTTAACCTTTGGAGCCAAACTCAAACCAATCAGGCACCACCCTTGTGGTTAACTATGTAGACATTGTGAACACAATGAAAACAACATTAAGAAATGTTGTAGTAGGGTGTTCATAAGTGGTATGCTCAGGGGCCGTTTATCAAGCACTTACTCGGTAAGTGGTTACTGGTAAAATTTAACATTATCCTTTACTTACCGCGTAAGATTTTAGTCCATCAAAACGGCATTGTATGCAACAATTTACCCAACAAATGTTTATCATGGTAAGAGTCATCGTCCTCACATACATAAAAAGACTTTTGGTACTTGTCTCACTCTTACCAGTAAAATTTTTGGCCCTTACCATATTCATCCTGTATGGTAATGTGACCAGGTAAACACTTACTTAGTTAACCGTTTAGTATTTGCAAGTTAAAAGTTAATGAAGGGACTATTTATGTAATTAACGAATAAGAGGCCACATTTAACCCATGCTTTTCGTACGTTGATCATAGATTCTAGAATATGATGGACAAATCAAGAGATCCATGCGCTCCTAATTTGTTCATGGTTCTCTATATAAATTCCTTCTCAAACTTTTGTTTTTCTCTCTACCTTCAATTCCTTTTTGATGCATCATTTCAGGTAAGATGTTCATAAATTCATCGTCTTCTTAATTTCCTAATTCATCTGTTAATTTTGATTCGTTATACATGCGTCTGTGCATCATTTCATCGATCGAGTTTCGTAATTTTGTTCCTAGATTCTGCGGAAGAGATTGATTGTTGAGTTATCATCAAATTGTCATTGGAACGTGAGAGATTTTATGTATAGTATGGAATCTGTAATCAATTCTTATGTTTTTTGGATCGGTGTTTAATTGTTTTCGTGATCTAAATAAATACGATTTGTGTACGATGAAAATTAGGTAAATGCATGCCGATTATGAATTTGATTCGTGTATTGCGAGTTTCATGGTGTTTTTTTTTTTTTTTGTTTGTGATAAGCTGGATTTCTTCTTGTGCGAATGTATAGGTTTATGTTATTTTTGTAATATGTGATGCTTCAAATATCTTGGTGATTCGTAACTACACCCTCTGTTATTAGAAAAATCAACTTCTGATTTCAGAGATTCGAAACTTCTTCTATCAAATTTAAAAGGACTTGCAATTCTCAATACTTGTATGTAGGTAGATATTCATGAATCATGATTTCTTTTTCTTTCTGCACAAAGTAATTCATATGACATCTTGAATAAAGGATAACTCACATTATCATCAAATGTCAATTGACGACTTTGTCAAAGTTTGGTTTCACGATTTCTTTCAAATCAGAGAAGTTTAAAAAGTAACAATGGTGCAGAAGAATTGACAATGGTTATATACAATGATATGCTATTTCAACAAGTCATTGTTGGCCTCATATGAATTAGTGGGATTGTTTTGATACTCACCGTACTTTCTTTTTCTTGTTAATTTGTTTTGTTTGAAAAGGGTTCACCGTTGTTCAGCTTAGTCAGAGACGTTATAGACAAGGCACTAAGCACCTCAAACTTTTGTTTATATATGCTTGTTGAAAGATGGCTGAGGTATGAGGTTTTAACTGTTCTATTAAATGTTAACATGTCATGGTTTAGTTGGTTTACTCTTAGATATACCATCTATAACAAGCTAATTCTGAATTCCAGTCACAGGAGGGCCACAAAGTGTGCTTGCATGTGTATGACTTAAGCCAAGGGCTAGCAAAGCAGGTCTCAATGTCGTTTTTGGGGAAGGCGATTGAAGGCATATGGTGCATATCGTTCCCCATTTTCCTTTCTTATACACTGCATTTTATTTTCACGTGAGCATAGTCCTTTTGCCGAACCATGTTTAAGGATGATCGCACACACACAACACGTTGATTCACATGGATCAACCTAACTAAAGGCTAATTCTATGGGAGAGGCTAATAATAGGTGTTCACTATATGGATAAAACAACATAGAAGAAACATTAATGTTCTTATGTTGTCCATGAGGTATGCACGTGCATATCCTGTATTTTTCTCTTTATGGTGTAAAAGAGTACAAAATTATTATGATGGTGTATAACCCTCGTCAAAAATCTTGGATCCACCACCGACTTCCTTGCTAATGATTGAGCCTTTGACATAGGGCCTGAGAACGGAATAGTGACTGTCATTGAGATAGTAGCCATGGAAATAGTCTCTTTGCAAGATGTAAGAAAAGACTGCATGTAAAAACCTCTATCCCCATCTTTGAAAAGCGTGGAAGCATTGGTGCACTAGGCTTTCTCAGGAGTTAACCTGAAAGTATGGTTATAAGATTCTTAGAAAATCTCATAATTCTCCAAAATTTCTTTAAAATCGAGAATCAAAAGTTAAAATCTTTAAAAAAAATTACATTTATCTCCAACAAATTCTTCAGATCGGAAAATCCAACATTGATTATATTATTAAAATATTTAATTCATCTATTAAAATATTATTTCTCTCTTTAAATATTTATTTTTAAAGTTTTCTATTGGTGGAAATATATTAAAAAAATATCTCTCTCACATGTTAATCATTTTTTGGTGTTCTCCATATTTAGAGAAAAAAAAATTCCTACTTTCTCCATTTTGATGATTGTTTTAGGGAATCCGTAGAGCATAAAATTGGTTCAAAATCTCCATTTTCCTTATTTTAAAAAAATATGTTGGAAATCTCTTAGATATCATGGCTTTATACTATTTTCGTTATTTTATTTTGTAGGTCCCATTTTTATTTGTGTAGAACGGACCCACAATCATATTTTCATAATAGCATCCACAATTGTAAACTTTTTCATCGAAGCTTTTTCCAAAATATTGCGACCTACAAGCTTAGGGTGGCCAAGCAAAACAAGTTTATTGAGAGTCGGTGCAGTTACATGCAAAAAGTGGCTTTTTATGGTCAGGAGTTCTTTCACAATCTTAAGTGGCCAATGACCTCACCAAAAAGCTCCCTTGTCGATGTTCTCACTTTGTATAAATTGGAACACACAATGTAGAATTTACATCCAAAAATCTGACATGATCTGTTCTTCTTTTTCCTCTATAAAAAACACAGGCACACAGGAGTAGTGGTGTATGGTATCGAGTATTATTTTGGTGGTGGCATATATCGAGCTCCTGTTGGAACGGCACCATATGGGACTCCAATCCGAATGATTGATCTTGGTGTCACCAAGGTTTCAAAGGATAAATTTGAGTCTTATTTAGAGGAGATAAGCCCACGCTACACCCAAGAAACATACAGTTTACTGAAGCATAATTGCAATAATTTTAGCAACGAAGTTGCAAAGTTTCTGGTAGACACCTCCATCCCCCAGTACATTCTCGACCTCCCAAACGAAGTCCTCAGCAGTCCATTGGCCCCTCTTATGAGTAAGTTATCAATCCCTTCCTTTGTTAGGGGAAAAAAATCAAATAAGAACCATAAATATTTTAATAATCATAAGAACCAATACACTACTCTTTGCGGTTAAGGTAACGACTTCGGGCATGGCCAGCTCCTGTAGTATGGCTGGCGCTTTCGGTCGGGTAGCAAGAACAACTTTTAATTTGTTATGATCCCAAATGATGGATAAAATTTTCTAATTTATGAATAAAATATGCATATACAATATATGAATTTCAACGAAACTTGCATACATAATAGATATGCATCGATGACGTATTCAATATATATAGGGAGGTTCAAACTAGAAATGATCAAAGTAAGAGCCCAAAAGAATGCCTATATCACATCGGACTTTATATTAAGAATCACGTGGGATTAAGGAAACGATCGAACCTCTTGGGTCGTCGCTGTGCCAAGCACTCACGCCCTAGGTTGACCGTCCTTAATCACATGTGATTTATAGTGTAAAATCACATATGATCTTACTTTGACCCTATTCTCATTTGAACCAAAGATACATAATTTGATTTTCAAGGTCATGTGTGTGCCGGCCTTCATTTCAAATTGTTGTGGACTCTCTTCAACTATTCAAAAAAATTTATAACTATTTGATGTATATTCCAAATAGAACCATTGTTGGTGTGAGATTTGAAACATATCCACATCAATTTTGGGTTTGCAAGAAACAATGTAGGTTTCATTTTAAAGGCTAGATCTTTGTGTTAAATTGATGATATGGGAGGGACTGATACTGCTAGAGTCCCACATTAACTAGACATGGTCTCTTTAACATTTATATTTGTTGGAACTTCCCTGCTCTTTTTAAGGAACATATCTAATATCTTATCATATGGCTGGAGCCTACCACCTCTAGGGGCTCGACACTTTGGGAACCGTCTCCGTATAGCCTGCGTTGAGCCTCACGTTGGTTAGACATGATCCCTTTTATAGAGTCCAACATTGACTAAACTTGGACCAATTTTCTTCTATATATGTTGGAACCTCATTTTTTACATGTTCCCACATGGTATCTGAGTCAAGGTCTACTATTCAAGGGACTCGACACTCTGGAGCAATTTGTACTCATCTATCCCCTTTCTCGGCAGTCGGCACTCTTGGGACAATATGTGCCCATCTAACCTTCGTTGGAGGGGGCGTGTTAGATACCATAAAATAAGTCAGACTTGGACCATTTCTCCTCTATATATGATGAAACTTCCTTCTCTCTTCAAAGGCTAGTTTGAAAATAAATCCGGGGGTTTCACATGTTCTCACACTCTAAGGGTTCTCTCTCTCTCTCTCTCTCTCTCTCTCTCTCTATATATATATATATATATATATATTGGAACTACTCTTTCTTTGTTCGGACTTTTTAGAGGGTTTATCCAAAAGACATGTCTTCTCCAACCAAAGAGGTGCAATTTAATTTTCAAGGTCATGTTATATATGTTGCAGTGCCAATGATACAAAGTATGGAGTCTACATTAAGGGAAGGTGAAGTCCCAAAAGTTTGTCAGTTCGCTCAACCGCTAGGAATGAACTCCGAAAGCAGCAAAAATGAAGGCTCGGATGATCAAAAGGTTTGTCTGCAGCCACTGGTTGATCCTCTCGGAAATGCCAGGAGCCAAGTGCAAGACGAGATCGCCAAGGAGTTTGCTGCAATCAGGGCGCAGGGTACGCTTAGCCCCAGTGAAGCTGCAGCACTCGCAACCAAAAACGTGATGGAAAAATATGGTTTCCTGAATCCCACCGTGGCGCCGCCACCTAAAGATGGCTAAATTCGTTAGTTTTTTTTTTTTGCCAAAATTTCTGGATTTTTTTTGTCCAGTTTTTGGCATGGGTTTTATTGTCAATTCATATTGTGTTCTAATACCGGATGAGGTAGACTAAATGCACCTTTCTATATTGCTAAATGCATTCATTCTTTATCTTACTAAATGCAACCATAGTTACTAATTGATTTCTCACACAAATCAACATTAATATTTACTTTTTTTTTAATGTATCATTTGAACCGATTCTGACATAAATAAGATTGCATAAAGCAGGATCCTCTCGGATAACTTCTAACGGCAGTGGTTATGAAACGGCAGTGGTTATGAAATGCGTATGAGTACTTGTTTTACCACATTGACCAACTAATTCTGAAGTTCATAATATAAGACCCCATCGAGTTTTTCCCGTTATTTACTTATTTTACCACATTAATCAACCAATTCACTTATTTCACCACATTAATCAACCAATTCACTTATTTCACCACATTAACCAACCAATTCTAAAGGTCATAAAAATGTAATTAACAAGTTTCAGCAATGCCAAATGCTTATTTGCTTAAAAAAAACTGTCCAAAAAGACTCATCACTCGAACATGAAAGTCTGTTGGTCTTTTTTCAAACTTTTGGCCAATGCCACCACAATAAGAACCATATGCCTACTGTTGGCTGTCGGAGAACCAACCACCACCATCGCAGCGGCAGGCTGGTGGCACACCTATTTTCCGGCATGCACGGGGACCTTCAAACAGCACAGGTACACACCTCAAATTCATGTCATCTCTTAAATCCAAAAGATTATAACTTGAAATCCAGAAAAACCTAGGATAATCCTACAAATACCATACAAAGGTGTTGAGCCTCCCCAAGGGACAAAAAGGTAATTTTTACTTGGGAGAAACATGAACTTGTATAGAAGATTCTGTCAAAATTATGTCTTTGGAGTTGTCTGCTTTTGGGTGATCAAGAGAATTAATCTTTAACCTCACATGTAATGGCCTCACAAAGATCAAATCTTCCGGGTTTTTCTCTGATCTCGATACTATCTGTGCGCACGCATCTGTTTGTGCCTTACTGTTCCCGCTTGGGTTTAAAGCATCCACCAATCTACCCACCTGTTGCTGCTTAGACTCATCGCTCCCATTTTTGATTCTCAAGTACAACGCAGCATTGATAATAACCTGGAACAAAATCATCCAATATTTCCGTCATAAATAAGTATCGCATTAACCTAATCGAATTATAATAGAAGCTTGCCTTTCAAAAAAAAAAGTTAAATTAGAAGCTACAAAAAATTGCAAGCTTTTGATTTGCCACATAAGAAACCAAACCAAATGGGCACGGTATATCCCACCCGGAGGCGGCGCCTATGCATGGGAATGAGACCCCCCCCCCCCCCCCCCCCCCGAATTGAGGAACCCAGTGTACCAGGCCCGACGCAGCCAAGGACTTCTCGCAAAACCAGGACCGAAATGGGGACGGGGGTCCCCAAAAGTTAAAAACCGGGGATGGGGACGGGGCCGGGGACGGGGACGGGGCCGGGTAACATGATCACTACCCCGCCCCGTCCCCATATATTAAAAATATTATATATTATTTATAAAGAATTAGATTTGGTATTTTTTAGATCTAAAAAGAGTATTTTAACTTCTTATATACTTTTTTTTTAAACTTGTCTTACTTTTTTTAGATAAAAAACATGGAGAGCCAAAATCGTTTGATCACACAATTGTGTATGATGTTGTGATTTTGTTCACATATAAATATTTGATACTTTATAAAAACGAAATTTTGGAAATATGCGAGATTAAAACATGGAGCATTTTCGATTGACTCTGGTGTTCAGCACATTTGATTTAAAATGTCTCACAGAAACGGGAAAGAATATCCCTGATTCCCCGTTGGGAATGGGGACTGAGATGGGGATTGGGGTCCCCGCCCCATTCCAATACCTAGTAGGGTCTGACAGGTGGAATGTATGCAAACATGACCTCCACCTTAAAGAGTAGAAGGATGGTTTCCACGAAAACCCCTAATTTTGATTTTCCACATGGTTTGTTAAATTGTTTGATTATTTGTGGGCCCGTTCAAAAAAGAAGGCTAAATATCGAGAGAAGTTAAGAACGGAAGGTTCATATATGAATCACTGAAAAAAAATCCATTTGAAGATGCATACATGAAGTGAGAACCCATAAGAGTAATCTGTAATGTCGATCTATATATGCATCTTAAAATAGATTTTTTTCCAAATTTTTCAATGATTCACATATTCATCTTCCTTTAACCTTCTATTCTCACGATATTTAGTTTTCTTATATGAACTTCTCGCTATTTATCAGCTATAAAATACTTGAAGGAATCTGGGTGATTCAAATCAGTAACATTACTTATTTACCTCACTTGTTCCGGGGCTAGTATTGACGGCACAATCAATGCGTACTTTTCCATCTTGCAGTTGCGCATCACAAATCGTATAATCCTCTTCAGCATTGACTTCTTCTTGTGTTAATAAAGACGCAAGTCCATCCAAATCATCGTAAAATTGTTGGGCAATACCGACCTGCATGCATACATTTGAAGTAAGGCTGTTTACTTTTTTCCATTAAGCTCTGTATGGGTTAAGTTGTCTTTCTGGATAAATGTTTGTTTGATGGACGGGAGACCTATGGGTTTGAGGGTTCGATTATTTCCTGGGAATTTCTGGTATTAATTTGTTCGATTTCGCCTAATGGGACAAGTGAGGGGGCCTGGTTTATTCCATATAACCATTTTGGCTTAATGGCTTAGCGATGAAGCCATAAAGAAACACTCTTAAGGGCCTGCTTGTTAGCAGCTTAATGAGCTTAATGGGACTCAGCTTATTCAGTCAGCTATATATGACTGTTTGGTAGTGGCTTAATGATATAGAAAGTGACTTATTCAGTAGGCTTCTAGGGGGAGCTTTATGCAGAAAGCCAATATTTTCCGAACCTGTCCCTCCCACTTAAAAAACACGCTCCTTCCATCTACGAAAAAACCCTCCAAACAAAAACATCTCAATCTATACAGACAGATTAATTCACACAAACAACTTTATCCATACAGGACTTGATAGAAAACCAACAAAGCAGTTGTAAATAAATAGCCCATACGTGTTGGATTTGAACTCAAGAAGAAGAAAAAAACCGATAAGGAGGTTAAAAAGAGGCCTGAAATTGAACCTTTTCTGTGGATTCGGCTTTGTTCTCGCCTGTTAGAACTTCAGTGGCTGTGCCTCTTGTCTGCCGCCATATACAACCTTCATCTAGCGGTTCCACAAGCTCGGTATCTTGAGGGATTTCTATGGTCATCTGTATGTTAATCCTACCTATTTCATGATGCCACAGGAATGGTTAAGCCTTGGTCAATTTCATCACTTGGGGTGTCGAGTGAAGAGCCAATTACCTGGTAACAAGCTGAAATTTTGAATATGATCGACGTGAACTCCCGGGATACCAAAACCACTGTGATATTAGCAGAAAGAATGCATGAGTACCTTAATGGGACATCACATATGTGTGTGTGTATATATATATATAGAGAGAGAGGTGAGGTTCAAACGAGAAAATGTCAAAAGAAGAGAACGAAAGAACACCTTAATCACATGTGATATTAAACTAAAAATAACATGTGATTAAGATTCGGTCGATGCTCTTAGATCGCCCGGCCAAACGCATGCATGCAGGCCCCTACATCGACCGAACCTGAATCACATGTGATTTTTAGTCTAAAATCACATGTGACATAGGTGTTATTGTATTCTCTTATATTTGACCATGTTCTCTTTCGAAACCAACCCTCTCGAGCGAGAGAGAGAGAAAGAGTGAGAGAGACGGGTTCAAACAAGAACAGTAACTATTTAAGAGAATAAGAAAACAGCCGAATCACATGTGATTTTACACTAACAGCACGTACGAAATCGCATGTGATTCACGCGACTTTGCCCCACCACTTGAAGTTGAGCCAAAGTCGTCAACACACCTATTTTGACCGTTAATGTAAAATCACATGTGATTTTGCACGTGATTTGGCCATTTTCGTATTCTCTTAAATAGTTGGCATTCTCGTTTGATCCTCCCTCTCTCTCTCTCTCTCTCTCTCTCTATATATATATATATATATATATATATATGGAGGTTCATTTAGGAACCTTAAATATTTTGATAACCCAAGAATCACCTATTTGATATAGTATTCATGATGAATAACCTTGAATATTATTCATCATGATCATCAGTCACGACATCCATCATGAATACTAAAATAAGTGATACCTAGTTCACAAAATATTTAAGGTTCCTAATTGAATCTGCACCTCTATATGATGTATAGATATATGTGCGTGTGTGTATGTATATAGAGGAGAGATCTTATACAAACCCAACCATTACAACAAACCATACAAACCAATTATTGAGATATTTATAGAAACGGTGAGAGTTTATTTATTATGATTTGGATATTTATGGAAGATTATCACAGTTCATTTATTATGATCTAACGTTTTATATTAGATAACAATTGAGATATTCATTGAACAGATTTTCATTTGACTAGATGGGTTTGTAAAAGAAACCACCTCTACATATATATGTGTGTGTGTATATGTATATAGTGTTGGGTTTCGGTGATGATGGAAGTTATGGTGGAGAAGGGTAATAAGGGATCTCCACTCTTGGATCAATCCTAATTGAAGATCAACAGTACTGAGATGCACCGGATCAATTCTCGTATCAAACGCAATTCATGGGGTGGGGGTGAGATTAAAAGTGAGCAAGGATGCAGATCCCTTCTTACGCTTCTCACCTTAACTCCTACCCTCACACGATCCTTCATCTATGTATATATATATATACATAAAATACTACAAGTAAACAGGATGAGAAATGTCAGACGGATAGGCTACTCACGTAGCGTAAGCTGATTCCATAGGGGACACCAACCAATACGGTAATCCAAGTATTCCAAACTTTGAGAACTCAAAGCTTGTCATTGACTCGGAAGTTTTGTTGTACCTCCATACCACCTGACCATCTAAACACACCCAATTCTCAGAAAATACATCATCGTGTAGTTCTTCAATTAAAAAGAAAAAGACGAAGATAACATTTGAAGTATAATCCAATTATCTGCTGAATATCTTACCTGCATCAGAAATCACGATGTTGTCCTGAAAAGTCACCACAGAAGAGAGCAGACCCGCGTGTGAAATTCCATTTACTGAGAAATTAGTGGCAATATGCTGTGGCAGCTTATTAGCCGGTATATCCGTCAAAAGGGATGACTTCTTTAGGATCAACGGTCCACTAATCTCTACAATCTTTGCAGATCCTTCATTGTGCAAACAACTAGTGACTAACCAAACATATAATTAATCGAAAATAATCGAAAGAATGTCTAGAAAATGAAATGCGAACCTTTAACGACTTCTTTAATAAGACCAGACGACAGATCCATGATCCATAAGGTTTCAAAACTGCATGACATTTTACCAAATGCAAACTTGCAAAGTCAATGAAGATTCAAACCCAGTTATTAGATGAAAAGAAAGTTGGGTTGTGGCGCACTAACATCAACTGATTTCCCGAAGGATCAACATCAACTTCAGTAAATCTTTAACATATTTAGCTTGATTGATGAAAATCCCTTCAGGGAATGCTTCTTTGTGGCATGTGTTAGGTGCCAGTTTATGAGAAGAGAGATGCGAGAATGTTTTGATTGGTGGTCATAAGATCCCGGTTACCTCTCGGAGACCCAATCCTCATGTTGGTTCAGAGTACCAAAATTATCCTAAATGTCTTTCTTATTCAGATTTTTGGTAACTCATAAACTTTCAGAAAAAGAGTCCCACTCGATATTGCTACATCAATATTATTTCATCAAGATAATAGTGATTCCAAGTATTTACTTGGGTTGAAAATGTTCAAATATGTGATTGTTGTCTATTTGCTGGTTAAGCCTAAGGAGGAATGTAGTGGAGAATCTCATCTACCCCGGATTCGAATCCAAGTGCGGCCAAAGCCCTTGTGGCAATGGAGGTTCACCTGCGACAACTCTAGGCCATTCGTGGTCGCCCGGGGGATTAGTCAGTGTGCGTAAGCTAGCCTGGAAACCCACAGTTACTCCAAAAAAAAGCTTTCATGAAATTCATATGAAAAGCACCAGTGGCTCATATAATAAGGACTCACCAACTCACTTCATTGATAGCAGTTCAGTATTAGAAACAGCTTAATACATACTCCCTCCTTCCCAAAATAAATAGCTACAGTTTTGAAATGTGTAATTATTTACACTTTTTAATTAACAAAATGACAACTTTACCCTCGATTAGTCTTAATGATAGAGGGAGTAATGGATTTTTCCATCTCATAATTAAGGGTAGAACTGGAAAGTAGGTACTTTTGAAAGTGGACTATTATCTGGGACAAGCTATAATAGAAATGTGGACTCTTCTAGCAGTAAATAAAGAAGAGAGTAAATTACATTTTTCGTCCCTGTGGTTTGTTAAAAATTGCATTTTTTGTCCCTATTGTATAGAAATTGCGATTTTCATCCCTACGGTTTGTAATTCATTGTTATTTCCGTCCTTATGATTTACAATTTACTGTTGTTTCGGTCCCTGTGGTTTACAATTCTTTACTGTTTTGGTCCCTTATACTTAAAGGTAGGAATTAGTCCAGGGACAAAAATAGCAATAAATTGCAAACCATATGGACCAAAAATCACAATTTCTAAATCAGAGGAACGAAAATCGACGTTATTAACAAACCGCCCCTGATGAAAATCGTAATTTACTCGAAATAAGCCAGACGCAGATATGCAGTATGCAAATCTAGATATGGTAAAGTTGCAGAAAGTAACACGTTCTTTACCTGCGGTTGAGAATTAAGAGGTCATTTTCCAACGATTTGAGCAGATGCCAAGGATAAAAAAGTAATTTAGGATCAACTTCCGCCGAATTTGAAGGAGCTTTTGTACTCCAAAGTTTATCAATGATCCAGCTCCATGGACTACTTTTCGTCCTATCATCATTGAGTTTGGGATAGAACGTCTCCACTGTCCTGCTCTCCATATCAGCTCTCCTTATGGCATGATTCTTTAATGATATCAAAAGGAAATGGGGAATAAGAGAATGTAAAAACCATAATAAAACTACTGCACATAAATATAGTTGAAATTATGCATTTCAAAATCCATTTCAAGAATTCCTTAAACAACTTGGCAAGCCTAAGCCAGGCCAGCCAGGCCCACAGAGTCTATACGAGCCATAATGTAGTTTATATTTTTTTTCAGCTCAATAGTCTTGGAATGCTCAGAACTTCTATCTGGAGTCTTATAAAAGTGTGTTTTATTTATAATTTTGAAGGGTTCACTTGTCCATATTGACCAAGCCAAGGCTCGAGCCTACACTATGCCCATTGGAACCAAGCCAATGAGCTATACAAGGCAATGCAAGGCTCAGACTTATGGCATATCGAACCTAAGCCCCAACTCTTTCACTTGGCATGCCATGGTTGAGCTCAAGCCTACCTATTCTTTCACAAGCTGAGCTTCAAGCCAAACAAGCTCTGTTAGCTGCATTAACTGATAAGTCACATCGCCAAATAAATTATACTTCAAATCTAGGGACGGAAACGGGGTGGGTATTTGGCGGGTAATGTATCCCTAGTCCTTGACCCTGACCCTGACCCTGACGCCGACTAATCTCGACGGGTTCAGGGGAAGGAATCCCGGATAACCCCAAGGGGTTGTGGGTTTTTTCTACCAATTAGGGCCCTTCCTTCATCACCCCCATGTGGATGGTCTACATGGTTCATAACTAATCCTCTTACTACAGGGCGCTTACCTAGATAACCTCGAGTAAAAGCTTCTACAGCCGGTTAACCAAAATGAGGATCCCAAATTTCCCCGAACCCGTTGGGTGCCCGTTTAGTAAAAAACAATAAAAATAATGTATTTTAAAGTTGAAGTTATAATGAGTCATCACTACACTAATTACCAATATTGGAAATCAAATACATACATAAATATTTATTTATACACACTATTAAATAAAATAAAAAAATTAATCAGGGTTGGATTAGGGGTGGGTAATGCCATCCCAACCCCGCTTCGGATGTGAAAATGAATCCCCACCCCTACGGGTAAATTTCCATCTCTATTCATACCACATGAAAGATGTACTTCCTCCGTCCCAAAAATAAGTGTCCATATTTCTATTTTAGTTTGTCGCAAAATAAGTGTCCACTTTTGAATTCTACCTTAATTATGAGATGGAGAAATCCATTACTCCCTCTATTGTTAGAGGTAAAATTGTCATTTAGTTAACTAAAAGGTGTAATAACTACAGATTTCTTAAACCGTGTGCCTTTTTCATTGTGGTCATTTATTTTGGGCGGAGCGAGTGTCAGAAAACATAATAATACGATAAACAGTTCCTGTAAGCCTCCTATTTTAAGCAAAGGTCCGGTAACCTTGCAACATACCTCCGAGTCAACAAAATATAGGCAATTCTCAGCAGCATCATAAACCGAAGCAGCAGGGCGCATTATCTTGGAAGATTCAAACTCTCCATCCTCGAATCCAGGAGAAGATCCAATCTGTAAAATGAGGTATTAACAACAGCTTTTAGTTGCCCCTATCAAATTTACATCATGTGGGTTGCAAATGGAATTCCTTACATACACAATCTAAGATCTTTCCGCTGCCATCAAACACAATTATACGGTGGTGATTTATGTCGGAAAGGAACAAGCGGTTATTAACTTCGTCAACCTCAATGCAGCCTGCAAATTGTACTACTAGAACATAAGCTAACGGTCCCTCCAAACTGCTTTAATATGCATTTAGATCTTAGTAGCATCATGAACGTTCTTTTAGGGTGGGTTTGGTATCCAAACAGGACAAAATAGAACAGTTTTTCAGCATTTGGTAAGACAGAACAGAACAGATAAAATGACCAATTTACCCATTAATGAGTTGTTTATATATTTTAATTAATTATGTAATTATTAAGTGATAATAAAATAAATATTTTTTATAACAAAATATATCATTAGAAAGTTTTCATCAAAGACAATCAAAATGACACCAAATAAAAAGTTTATGTAGTTTCCAATTTTTATTTGATACCTTTTTTATAGTAACTTTTTATCATTAATATTTAATAAATTACATAAAATTAATCAAAATATAGATGGCGTATAAAAATAATATTTTGTCTACGGTAAAGTAAAAGTTTAAAGAGCATAAAATACAATAAAAATGTAAAGAGGAAGGCTTATTTGATGTTTTAGAAAAGAATTAGGTTTTATTTTGAGGTTATATTGGTAAAATATAGGTATGCTCCACCATATTCCATGGGGTGGGGGTGGAACACGTTGTTCCACATAAAAGCCCTACCAAACTGTTGAAGAATAAGTCAAACTTCTGTTAATTAACAGATTTGACAGTTACTGTTGGTGTCAGTTTGCTTGCTTCCCGCCAAAGTCTCCTCTTGACAGTTTGCTTACTTCCCGCCAAAGTCTCCTTCTATCTCAACTGTCCTAGTTGGTTGTAAATATATATATATATATATATATATATTTATATGCCTTCTGTTTTGTTGTACAGACTGTTGTGTGCGTATGAATTCTGCACATCTTTGTTCATATAATAAAGAAGTATTGTTTATGTGAATTAAGTATTTTTTATCTTCTTGGGTTTCCAACATATGGTATCAGAGCCCTGTTTCTATGGCTTCGAGTTCGCATAATGCTCTTCAATCACAAACACCAATTCAATTGCCAAAACTGAATGGAAGAAACTACTTTCATTGGAGCATCCAGATGAAAGTAATGTTCGAGTCTCAAGATTTGTGGGTAATTATCGAAAATGGAGTTGAAGAACCAGATAACCCAACTGTACTTTCTGCACAACAAACTATTGCGCTTAATGAATCTAGAAGGAAGGACAAAAGAGCACTCTTTCTGATTTATCAAGCGGTGGACGAGAATATTTTTGAGAGGATTTCAGCATCTCAAACAGCCAAAGAAGCATGGGAGATGCTGTTTAAATCTTACAGAGGGGAAGAGAAAGTTAAGACTGTCAGATTACAAACACTGAGATGTGAATTTGACAGTCTTAAAATGAAAGAAACCGAGTCAGTAGAGGAATTTTATTCAAGGGTAATTGTCCTTCTTAATCAGATGAGGCTGAATGGAGAAAGCATAAGWGATAGAAGAGTAGTTGAGAAAATCTTAAGGAGCCTTACAAGAAAATTCGAATACGTGGTGGTTGCCATAGAAGAATCCAAAGATTTATCGACTCTTTCCTTGGAAAGCCTTCTGGGAACTCTACAGTCTCATGAACTAAGAATGAGACAGTTCGATACATCTATAATGGAACATGCCTTTCAAACTAGTACATCATGGGAAGCCAACACAAGTGACAAGCAAAAGAATTTGGACTCAAATAAAGAAGAACAAGGATCAGGATCTTTCAAGAGCAAAGGGAGAGGTAAACCTTATACTCAAATTAAGTGCTTCTATTGTGATAAAATAGGACACACAATTAAATTTTGTAGAAAGAGAATTGCTGAAGAAAGTAAGACGTCTAGTTTCTTACACATAGAAGAAGGTCATAGTGTTGATACTATGTTTATGATGTTAAACATTCAAGAAAACACATCAAATGACCTTTGGTACCTTGATAGTGGATGTAGTAACCATATGACTGGTAATAGAGATCTATTCGTGAACTTGGAAGAATCTGAAAAAAAAAAGATGTAAGGACTGGTGATGATAAAAAATTAAATGTATGTGGAAGTGGGGAAGTTTCTGTCAAGATCAGAGGCAAAGAAAAGAGAATTTCAAATGTCTTCTATGTTCCTGGACTTAAGCACAACTTATTAAGTGTAGGACAGTTAACTCTAAAAGGATACAAAATTATTTTTAAAGAAGAAGGTTGTGAGATAAGTGACTCCAATGATACTCCAATAGACAGAATTACCATGACAGGTAATAAAATGTTCCCCATTAAGTTCAATAATGAGAAATTCTTCTCCTTAGCCGTAAGTATTAGAGACACTTCACTTTTATGGCATAACAGATTTGGGCACATGAGTTTGAATACTCTATCTCACATGCACAAAGTTGAGTTAGTAAAAGGTTTACCAGCAGTCACTTCTCTCAGTCACATCTGTGAAGGTTGTGCTCTTGGAAAGCATGCAAGGGAAGCATTTCCACATGATACGAATTGGAGAGCCTCTAAAAAATTAGAACTCATCCATTCTGATATTTGTGGACCAATGAGAACCCCTTCATTTGGTGGGAGCAGGTACTTCTTAACCTTCATAGATGATTACAGTAGAAGAATATGGATCTATTTTCTCAAGGAAAAATCTGAGACCTTCAACTGCTTTGTTCTTTTCAAAGACATGGTTGAAAAACAAAGTGAGTGCAAGATCAAAACCTTAAGAACTGATCGTGGGGGGGAATATGTAGGACATGAATTTGAAGATTTTTTAAAGAAAAATGGTATTCATCACCAATTGACTGCAAGCTACACACCCCAGCAGAATGGGGTGGCAGAAAGAAAAAATAGGACCTTAGTTGAGATGGCAAGATGCATGATCAAGTCCAAAAATCTTCCTAATATTTTCTGGGCAGAAGCCGTGGCTTGTGCTGCTTATCTGACAAACAGATCTTTTACAAAAAGCCTCTCAAACAAATCTCCTCAAGAAGTCTGGAATGGATTTAAACCTAGTGTTAATCACCTAAGAACTTTTGGTTGTGTGGCTTATGCTCACATTCCAAAGCAAAAGAGAGGGAAACTAGATGAAAAGTCTGAAAAGACTATCTTTGTGGGGTACAGCTACAACACCAAAGCCTACAAACTTTATAACCCATTGACCAAAAAGGTCATCACAAGTAGGGATGTACTTTTTGATGAAGACAAGACATGGGATGGGTTGTCATGTGATGAGAATGGATGTTGCATCCTAGATGATTATAGCTCTCAACAAAAAGTACACCTTGAACAAAACAATTCTCAAAATTGTCTTGATGAAAATCTTGATCAAAATGACCCCTCTTACCCTATGACAACATCTGTTAATACGCCTATAAGAAGATCTTCAAATGTTGATGGTCAAATTCATCAAAATACAGTGGATAATAGTCCTGAAAGTTCATCCTCATCAGAACGTGTAAACAGAAGAACTAGGAGTCTGAGTGATTTGTACAGCAGTACTCAGCCTATAATTACAAATAATCTTGCTGATTTTGCCTTGTTTGCAGATGCTGATCCTTTGGATTATGAAAAAGCATGTCAAGAAAAGAAATGGAGAGATGCAATGGATTCTGAGATGAACTCAATCTTGAAGAACAATACATGGGAGTTGGTGGAACTACCTAGAGGCCAAAAATCCATAGGAGTCAGATGGATTTACAAGACTAAATTCAATGAAAAAGGTGAGGTAGACAAGCATAAAGCAAGACTGGTTGTTAAAGGCCACAAACAGCAATTTGGAATTAACTACCAAGAGGTATTCGCTCCTGTTATTAGACTTGAAACTATTCGTTTGATTTTAGCAATTGCTGCACAATTCAACTGGCTTGTACATCAAATGGATGTTAAGTCAGCTTTTCTGAATGGATATTTAAAAGAAAATGTGTATATTGATCAACCAAGAGGGTACAAAAGGAAGGGTGAGGAACACAAGGTATGTCACCTCAAGAAAGCCCTATACGGCCTAAAACAGGCCCCTAGGGCCTGGTATAGCAGAATTGAGGAACATTTTCTTGAGCATGGCTTCATCAAATGTAATTATGAGCATACTCTATTTATCAAGAAAACTGAGCACTCAATTCTCTTAGTATGCATCTATGTAGATGATCTGATCTTCACAGGAAATTCAACCGAACTGATTGATGAGTTCAAGAATTCAATGAAGCAAAACTTTGAAATGACTGACTTAGGTCTCTTGCATTACTTCCTTGGAATTGAAGCAACACAAGGTACACACTGTATTACCATTTCTAAAAAAAAATATGCAAGAGACTTGCTTCAAAGATTTAACATGGAGGATAATATTACTGCTGACACACCTATGGAATTTGGTTTGAAACTCTCAAAAGGGGAGGATGGAAGGGAAGTTGATTCCACCCTTTATCGCAGCTTAGTTGGTTGTCTTATGTATCTCACGGCCACAAGGCCTGATATCATGTTTTCTGTTAGCTTTGTGAGTAGGTTTATGGAAAATCCTAAGAAGGAGCATTTGGATGCTGCAAGACGAATTTTAAGATATGTCAAAGGAACACTCAATCATGGTATCACTTACAAGCACTCTCAGGATTTTAAATTGGTTGGGTTCAGTGACAGTGACTATGGGGGCAACATTGTAGATAGTAGAAGTACAACCGGGTATGTGTTCAGTTTAGGATCAGGTGTCATTTCTTGGCAATCCAAGAAACAGAAGGTTGTTGCCCTGTCTTCTACAGAGGCAGAGTATATGGCTTTATCCTCCACAGGTTGTCAGGCGCTGTGGCTTAGAGGTATCTTGGAGGAACTGGGAATTCCACAAAGTTCCTGCACACAGATCTTTTGTGACAACAAATCTGCCATCACATTGACTAGAAATCCAGTTTATCATGGAAGAAGCAAGCACATACGGATCAAATTTCATTTTATCAGGGAGCTTATTCATCAAAATGAAGTTGATGTTCTGTTTTGCAAGTCTCAAGATCAAGTTGCTGATATATTTACTAAATCCCTTAAACGAGGATATTTTATTATTCTGAAAAGGGCCTTGGGAGTTCATGAAGTTTAACTTATGGGGGCATGTTGAAGAATAAGTCAAACTTCTGTTAATTAACAGATTTGACAGTTACTGTTGGTGTCAGTTTGCTTGCTTCCCGCCAAAGTCTCCTCTTGACAGTTTGCTTACTTCCCGCCAAAGTCTCCTTCTATCTCAACTGTCCTAGTTGGTTGTAAATATATATATATATATATATATATATTTATATGCCTTCTGTTTTGTTGTACAGACTGTTGTGTGCGTATGAATTCTGCACATCTTTGTTCATATAATAAAGAAGTATTGTTTATGTGAATTAAGTATTTTTTATCTTCTTGGGTTTCCATTGGAACAGTGATCCATGTTCTGTTCTGTCCCGTCAGTACCAAACGCAACCTTACAGTTTTGCTGCATTAAACACTGTCTTTGCCAAAATTGTCATAAACATCATAATTATTTGTAGAAGAATATCATATACCAAGGGGCAAATTGCATGAAAATGCAACTTTTGTGTAACGTACTTCCAAAATCTTCATTATGGTACCTCAAATGTGACATCTCAAACATTTAGGTACCTAGTTTACATTTGTGAATGCATGAAAATGCAGCGTACTATGGTCCGATTCCTAACTTGTGTAACATACTTTGCTATAAATATTTGAGACATCATATCTAAGGTGCCAAAATGAAGGTTTTGAGAATACGCTACACAAAATAGGAATCAGACCAAAGTACGTCTCATTTTCATGCAATTTGCCCTATATATAACACCGACTTTCCCCACAATAAATGAAATGTTTACATTTGAGCAGCTGAAATTAGCCAAATCTAAACAATAAGACTGCATTACAACGTTTTAATAAGGGGAATCGGGCCTCGAGGCGTTTCCCCTCAACGAGACAAGGCGTAAGCGCCGAGGCAGAAATATTTATACACCAAAATATGTATATGTTATAAATACCCCAATTCAATTCACTTATAGTAGAAGAAGGAAGCAGGGAAAACCACATCATGGGGACCACTCCAAAAGAATGAGAAGGCGTTAGAGTGAAATTTGGGAATTTACTCTTAATAAATCAAGTATAAAATGGGTGGTGAGGTGAGTATTGTTTTCATGCATATATTTTCCTTGTAAACCTGGAGAGAATGGCCTCTCGAATTGCCATACGTCCCTTTCCCTTGTTAATGGTAATCATATGACCATTGCAAGTGATTACACTGCATCTTACTTGTTTCCCATTGCTACTAATTTCAATTTGCCATTCATTTCTTAATTTTGATTGTTGAGTTGGGTTGATTCACAACAGTATATATACTACACAAATATATATATATATATATATATATATATAATTTATATACAATATATATAATACTAGATTACTAAGGGCACTGGTTCAGTGGTTCTTCACAGAGGAAAGAGTGAAACCGTGAGATAGGCTGAGAGGGTGTGGAAAAATTGGTTGCTTGGAGGAAGAGGAAGGGTCAAACCACACTTTTTGATTGAGTGGAGAAAGTACTAGCTTTTTGGGTTTTAAAATGTTAAAAGTACAAATTGGGGCCATTGGACTTTTTGACTTTTATTTATTTAAAATAAAAAGGACACTTATACTATAAAAAGAAGTACAACTACTGCCATAAAGCTTATAGAAAAAAACCATTACCAAAGCAGATCTGAGGCGTACACATCGACACCGCCTCACACCTCAGTGAACTAAGGTGTAAGCCTCGTCCAGGGTCCAAGAGGCGCCACCTCAGGTGCGGTTTTGAGCAGCCTCGCCTCAAGGAGGCCAGGCGCGCCTCTAGGCATACGGCTCAAACAATTTTTAAAACCATGATTCATTATGATTCTGCATTAAAAAGTAAACGACATTTTCCGGACCAAAATGAATCGACTACCTTACCTGGGAGATAAAGAAGTAAATTCTGCAACGGGGAGCAAAGATATGGTTCCCTAAAAGCATCAAGTGGTTTTACCCAAGTGCCTCTTAGATTATGCAACAATCCTGGTTTTTCTTTCTGCTGCACGATTAAATCCTTGATGGCTGCAGGCATGGGACCAAAAGAAAACAAATATAAATAAGAAAAGGGCTAACAAAATGGGACCAAATATTAATTCATTGATGCACAAGTTTTTCCGTTGCAACTTCTTTCTTCCTAATGCTCTTTTCTAGGGTTTTCTGAGTGAAAACGGTAGCATTTTTTGATTTCTCAATGAAATGGATCCCGCCTAGATTTGATCACGAACGGCATTCATGGTTACTAGAAACCTTGGTTCAGACTGTTCATTATTTGATAAAAAATGCTATCTTTCTCTAATTTAAGATTTTTTTTAATTTGATCATTAAAATCTTAGTAAAGAGAAAAACGTTAACAAAAACCAAAAGTGGGATCCTTTTTGTTTTATACCATTAAATGGAAAACAACATTTTTAATTGAAGAACCAAAAGAATATGGAAGAATACCATCCAAATCAAACAAACCGAGTATATCCCGCTCAAAAGCAGGGTCTAGGAGGGGTGAGATGTACGCAATCCCAACCTCTACCGAAAGGGTAGAGCAACTGTTTTTATACAAGAAGTACATCACATTATATGATTGACCCACAAAATATAGACAAAATAACAGGGACAATAATGACAACGAAGCAATTCATACATGTCGAGTTGAGGTGCCAGCATATATGAAAACAGTGTTGATTAACAGAAGGCATACCAAATTGCATATGCCCATATGACTTGCAAATCTTTGAACTTTTCCAATTATTTCATTTATAACTATCCACCAAAGCAATAATGCAATACTTGAATAATAATAATTCAATTACGAATGCAAAACCACTGTTTGGAATAAGAAATTCTTTTATAGCAAAAGGGTGACGTTAAGGGTGCGTTTGGGATCTAGACAGGACAGAACAGATGTTCAACGTTTGGTAAGACAGAACTGGATAGAACAGAATAGATAAAATGACCAATTTACCCCTAATGAGTTGTTTATATCTTTTATATATTTTGATTCATTTATGCAATTTATTAAATTATAATAAAGTAAATATTTTATAATAAAATATATCATTACTTTATGTAGTTTGCAAACTTTATACGTTTTCTATATTATTTTTTTATTTATTGATTTTTATAAAATTACATAAATTAACCAAAAATAACCGTATAAAAATAATATTTTGTGGACAGTAAAGTGAAAGTTTAAAGAGCATAAAATACAATAAATAAAATTTAAAGAATGAATAAAAAGGTAAAGAGGGAGGCGTATTGTTTATTTTGGTAAAATATAGGTTTGTTCTGCCTTGTTCCATGGGATGGGGGTGGAACATGCCTGTGGAACAAATTCCACTTTAAACCTGCTTGTTCCACATAAAAGTCCTCCCAAAGTTGGAACAGTGATCCTTGTTCTGTTATGTTTTGTCCAGTGTAACAAACGCACCCTAAGGGGAGTGGGGCCTACCTGTCTCCAGAATTTCAAAACCTGCATCCTTGTCATGCAAGAGTAGAGGGCCCTCCATGCCTTTAAATATGATGTAGCCCACTCTATCCAAAATCTACAAACAACAAACATGGATGTAACCACACGACTTTCATTACAAAAAGCAACAAGAATCAGTTAGTTAGGACTTTTCATCTTAAACAGAAAATAAAATAACATGAAACAATGGGCAAACAAGGTATAGAGGACTTAAGATCCAATGTTGGCCATACTAGGGGCCTGTTTGTCAGCAGCTTAATGAGCTTAATGGGACTCATAGCTTATTCGGTCAACTATATATGACTGTTTTGCAGTGGCTTAATGATATAGAAAGTGGTTTATTCAGTAAATTTCTAGGAGAGCTTTATGCAGAAAGCCAAGATTTTTCCAACCCTCCCCTCCCAATTAAAAAATACACTCCTTATATATGAAAAGACCCTCCAAACGAAAACCTTCTCAACCTATACAGACATATTAATCCACACAGACAATTTTATCCATACAGGACTTAAAAGAAAACCAACCAACAGCTCCTAATGTAAAAGAGCACTAAACTACTAAATTCACCAACACTAAAGGTCCATCAGACTATAAATATTACCTCAGAAAGAGACTTGTTTGACAATAAAATAGGAAATGTGATATATTCGCTCATGATTGTCTTTGCTAAACGAGAACTAACAACATCACTGCTAACTGCTCTGCAGTGCTGAAATCCCATAACATTGAGCGAAGGATACCTGCAGTGGTGAACATGAACACATAGGCACATAACTATCAACGACTTTTACATAACTGAAACGAAGAAGCTAACGATAACTTTACGAACTATTTTTTACCTTTGTTGAAGTGATTTAACTTTTTCAAACATAATGGTAGAGTCCGTGCCTGATCCAAGGAAGTCCTCAAAGAATGCACCAGTGACAACTAGGAAAACTCCATCTCGACCATTTAAATCCTTGGTGACAGTGCTTCTATTCAACCAACAATGAGAGGGGCCTATATATTTATGCCAAACAACTTAACAGCCGACAATTGATTGTAGAAGGTATTCATGTTCACAAATGCCATCATACATTAATGCATATAACTGTCATTCAAAGTTACCTAAATGTAGAAGCTCACATGCAATGCTCAGATAAAAATATACACAGGGTACTGAGAAAAGTTGTTCTTGATGTTTCACTTTACTTGTAGCTTCATGTTTCAAACCACTTATAGTTCTCCAGGGTATTTAAATCTCCATATATCTTGAGAAATTGAATAAAGTATGTGCCACAATGCAATAACTAAAAGCAAAACCAACATGCCCAATCATACCGGAGGAAGTATATTTATTAAACTTGGGGTTGCATTTGGATAATCGGATATTCAAAAACTCTAGAATCCCACCAGCTCCTTTGTGATCAAAGTGGATACTATCTAACTTCTATTGTTCAAATATTTATCTGGAGCATAACTGATATGGATCCAAAGGTTTGCATTTTGCTTTGCAACTTATGTAAGTTTTTCTATTGAAATTAGAAACTTTAGTATGTTTGGATATTGCAGAATGGTATAATGTCCTATGATTTTATATTGGAATTTGATGAAACTCAAGTTGGATACACTCACAGATAATAAGTAGAAACTATGGACATATAATCCCTATCCAGTCACTCCTCATTCATAATGTTAGTTGTAACCAAGAATCATCTCTAATCGGTACCGTTATAATTATAACTTATCAGTCAACAATTTTCATTCATACATCATAGGATCTCAAACAAATAACCATGCATGATGCTAACTGACCCAAAAGGCCATCAGCCACACCATCCCTTGAACATGTACTATCAATCTGAAAAATGAATGAGATATTATACCTTCAATCTCATTAAGACTAGATCTAATGAAGGTCGACAACAAATCAACCTCGGAAAGAAACGTTTTACATGATTCTGGTACAGTTGAAAGCCTGAAAGAAACTGTCATTGGTGAATTAGGGCAGTAAAGCAACTTCAAAATAGTGACATTGAATGCCACGTCGTGCACATTTACAAGGTAGAACCCAAATAAATCATATAAACACACAGATTGAAGCATAACTCTTCAATGGAAAGAAAATAGATTTACCTATGAGTATGTTGTCTATATGTAAAAACACCATTATTGATTTTTCGGCATGAATATAGAGCAACGGAGTTGACGATCCATCTGGATGTTTGATAGTTTCTTAATATCTGATAACATCTACCTGAAAAACATTAAAGGTAAAGTGTTCAGAAATTCAACAAAATCAATGGCTTACGATACCTTCTCCTTCTCATTTTTGGCAAACTCAATAGAAAATTGATTGAAGCTTTAATGGTTTATTACCAATAAGATTTGGAGAAGTTATTCTGACTTGTTATCAACTAGTCTTCTGCCAACTACTTTTGACCCAACTTATTTGTTTTTGTGTATCTTAATGTCTATAGAAAATAGATTCTCAATTTTTCATGTCCTGTTGTTCCCCATCTCATTGGAATTTAGTAGATAGAAAGCTGCTATTTTGCAGTATACAAATGACCAATGCTGATCAATGTGGAAACATTTTGCAATTGATATAAAACAGCCCTCTTAGCATGACTGCATATGCAATTTTTACTGTTCTATTCTTTTCCTTTTTACATCTAGTCCTCTGTTGATGTCATCTCAACATCCAGCATATCCAAAATTTTCAAGATTTCTTGATACTGAAAATGGCTCTTTTCTTCCATACGAAATGCATGAAGCTTCCCATTTACTTCCACAACACTATTACCAGGCACTTTCTTTGTACCACTCCTTTTCATTGCATTTCTCACATCAGCTACTTCATCCCACTTCCTTGCTTTGGCGTAAAAATTCGATATCAATGCATAAATCCCTGTGTTAGCATCAGGATTCAACACCAAGATCTTCTTTGTCACCATCTCTCCGATCAGAAACTTACCATGGTTATGACATCCTGAAAGAAGGGCAACCCAAAAGGCAAGCCCTGGTTCAGTTTTCATCGAGCCAATCAGATTGTAAGCCTCCTCAACATGCCCACCACGAGCCAAAAGATCAGCCATGCAAGCATAATGCTTGTTGGTTGGATCAATGTTATATTCCTGAACCATGAGCTTAAACCATAGCCTACCTTGTTCTACTAAACCTGCATGGCTTAATGCTGACAACAGAGAAGCAAAGGTCGTATGGTCTGGTTTTGAGTTTGCTTCTAACATGTTGTGGAACACTGAAAGTGCTTCATTTCCATGCCCATGATTCCCATAGCTAGAAATCATTGCATTCCACAAGACTATATCTTTAAAAGGGATTTTATCAAACAAGTTACGTGCATAAGAAAGGGACCCACATTTTGAGTATGCATCGATCAATGCGGTGCCTAGAACTTGATTGAAAACTAGCATTTTTATCACATATCCATGCAGTGATCTAGCAAGTTTCAGAGTCCCAATTTGAGAACAAGCTAAAAGTGCACCAACAATGGATGTTATGTCTGGTTTGAATCCAAAGCTTTGCATCTCTGCTAATAAATCAAATGCATTACCAGCACATCCGTTTTGAGCACAACCAGAAAGCATGGCACTCCAAGCAACTACATTCTTGTAGTCCATTGATCTAAATACTCGAGAAGCAAGCTCCAAGTTTCCATTTTTGGCATGCATGTCTACAAGACTGGTTTGAACTACTACATCCATGGGGAAAAGATGTCTTCTAATCAAATACCCATGAACAGAAAGACTTATTCTTGTGTTGGTAACATCGGCACAAGCCTGAATCAAACCCAAAATCGCAATTTTATCTCCTTCCATGCCTTCCCTTTGCATCAGGCGGTAAACATCTATGGCTTCACCGCCTCTCCCACTTTGTGCAAACCCTGTAATCATTGTAGTCCATGAAACAACATCTCTTTTCGGCATTTTCTCAAACACTCCCATTGCTTCATTCATTTTCCCACACTTCGCATACAAATTCAACACTGAAGAAGCTACAAACACATCATCTTCATACCCACAGTCAATTGCCTGCTTCCGAATCTCTTCGCCCATTCCCAAGTTCATCATGTTTGTGCAGGCCTTAAGTGCCACAGTAAAAGTTGAGCTGTCAGGTCTAACTCCTTCCAAATTCAATTCCTGGTAAAGGTTAATTACTTCACGATGATTATCATTGCGAGAGTAAGCTATTATCATAGCGTTCCAAGCATCCACACCTTTCTTAGGAATTTTATCAAACACCTTGTGAGCAAATTCAATATCCCCATTTCTAGAATAGGACGCTATGAGTTGGGTATTGCAACTCCCACTATCAATGTACCCAGAAACTATCAGCAAAGCATGGATCTTTGCGACAGATGGAGTATCTTTACAAGCACGGAAAAACGATGTAATGGTCTTTCGTGAAAACATACACATATGCTTCAAATCAAGATTTCTGAAATAGATTTCCTGATGTTTTTGAGTTCGGAAGGATCTATTCTCCACTTGGCGTTAATACTCTGAGCCAATAAATCTCCCTCTTTATATACCTGAATAAAAGTAGTTGATGGAAGACTATTTGATAACCAGTCAAAATAAGTTTTCAAACCTATTGGTTAAAAAGCCACTGAACAATCATCAACTCGCTTTGATTACATACGTATCTTGCTAAGTTGAACCCTATTAAATGTGCATAACAATATTGAGATGGCGAAAATATTACCTGCTGCTCGCATCACCATAGTCGCACTCGTGGTACTGTGTACGCTCTTCTTTCCCCAAACCGAAAGCAATGTTGAATTAGAATTTGATTACAAAATCGAAGCGATTTCGAAGTCGCAATCAAATCCCGAAGAAGATGTTGTTTGTGGCTGCATAAATTCTGCCCAAATCAAAGCTGTTCTCAAGGTTAAAGTGCAGATTAAGTGGTTGTAGTCTTGTGGAGAGATCTTGGAAAACCCTCTGCGAATGACAACGTTGGTTCTCTAAAACCCCCCCTAAAAACCCCAAAAATCAAGAAGACGAATGTAAAAAGGAAAACGAATTCTCAAAGCCACCACTCTGATGCATACCAAATTACCAACGGGAAAAATATTACATTTTAAGGAAACAAACATTTCAAAATCATTATTAACAATTTAACAAATTCTTTTGCAAGTATAATTTACTATCGCTAAAACTTGAATCTTGTTTGATAAAAAAAATACGTCTCTTAATAGTTCTATTATTTTGTATCTTGTCCCTCCATTAACCATTGAGCACCCTAATTTGATTATGAATAATTACCAAATGTTTATATTTTATTTTGCACTATATTATAAAAGGCATTTTAATCATTTCGACCACTTAATCGTTCTGCATCAAATTATTCACCAACTGTCAAACAACCCATAAGTACCCGTTTATTAATAAATGTTTGCTGGCAAGAGATATCACTTTGTTTACATTATCATATAACATTCTCGGTTATCAAACTAGATTGTTTGTAAGCGTCTTAAATCCAATAAGCACTTATCAGATAAGAGACTTTCCTAACTTATCGTGTAAAACTTTCGGTTCTTGTTATGCTTTTTACTGGACAAGATTCTCTGTCTTTCACGTAAGTACTATCAGTAAACGCTTACGAGTAATGATGAATTATTCATCATAAATATTTATCAGGACATCTATCATGAATACTACATAAAATAGGTGGTTCTCATATTCTCAATATATTTAAGGTTGCTAAATTAACTTGCCCTAACACCTATATCAGTTTTTAATATACTTTTATTTATACATGTATCAAAAGTTTGTCCAAATAATATGTAATTTGGATACAAAAACTTTTTGTGTGTGTTACTGATCTAAAATAAGTAAAACCATCGTCTTTTTTCACAATCCTTGTTTTTTCTTATAAAATTTATGACCATGCTGGAGCTATGCAACACGCCTTTTTAACACGGTTTGTGTCAAAACTGACAAAAAATGATCCTTTTTATCAACATGTTTATGACGTTGAACCAAAATGGTTTAGTATTCGCACGTCCTTCATAGGCCGCTAAGTTTGCTTCCTTAATTGAACGAGCGAAGCTGAATCAATTAGACTGGATGGACGTGTGATTACAACACTTGCTTTCGTGCTGAAATCTTGTTGATTGTTGTTCACTTTTTTTTTTCCCGTATTGCGAGTTAAACAATGCTTGTATACTTTCTTTTCTCTAAATCAAGACCATCACCCGAGTTCAAAAAATTCATATAGATGAAAGAACAATTCAATCTCCACTTGATTATTTTTTTAATAAAAATTAACTGTCATCTTCAAACTGTAAGTTGCAACCGTTGGAATGAAATTAAATTCCATTATTTAGAATTTTTTTTTTATAAAATTAATTAAATTACCGTTTATTAATAAACGGATTTTTCAACATATTGTAAAACATTATTGTAAACAAATCCTATGAGGCCCATGGGACTTCTAAATCCAATCTTTGTGGGATTTAAACGAAATCCTACTATTTTAATTACGGACCTTCCTTTAAATCAAACGCATGATTGGAATGAAATCCAGTTCCATATTTCACCAACGAAACGAGCTCTAAGTTGTTCTATTGAAATTCCAACCAAATACAAGCAATAAAAATTAAAAATAAACATTTATAAAATTGGTACTTAAAAGTCCGGATTTTGTTGTAATCATCACTGGCGCTTCCAGAAATATACCATTTCTTTTTCTTTCTTCAGAATAACACGAAAGTATACAAACCGATTAAAGGTTTTTGCATTTCTATTATTTGTTCCGCAATAAATAAATATGAGATTTTTGATTGAAAACATTTAGACATTACTTTCAAGAGGACCAACCATTTGAGCAAATACAATTGCTCATTCACCGATAACAACTTGTTCGCAATAGAGTTCGTTCCATTTGGAACCTCGTGGTCACTGACTTCAAATTCTCCTGTGGGTCTCAAAAACAATGAAGCCGTTGATTGTAAATGACGGGTTTGTGGTTGTTTTCAGGTGAAAACTGACAGCAGTCATAGGAAATAAAGAATTAAAAGGGAAACAGAAAAAAAAAAAAAAAAAACATAAAAAGGTTTTAATGAAATTAGTCATGCATGAGAAAATGAAACTAAAGATCGATTAAGGACCAAAAAGAAGTTGATAAAAAAGCAAGCTTTGAAATTAACCACCACATAAGACACATGTACACTTTTTATTATTTTAATCGAAGATTAATCGAATCAGATATTGTAATATTTCTGGCTAATCGTATTAGATATTATCCGTTTTATCTATACCTGAATTTATGGTTTTAAAACATGTCTACTATTAAGAGATATTCAGTCCCTTATAAGACAACATGTCAATTTTTATTCTCTACCGCAACCTATTTCATTAAAAATTTAAAGAGCTAATTATCTACAATTTCATTAAAATAGAGTTCCAAAAGTTAAAATCTCTTAAATAATTACATATATCTCTAACAAATTCTTTATTTTAGATATTTCTACATTAATTATATCATTAAAGTGTTCTATAATTTTATCATCAGAGTACATTTTAAAAAACAATTATATAAAATAATAATAAAACCAATTTCATTGGTGATAATGAATAGAAAAATCACTTATCTCTCCTCACATCACATTTTAGAGGATTCTCTAAAAATGGAAGTTTTTTATGCATGTTTTTCTCTATTTTAGAGAACAATATAGAGAATATGTTGAATATGATATTAGACAGCAAAATAGCCATTATTACGTGGGTGGCGTCAACCTCATAGCGTAGCACAATTGGTCATGAGTTGGATAAACCGATAAGAGTTTGAGTTTGCCGATGGTAGTGTAGGAGTTATAATTCCTTTAAGGATTTGGCTCATGTCTCAGCCACTTAGTGAGTGAGTCGTTGTGTACCTAATTTGCCTCTCATATACTGATATTGTTATTTATATACCCCCTTGCACAAAAATAGGTGGATTATTTAACATTTTATATTTTATGTCAAAATTTGGCAAATCAATAACTTTAGGGGGGCGTTTGCTTCGGAGAATGAATTATGAAGGAATGAAACATGTCAAAGAAATTGGAATATGAAATGAATTGAAATGAAATGTTATCAGGTTTGACCAAATGTTTGGTTGACAAAAATGAAGTGTAATTCGTCTAATGAATTGGAATATGCCTGTTTGGTTTGCAATAGGATTGGAATGAAATTATGAAAAAAGACAACAATACCTTCTTCTTTTTTTAATTACAAGAAACCCCTTCTCCTTTCATTTAACAGCTCACACCCAATGCGTTAAAACCCTTCTCTTTTCATTGTACCCTTGTTCCTTAACAGCTCACACCCAATCTCATAAATGTGTTTCTTCTTTTTCTCTGTGTTTTTCTTTCATCGGCGACCCATATCTGTCCAAAAACACTGCTCGAGTCCGTCCAAAAATACCCACTTCTGCCTCCGTCCACAAATATTGCTCACCTCCATGCAAAAATACTACTCGTCTCCCGATTCACATCTACTGCTCGCCTCCTAGTCTCGTCTCACCCTTTGCTGAAAATGGGTTTTGGTTCAATATATGAATAGAGCTTGATTTGGGTTTGATTTTGGGGTTCACGTTTACATTGGGTTTGATTTTGAATCAAGAGTTTGGAGCACGAGCATCATAAGAATAAATTTTCTCTCAAGAGTTTGGAGGGCGAGCATTAGTTTTAGGAATGGATTTCAATAACTGATGAGGGTATTTTTGTCATTTCCACATTTTTGGATGAAATAAACTTCAATTCCATTCCATGGGTAACCAAACATTGGAATGGAATTTGGTCAATGGAAATGACCATTCCAATTCCATCAAATTCCGACGGATTCCAACGAACCAAACGTCTCCTAAGATTGTTTTATGATCATGGGTTGTGGGACCCTTCTTGGGGATTTAGCCCCAACAAACTTGACAATTGCATGGGCTGGTGTCTAATCATGTGAGATATGCTGAGTTAGGGACCGTTTACCAAATGTAGGATAAACACTTACTGACAAGAGTTATCACCTTTACTTACCTTGTTAAGTGTCATTATTGGGTAAGAGCCTTTCCCCTTGTTTACCCGGTAAGATCCTTAGTTCTTATCATATTTCTTACATGATAAGATTCTTGGTCATTGACATTATCACCTGACAAGGCAAGTAACCTAATAAACACTTCCCCCATAAAATAAAGGGGGTATTTCTTTGAGGAAGCTTCTAATGAATCGAATAATCAAGAAATTTAATATGCCTAACAAAAACATGTGGGGTGGTGGCGCAGTTGGCTAGCGCGTAGGTCTCATAGCTAAAGAGTGATCCTGAGGTCGAGAGTTCGAGCCTCTCTCACCCCAATAAACTTTTTTCGATTCATTGCCTTCTTGTCGTTACTTATGCATTATAATCCCCTTGCGCCCCCCCCCCCCTCCTTCAAAAACCCTAAACCTAAAGCCCTCTGCAACCTCCGAACATCGGACAACCAATCAACAATGGGGAAACAAAGCAAAAGTAAGCGTAAATATGCTTTTCATATCGATTTCTGTTTTTTATCGTTCTTTCTGCTCAAATTCGGTTGAATATGTGTATGCCTTTCACAGAATCGAGTGACTGTGTGTGTGTGTGTGTGTAGTTCTATCTGTATCTTAACATTTATTCTGCTTAATTTCGATTGAATGTTTAGGTTGGTATGCGAACTCCTATTTAACGTGTATTCGTTAGTCTGCGTGTTTGACATTTTTTCCTGCTGAAATATGATTGAATGTCTATGTGCGTGTTTCAACAAATTCAATGTGTATATCACGTTTTAAAATTTCTTCTGCAAATTTGATCGAAGTTTATGTTGGTGGTAGGAATCCGATTGCATGAGAGTACGTTAATATGCGTGTTTGCATTTCTTTCTACACAAATTCGATTAATGGATATATGTGTGTTTGTATTTAGCAAATTCGATTGGATATTGAATGTGTATTGGTGTGATTTGGCATTTTCTCACTCTTTTTTGCTCAAGGCACATGCGTTTGTGTGATTTTGCGTTTGAATCTGCAGAGAGTAAGAATAAGAGAGTCACACTGAAGCATAAGCACAAGGTGCTAAAGAAGGTAAAAGAGCATCACAAGAAGAAGGCCAAAGAGGCGAAGAAGCTGGGTATGAACAAAAAGCCTAAAGTTGAGAAGAACCCAGATAATGATGACAGGCCTTTAAATGAACAAGAGCTGAAGGATCTCGAGGCTCGTCGTGCAAAGGCTCTTGAGGCTCGTCGGGCAAAGACTCCTGTGGAAATCGAGCAGAAAAAGGATGCTAGTATAGAAAGGGTATTTTATTTGCTTTAGATGTTCCGAAATTTAAAATGGAGAAACACAGAGTGACCATCGATGTTACCATCAAACTCATGAGAATTCTTCCAAGTAGGAAATAACATGCAGTAAATATACTTTTCTCTTTGTAACATAGTTTCTCTTTGGGAAAGGTAAAATATGAGTTTGGTGGTAAGTGGTAACATTGGTGGTTGCCATACATTTAATCTTTAATATGTGGCCAACCATACCGGATATTGTCCGCTTTGTCCACATCTGTACTCATGGTTTTAAAACGTGTCTGATAGAGGAGGTATCTAGTCCCTTATAAGACAACCTGTGTTCCCCTCCCAACCGATGTGGGATCTTACAAATGGTATAAGGGTCAAGAACCGGACTAGTGTGTCAGGGTCCCCGTTGGGCTCTCAAGGGGTGGGTGGATTGTAAGATCCCACATTGGTTGGGGAGGGGAACACAGGTTGTCTTGTAAGGGACCAACAGGGACCCTGACACGCTAGTCCGGTTCTTGACCCTGATACCATTTGTAAGATCCCACATCGGTTGGGAGGGGAACAAAGGTTGCCTTGTAAGGGACTAGATACCTTCTCTATCATACACGTTTTAAACCATGAGTCCAGATGTGGACATATCTGGTGTGGTTGGTCAAGCCTAACGGGGACGCTGACACACCAGTCCAATTCCTGACTCTGATACCATTTGTAAGATTCCACATCGGTTGGGGAGGGGTCCATACATCCTCTATGAGACATGTTTTAAAATGAGAGTCCAGGTGTGGACAAAACGACAATATCCACGGTTGACCTAAAATGTTACAGGTGGTATCAGAGCCGGGGACTTGTGCCAGGACATTGGGCTCCCGGGGAGGGGGGTGGATTGTAAGATCCCACATCGGCTGGGAGGGGAACAAAGGTTGCCTTATAAAGGACTGGATACCTCCTCTATAGACGTGTTTTAAAACCGATGAGTCCAGGTGTGGACAAAGTGGACAAATATCTGGTACGTTGGCCTGGGATGTTACATATCTGATGTAATTTGATGTGGTATTTAGACTTTTTAGCCTACATCTGCGATTTGTATTAATTGAAATGATACTGCTATTGCCACGACAGTTTGGCCAGAAATTTTACATTAGATGTTTCTTCAGGTTAAAAAGAGGAAGTTGGGGCAATTGGACGACGACGATGATATCATGAATCTTCCTGAGCAGGTTTCTGCCAGAGAACAGGCTTTTGGAGAGGGAAAAGTCCTTGATGATTTTACAGTGATGAGTAAGACACGGGGTAAGTGACTTAGTGACCACATAATTCTCTTGGAATTTACCCCCTTTGTGCCTTTGTCCTTCCTTCTCTGTAAATCTGGTTTTGTTATCATCTCAAGTGTTCTGGATTGCACAGACAATTCAGAGAGATCTTTCTTCAAGGAGTTGGCAAAAGTTATCGAAGCATCAGATGTCATCTTGGAAGTGCTTGATGCTCGGGATCCGCTTGGGACTCGTTGTGCTGATATGGAAAAAATGGTTTTGAGAGCTGGTCCTGAAAAGCATCTCGTGTTGCTCTTAAACAAAATTGGTAATATTTTAATTTACCTGCTTAACTAAACCAAAATGTTATGTTATATCTCATTTGGAAACACTTCAGGTTTTAATTTTTCGTTTATGTTCTGAAAAGAGTGTATTGAAGTTTCAAACTGAAAAATACACAATCTCTCCTCTGTTTTATCTTTGATACCTGTTTTTTGTCAAACAGAATAGTCTTGTCAACCGTGTTATAATTTTACTATATAATAGAAATTACAACACCAGGTGATGTTACAAATATGTGACATGAAACAGAAAATAAGTATTACCAAAACAGGCATTGATATAGAGTCTTATTCTGATGAATTGCCACCTATGATCATTACTAAATGGAACTTGGATATATCAGATCTTGTTCCTCGTGAAGCTGCTGAAAAGTGGCTCAAGTATCTTAGAGAGGAGTTGCCAGCAGTTGCTTTCAAGTGTAGTACCCAAGAGCAAAGGTCTAACCTAGGGTGGAAGTCCTCCCGATCTGCAAAGAAAACAAGCAATCTTTTGCAAACAAGTGACTGTCTTGGAGCAGAAACTCTTATAAAGTTGCTTAAAAATTACTCAAGAAGTCATGAGGTATCTCTAGCTATAATTCAATGTTTTCCTTGTTCTCGCTGTTCTGTTGTGCAGTAAATGGATATATGATAATCTGTTATTCGGGTGAAGTCCGGTCCAATTTAAGCTACCCCATATCAGCTATAGAGCATGGTAATATGGATATGGTTACATATAGATCCAAAAGTATCTGGGAATCCATTTTTCTTTCATATAATATACTAATATTTAATTAATAACATATTCTTAATTAAATTATTTAGTTAAAAACAAGGCTGTATATTCAATTACTTGCAAATGAAATACGTTTCTTATAATCCACAAGAAAGTATGTACATTGCTCAGCGCACCATGTTCTGTTACTACAACCTTTTACCATTGATTCTAATTTAATGTTTAATATGTAAGCACATACAATCTGATGCGAACATAGATATGAAATCCCTAGTTTTTTATTCAGTAAGAACTTGTATGAACTCTTGTATGGTGGTTTTAGGGCCTGTTCATTAGCAGCTTGATGAGTTTAATAAGACTTGAAGCTTATTCGGTCTGATATACATGACTGTTTGGTAGTGACTTAATGATATAGAAAGTGGCTTATTCAGTAAGCTTCTAGAGGGAGCTTTATGCAGAAAGTCAAGTTTTTTTTGGAGCTGCCCCTCCCAATTAAAAAACACGCTCCATCCATCTATCAGAAAACCCTCCCAAAGAAAAACCTCTGAATCTATACTAACAGATTAATCTACACCAACCAAACACCCCCATATTGGAGATTGCTTTAATTGGAATAGAGTGCTTGTATCACTATTTTGTTAGTTCTAATTAATAGTGTTCTTTTTTATGGTACAGCTTAAAAAATCAATCACTGTGGGTGTAGTTGGCCTGCCAAATGTAGGTAAGAGCAGTCTTATCAATAGTTTGAAGAGATGTCATGTTGTCAATGTTGGGGCGACACCAGGACTGACAAGAACCATGCAAGAAGTTCAGTTAGACAAGAATGTTAAACTTTTGGATTGCCCTGGTGTTGTGATGCTTAAATCCGGGGATAATGATGCTGCTGTTGCACTTCGAAATTGCAAGAGAATTGAGAAGCTAGAGGATCCTGTCGGTCCAGGTAACTGACATTTATCTTCATAATTCCTATATCACTATGGGGAAGAATAAAGAACTGGAAAATTTTCTGAACCACACTGCACTCGAACTTACTGTCATAAACTTATGGCATTTTGTTTCTTCATAATTGGTGTTTGATATCGGTCTTTTGATCATGAAACCATGATTTTACCATGCTGACATATGAACACACAGTCACACACACATATGTATATATATATATATAGAGAGAGAGAGAGAGAGAGATAGAGAGGTTCATGGGAAAACCCCCAAAAAATTGAAAAACTGAGGAACACCCTGGTAATCAGTCATCTGGACGGTATGCACATGTGCATGCAAGTAATCGAAGCTGCTTCCTGGTTTTTATGCACGTGTGCATGCTATGCACATGCGCATACCGGACAAATTGACAAATTACTTGTATGCACATGTGCATACCGTTCAGTTTTTCATGAGCCTATATATGAATATTAGTTTTCTAAAATTTATATAACATGTATGAGAGTTGCTGCAAAAAATTTGGTGCAACAAGCACCAAATAATAGCTTTAAAACATGCACTTGGGGTAGTTCCCATGTCCGAAAGGCATAAAAAACCATTCCTGACTTTTGGTGACACTGGCGAGGTTTTGTGCTATGTGTCATGATAGTCTCCGACTTCTGTGTAACACCCAAAAAAAAAAAAACAATCTGTAATATTGGCTATTGCTAATAGAACAGGATAAAGGAACACAAAATTAATCCTTCAAATAAAATTAAACTTGAAAAATAAAATAAAATATGAATCTCAAAACCTCAAAGACACCATGAGTGATTCAATGGTTAAATGTAAGTAACCAAAAAATGACTTTGTAGTATTATGATGTGTATATGTTCTTGAACAATCAAAATTGTTGAAATGCCGTCCTAAAACCATGACTGCCTAAAGGGCTGTTTGGTTGGTTTTCCATCGAGTCCTGTATGGATTATCTGTCTGTATAGATTGGCAAGATTTTTGTTTGGGAGGGGTTTTTCATAGGTGAAACGAGCGTGTTCTTTAATCGGGAGGGATATGTTCAGAAAAACCTGGCTTTTTGTTTAAAGCTCCCCTAGAAGCTTACTTAATAAGCCACTTTCTATATATCATTAAGTCACTACCAAACAATCATGTATAACTAACTGACTTAAGTTTTGAGTTCTTTTAAGCTCATTAAGCTGCTAACAAACAGGCCCAACTGTTGATGTTCTGGTCAGCACCAATTCAGCTATTTGTCACAGCTTGCATGATCGATTTACTTTGTTCCTGATATCTTGTTCCCTTTTTCTTTTTCTATTTTGCATTATTCTCGGTTCCCTGTTGAATCTGAATGGTTTATTGACCGATTTCAGTGAAGGAAATCCTAAAATTATGCCCCGCGCAAATGTTGATTACGCTATACAAACTTGCTAGCTTCGATTCCGTTGATGACTTTCTTTTCAAGGTAGCGACCCTCAGAGGTAAGCTCAAAAAGGGAGGTATCGTGGACATCAATGCTACTGCGAGAATCGTGTTGCATGATTGGAATGAAGGTTCGTATCAGCAATTTGCGGTTCTATATTTTGTAAATTCCATTGTAGATATAAAGAAGTTTGACACCATTTAAATGGGAAACTTTCTAACGGAAAATGTGCAAGTAGAAAAATAGTTGATCAATGTCGTTTTCAATGGTTTTCGGGATTCTTATTCATATGCTTATTTACCACCATCTTTTGCAGGTAAAATTCCGTATTACACAATGCCTCCAACTAGGAACGAAGGAGAGGTTATGGAGGCGAATATAGTTTCTGAACTTGGGAAGGAGTTTAACGTGGATGAAGTATATGGCACCGATTCCTCGATTATTGGCAGCCTAAAATCTGTCAATGATTTTAACTCTGTTACGATCACGCCCAACAATCCTCTTGTTTTTGACGAGACAATGCTCGAGGTTCGCTATTCCTTTCCGCAGTTTTATAAAGAGTGATCTGGCTTTTTCTTTTGATATCAAATGTTTGTTTTTAATTTCAAAGTAATCATGGTATTTTTACAATTCGGTAAAAATCTTAACAAGGCAACGTTTGGCAACCATAAACTAACTTATAAGCTAACTTTTACAAAAGCTATTCCAAGTAGTGTTTCAATAAACTTCAGGGTTTTTTTTTCCAATTTAAGTTCATTTTACATTCTCATTTAGCTAATCCAGCTTTTTGTCAACTAGCTTATCAGCCAACAACTAGCTTATTCTTTTAGTTTGCTGAACACAGCCAAGTTGATTTATATTCCTTGCGGCTTATGCTTATCCACACGACCTCTTATTTTACAGAACGATAAACAATCACAACCCGAAAATCCAGTAGGAATTATCAACAACGTAGGCGAAGACGAAGCCATGGCAGAAGATGATGATGATTCAGGAGAGGCGAAGATCAAGAATTCCAGTAGCAGACAAAACGAGAAATTGTATGCTGCCGAAGGCGTCTTAAACACAAAGTTAAGGAAAGCAGAGAAAAAGAGAAGGAAAAAGGCGAACAAATTAGCATCGATGGAAGAAGATCAGCCGAAGGAGAGTGATAAGGTAGATGATGTTAAAAAAGGATCTGCCATGGAGGAAGACAACGATGGGTCAGTTAATGATGTCATGAAGAACCGATTTGCGTTGCCGGAGACCGCATTGGCGCTCGATGAGTAGAATTTTACCGGCAGAGTGATGATATATACGAGCTAAGTTTTCGGTTTTTTTGAATTTGATATATCAGTTAAATCTTGTTTTCAATTTTATAACCAACAATTTTGCCTGATGATGTTTTTATTTGATTATTTCTCATGCTTACAATTAAAAGCGATAAATGAAAGCATATGGGTTGGGTTGAAAACGGGTCAAAATGATAATTGGGTTGGCTATGTGGGTTGAATGGATTTTTTGTGGAAAAAAACTGGTCTGCTGGAGAACCGGAAGATTGGGCGGACGAACAAGTCGTACGGAGATGGAGAAATGAACCGACTAAAAGGGATCAGACCGGTTACAAAAGCACCGGTCGGGATTGGTTTGTCCATACTGGTTAATACGTTTCTAGCTCTAGATTAGGCATAACAACGGGACGGGGATGGGGCGAGTTTTCTAATCCCCGACCCTGGCCCTGGTTTCTTTGTACGACCCTCGGCTCTGGTCCCCGGTGGGCGGCGGGTATTAGGATTAATATCTTGTCCTCGGTTTATTTTCTGGTTAAACCCCGATCCTTGTCTACAATCAAAACCTAATTTTAGAAAATAAATAATAATCTATATATATACACACATATATTATATAAAACATATCAATAAAATTATATACCGGGTACGGGGCAGGTCGGGGGATATGCTACCCGCTCCCGGCCCCAACCCCGGTTTGAGTCTACGAGGGATCTTCGGTCTTAGGACCCGTTTTAGCGGGGAATCCCCGTCCACGTTCGGGTCGGGTGAGCCGGATTTCTCATCGGATCGGGGCAAATCACCATCCCTACTCTGGATTTGTTACAACGTACAAGACTAGTCTTAGATAAATTCAAATTCACATTAAAATTGATTTTTGCTAGAGGTAAATATATTATTCAAGCATAAAAACGTTATTATATGGATTTCGGTTTAGGTCTTACAAACTGGCATTTGCTACACCTAATAACATAAAACTCGATCTACTTAATGCTTACGAATGATAGCATAAAAAGATCAACTGAAAGCATTTCGTGACCATGTCGCTGAAGATGGTGACATTTTTTTGCATCTTCAATGTGTGATTTTGAATGGACCCCCAATATTTTGGACCTAATTTTATATCGTTTTAAGTTATTTCATAAACCAATGTAAAACCATAGTTTTCCAATTTCTACAAGACAAAAGTAATACGTCTCATTAGCAATTCTGTAATTTGTATATTTGTTGTACTATTTTGTAGTGTATCAAAAGTTTTAGATGTAACAGGGTCTCCAAAAATATTGGAGCGTGCTTAGATGAAGACTGGCAAAACGTAAGTATTCAAAAGTGGCACTATCAAAGGGTGCCTCCAATTTTTATACGTACCACCATTTTGAACCCGACCATAAACATGGTTGGAAATTGGAATATAGATTTAAAAAAACCCAGCGCATTTGGTTCAACCAAATAAACCGGGTAGACCAAATCAATGGCTTTCTTCCGGGAGACTTGTTAAACCCGAAACCAGCTACCGTGTTCTCAAAATCAATCAATTAATCAGTTCAAATCTAAATACTCATTTCAAAGTCATAAAATTAGCAAATGATTAATTTTGTCATGTAACTCGGTTGATAAACTGGTGGACCAATTTTACTCAAATACAAGACTAGTCATGGGTTCGATCATAAACCCCAGCTAGCCTCGACTATTAAGTGCGCCAAAAGCACTCCATTATATGACTCTATATAGGATCGGTTAAGATTATCAGTAATTATATTTTTTACCAAGATAAATTTAGTAAAGAAAGGCGTTACAAAAAGAACATCCATAAATCTAGAAAGAGGTCGTGTATAATATTCGGTATTCAGATTTTGACCATGTCTTTGTGTATATTTTTCGAATTCTAGAAAGTCTAAATAAAGAAAATGGTTGGTCAACTCAACCTATTATTTGTTATGTTGGTATATTCAGCCACCAAATTGTCTACCATCATCTTCACACCTTAAATATTTAAATATATGATCACTAAAATTTTATATAAATATTGTTAAAAATATCTGATAAAAAATAGTAAAAAATGTTTTCCTATATTAATGTTCTTAGAAGTCGGTTTCATGTAAGATCGGTTGGGATTATTGTCTTGTCAGTAATCTAACTTTTTGTCCAAATATTGTTAAAAAATTATAAATAGTATAAGGTTTTTATTAATTTTTTACCAATAAATTTATGTACTCAAATCAAAAGGCCTTTGGCCTAGCGGTATGTGAGTCATTTGGCCTCATAGGAGCTTAGGGGTTCAAATAAGGATGGTGATATGTGTCCTGACCCAGTGGGAAACCCAGCTCACCGACCCAGACGGGGATTCCCTGCTAAAAAAGGTCCCTGGGCTGGAGATCCCTAGTAGACTCAAACTAATATATGTTTTTCATAGGGTTTGACCGGAGATGAAATGTTAATCTTCGTATTCATCAGGGACCGGGGCTATTACTAAAAACCAGGGTCGGGGATTATAAAACTCGTCCCATCCCCGACTTGTTACCATGCCTAAATCCAAACCTCACCAATGGTGAAGAAGATGAGTGCGTTTATTTGTTTTATTTACCGTATATAAATATTATATATTTAAAAAAAGTTATGTATGAATACAATATATACTTTCAATAGAAAATAAGCAATAAAGCGTGTCTTTTTCTAAGTTTGAAATAACCATCTTTATTATTTCAAAACTAATTAATGAGTAAACTACAGTTTTGGCCATTATGGTTTTTCAATTATAACACTTTTAGTCCCTATATTTTTGAAAGCACAAAATGATCATCGTGTTTTACAACAACGTTAGAATTTCATTCGTCTCTAACGACTATTAGAAAAACTCGTGAAGTGAATATTTGTTTGGTCTTTTCCACTTTATCACATTTAAAAAAAATATATAACTTTGTGATTGCGAAATACGATAATGTTCCTCACTTAACGGCTAAAACTTAATGACCGTTAGAGGCAGACAAGAAATCCACACACTTTTACAAACCATAATGACCATTTTGTATTTTTAAAACTATAAGGACAAAAATGTCATAACCAACAAACAACAGGGATCAAATTTGTAATTTACTCCTAATTAATTTATGAGCATGACATGAGTCTGGATCTGAAAATTCAAATACAGATTCAACGGAAAACCGCGTGGCATTTTCGTAATTTCCCATGATCTGCCCGGCATTTTCATAAAATGACACCGTTTACAAAACCCCCTTTCCATATACGAAAACCCATAATCTCCTCCTTTTCATTTTACCTTCCACTTTCTCTCTCTAACATCCCTCCCTCTCTCTCTAAGAATTAATCGTCGTTCTTGCCGTCACGCTTCCTCCATTTCCGGTGCATCTGTTCTCCTCCGTCGCCGTCGGTGCTAGGTTTTGTAGTTGTTATAGACAGAGAGTAGGTTATTATGGGACAACAATCGTTGATCTACAGTTTTGTGGCTAGAGGAACAGTGATTCTGTCGGAATACACGGAATTCACCGGTAATTTTACTAGTATCGCCGCTCAGTGTCTCCAGAAGCTTCCTGCCACCAACAACAAGTTCACCTACAACTGCGACGGTCACACCTTCAACTACCTTGTTGAAGATGGATTCAGTGAGTCCGATCTGGTCTATTTGTCGTTTTTTTTCCGATCTGATTCTGCTATTGAGAAATGATATTTCCTGTTATGATTGATTGGTTTATTAAGTAATCTACATGTATGCTGGATTTGTTTGGCTTTGCCTCTTACTTTCTCCCTTTATTACTCATTTTGAAGTTCCTTTTTGTGATTACCTGCGTAGAGTATGACTTTTTGCTTGTTTGATTTGCTTCTTGTTGATGAAATTGATCCCCGTGTGTATTTGCTGTTGTTATTGATTGACTGTGAATCCGAGATGCCCGGCTTTGCAGTTACGTCTGTTATACTTTGGATCTTAATGAATCACGTAGAACTCATTAGCCAGCTTTAGACGTGAAGTCTCATTTCACGTGCTCCTGCAGCAATTAATTGTGAACCATATTATCTGTACTTGGTTTTATTTATTTGCACTAGTAAATATACGATATAATTGGTTATAGTTTTGAATGTTAATCACATCACAATGTTAAAGTTATGCAAGTTTTGTTTCAATTTTTTTACATCTGCATGTTAAATTAACACTGATCTATAAATGTTACAATCTCTAACTGATCTATAAATGTTACAATCTCTAACCTACCTTTGGATATTTATGGTATCTATCCAAATATCTAATGTCTGATATATGATGTATAATATCTAGAAGCTATTCATACTGTTGTAGCTTGTATCAGCAATAACTTGCTGAATTTCAGGGTTCTGAATTTGTCATGATTGATGAGTGATTTGGTGTTATAGACCAAAATAAGCTGGCATTTGTAGCTCGTTTGACATTCCTTGATACCCTGATCTGTGTGTCATAGCTATGCTCCATCCACCTGATAGTAATATAGTTACCTGATATTTATGCAGCCAGAGTTATTGCTATAACCATCAGTTTGCTGTTTGAATCCATGCTTCTGAATTTTGTTGGAAATCTGATATATTTCTGCAGAAAATGAGCTTTTTTACAATAGTTTAGATTGCTTTACCATGATTCAGCAAACATACAAATATGGTGGAAGATATGTTATTTCTTTATATGCAGTCACATTTGATACCACATGACTTGATGATACCATTCAAATATACTATTTACGCTTATTTAGCGAGCATATAATAAACAGTAGAAGTAACGGTTTTTTATTGCCTGGTTAATGGATTCACTTGCCTAGTAATTAATACCAGAATTTATGCTTGAATATTTGAAAGCTTAGGTATTGTGAACGGGCCTTATGTTATGTACATGTTTATTCCAACGCCATGTTATTCATGTTTTCTGCTTTGCTTACAAACTTGTTATCTCAATTATTATTTGTTGCTAATTTCTTTGGACATACACCATCTTGTCTTGGTCTAGATTGTTTTATAATGACTTGCATATTACAAATGTGGCATGCTACTTGGTTGTTCCATCACGTGTTAAACAACACTGTCTTCTCTCTCTGTGAAGCATACTGTGTTGTTGCGGTTGAATCCATTGGCAGACAGGTTCCAATCGCTTTTCTTGAGCGTGTCAAGGAGGACTTCACCAAGAAATATGGTGGTGGGAAAGCTGCAACAGCTGTTGCCAACAGTCTCAACAAAGAATTTGGGTATTCTCGCGCTCCATTTTGATTGCCATCTTCTTTCACATCTGTCATGTTTTAGTTCTTTAATTGACGTCCACTCGGAAAAACCTTTTTATTACCAGCCCCAAGCTGAAGGAACAAATGCAGTATTGTGTGGACCATCCAGAAGAGATCAGTAAGCTTGCAAAGGTGAAGGCTCAGGTTACAGAAGTTAAAGGAGTGATGATGGAAAACATTGAGAAGGTAAGGCCTAATAGCTGCTTCAGAGAAATGATGTAAAATGCACCGCTCTTGCATAACACGTGATGGTAAATGCAATTGTGTAAACTTTATTTGGTTATGTAGGTTCTTGATCGTGGAGAGAAGATCGAGATTCTGGTAGATAAAACAGAGAACCTTCGCTCTCAGGTCAGTGAATGCAATTATGAATTTCTCTTTACATTGTCTGCTTCAACTAGGAGAGCAAATTTCACCTCTTCCATCATTTGTCTGACGAATACCAGTAAATTAAGAAGCATCTCAAATTCAATCCTAGTTGATAAGAGAGAATATCTCTTGAATTGGTATCCATACTAATATCCTCCTGAAAGAGCACTGCATATTGTTTTAAGAGTTCTAATTAACACCAAAACTTTGTGAAAAATGTAAATAGAAAACTTGGGTTTTACCAAATAATGCTTGGGGCTGTTTACCAAGTAAGCGCTTATCGGGTGTAACTTACCTTACCAACCTGGTTAGCGCTTATTAAGGACGTTTACCAACAATCCGTTTTGATGGCCGAGAATGTTATCCGATAAGGTCATTGACCGTGACAATTCTTGCCGTTAGAGCATCTCCAATGGAGGTTCTTAAAGAACTTACTCTTTGTACTTTTTGTTGCCACATCACTTCCAACTCATCAAATTAAGAACTCATGTAAAAGTCCACAATAACAGTTCTTATATAAGAACCTTTTTGTGGGTCCCAAATATTCTTTCAACTTCAATTATTATTATATATTTATAAATAAATATATATATAAAAGTAGCAGATTGATGCTTCGCACCAACTTTAAGGTAAGAACTCAAAGGGGTTGATATTGGTTCTTTTGAGAAGCTACAATATTTGCTTATAAGAACCTTGCATTGGAAATGCTTTTAAGTGAGCGATTGATAAACGGTCCCTTTAGATAAGATGTAACATGGGAAAACCCAAAAGACATCTATAGTTATTTTGGTTTTGGGTAACGAAATTTAAAGGTGTGTTGGATGATCGATGAAGATGTATATCTGCAGGCACAAGATTTTAGGACGCAAGGTACTCAGATTAGAAGGAAAATGTGGTTGCAGAATATGAAGATAAAGCTGATAGTGCTTGGAATCATCATCGCCTTGATACTGATTATAGTCCTATCGATTTGTGGTGGCTTCAACTGTGGCAAGTGATGATGCTTTATCCATATCATCATCTTTCTTTCATTCATGAATGATAAAAACCATTTCTTTTGAAATTTCTTCTTTTTTTGATCTGTTGAATTCTACGTAAAAGCGCTTATATTGTTTGTATAGCTTGTATTTTTGATATATTATTATATACTAGGAAGGTAAACTCGATTTCATCTTTATTATTATTATTTTTTGGTGAGAACAGCTTATTATTATTATTATTATTATTATTATTATTATAAAATGTTATTGTTTTTTTGGTGAGAGAAGCAGTTGCGGCGTTGTTATTTGATTGATTGTGTTGTTGTGACCAACATAAGCAACGATTTTGGTGATAGATAACAATCAATGATGATGAATTATTTCTTGTCATGAGATGAGTTGTCTAAATAGAGGGAGGTTACAAATATCATTTGTTACTTTAATGTTCATAATTAATGACTTTGTCACCTATTCAGTTGGGACCTAAATTTGATATCGTCACATGGTAAAAAAGTTGCAAATAACAAGGTTGGGACCTTTGGGGATAAAACCAAAGAACTAGCAATAAGACTCGGGCTTTTGAGAACCCTCCTCAAAGATTACCAATTTGAGCCCTGCAATGGGATTATATGTAAACTGGGTCTAACACCCATGGTTAACAAAGATGGTTGCACAATAACAATGTAATGATTTATCCACAAAACAAGCATTATTATTTGCTATTGTTATACATGAATTTCCATGTTGTCGATCAATCTGACCTTCCCAAACCATGCTGCAACACACAATACAACTCCACTCTTCATCTCTTCCACTGCTTCTAGGGTCTCTTGATCCACGATCTGCACACCCAATTTCGATACTCGAAAACAAAATCCATCGCATCTAAATTATCTATACTAGAGATACCGAAAACCCAGACCTGAGCCTGGGCCAGGCCGATAAGCATATGCCTTATCTATACTGGACTTTATTTTACTTGCTAAAGGAGGGTTGGAAGACCCAGGCCTTCTGCATCTCTAACCTATGCTTAGGGGTTGTTTTGTTGGTTTTTTATTAAATTAGCTGTCTGTGTGGATTAATTAGTTTGTAAAGAGTGGAAATTTTTTGTTTGTGAGGGTTTTTTCATATATGGAAGTAGCGCGTTTTTTATTTGGAGGTGCAGATTTGAAAAAAAATGTGGCTTTCTGCATAAAGCTCTTCCCTAAAAGCTCTTCCCTAAAAGCTTATTGAATAAGTCACTCTCCATATCATTAAGACACTACCAAATAATTCATGTATAGCTGACTGAATAAGCTGTGCGAGTCCCATTAAGCTCCTTAAGCTGCTAATTAACAAGCCCTTTAGTGTTCTAAAACAGGTAATGTGCAACTGGATTTAAACAGGGACTGATTCATGAAACTTGGTCTGTTTGGGGTTTTCTTTTTCCAATATTTAGATCCAGATATGATGATGAATGGAGATTAAATCATAGAGGCTCTGAATGTCTCACCTCAATATAATCAATTTTTCCGCCTGCTGCTTCTATACTTTCAATCACTGATCTTCTCAATTCACTGCACACGGTTATCCCCCTTTTGGCAGCCGATTTGGCTTCAAATAGAGATCGGCTTATTGACAATGCCTGTACACATTTCACACAACACACCACAAGTTCAAATAATCTGAACCAAAAACACTAGTTACATATATTTACTACTTCTATTGACCTTTTTTAAAACCTATCGTCCTTAAGTCTTTCTTTGCAAACTAACCCTCATTCATGTACATACGACAAAATTGCGATAATTTGAAAAAGCTAGTTTATTGGACAAATCTAGAAATATAAATGAAAAATGGTCATTTAGGGTATGTTCGGTTCACTGGACAAAGACAGAATCATGTTTGGTAGGACTTTTATATGAAACAAACAGGAACATAGTGAAACAGACCTATATTTTACCAATAGGACATGAAAATAAAACCTAATTCTCTTCTAAAACATCAAATATGCATCCCCTTCTATATTTGATTCATTCCTTAAATTTTATATATTGTATTTTATGCTTTTTAAACTTACACTTTACTGTCCTCAAAATATTATTTTTATACGGTTTATATATTTTGATTAATTTATGTAATTTATTAAATATCAATAACAAGAAATAATATAGAATAGGTATAAAATAAGAATTGGAACTACATGAAGTTTTTATTTTGGTGTCATTTTGATCGTCAAGAAGAAAACTTTCCGGTAATATATTTTGTCATAAAAAATATTTATTTTATTATAATTTAATAAATTACATAAATTTATCAGAATATATAAAATCATTAGGGGTAAATTGGTCATTTTATCTGTTATGTCACGTCCAGTTTTGTCTTACCAAATGCCAAACAGAACAATGTCCTGTCCTGTTCTTGTCCTATCCTATCTGGATACCAAAAGCAGCCAGGATATGACTTTAAATGAGTTTTTAATAAATTCACGACCTCCTGACCTATTAAAAGAAAAAATGACTTCTATCCTTTTCATAGATTTAATCAGAATCTCATTTAAAGTTATATACCTTTAAATTCCCTTTTTTATAGGACCCACATAATGAAAATACTAAATGATAGTAACAAAATGAACCCAACCTGCCCCCTTTCTTGAGGTGAAAGATGCACATTACGGGAGCTCATCGCTAGGCCATCTTCGTCTCGTATCATCTCAGAACCAATCACTTTAACAGCAAAATCAAGATCTCGAACCTGCATTGTTCGTATAAAAAAGAAAATTCAAAACTTCAATCGTAAATATCATTTCTTCATGTAAATCAAAATTGAGTTTTGATCATATATTTCTTCAAACATCTGAACACATCATGAGCACAGTTTGTAGTGAAATGAACCCCAAACTAAAAGAAACATTATGAATTGACAAAGTATTCACCGAGTCATTCAGGGCCCGTTTGGTTTGACGCAATGTTTTTGAGAGATTTGGATTTTGTGGAAGGATTCGGATTTGAAATCTTGATGTGTTTGGTTTGTAGGATTTGGTGTTGAATTGAATTCCACTCTTTATATATAATTTATAAAAACAAATTATAAAAAACTATAAAAATAATTAAATTACCTTTTTATTAATTGATTATTACAAAACAAGTGTTTTTAACATATATTAAGACATTACATTATTACAAATAAATCCTACGAAATCCCACCAAACACCAACTCCACCCGTGGGATTTCTAAATCCCATGTGTGTAGGATTTCATTGAAATCCCGCGATTTCAGATCCAAGCATTCATGCAAAACAAACATAGATTCGGATGGAATTTAATTCCAAATCCCTTCAAATCCTATCCAATCTTGCAAACTTAACAAGACATCACATTCTGCTATGCAAAAAGGGTTTGACGTTACCTTCTGGAGCGTCCCACCGTAGCGGTCCCATGGCCGTCATGGGTGTTAAGAATCTCATAATATATTCTCCTAGATATATGTTAGAACCTCTTTTTTTCTATTTTAAGGGCTCTTTTTGGAGAGTAATCTGATGAGATTCCATAAATTCTCACATGGTATTAGAGCTAAGGTCTACTACCACTATAAGGACTTGACACTGTAGAGCACTTTGTGCTCATCTAGCCTCCATCGGAGGGGGCGTGTCCCACTTCTGCTAGACTTGGAATCCCATTGTTTTGGTTAGTAATCTTACGGGGTTCCACATATTCTCACAGCGGTAGTAAATAATGTGTCCCTAGGCAGGGCCAGACCTATTAAGCACCAAGCGGGGTCCCATGCACCCGCAAAAACTTGTTTTTGTAAGTAGAATTCTTTTGGGGTATGAAAGGTGCACCCACTAAACTTTAAAGATTGCTCTGAGATTTTAGAAAATATAAGAAGCATCAACCAAACAACCAAAAACTTTAAACCCCCCTTTGAAAACGGTGGAATTCGACTAAAAACACATCGGACGATTTTGTGGGCCTTTGATTCACCTTAAGAAGGTGCACAGACTCTGTTAAAATCCTGGGTCCGCCACTATTCCTAGGGCAGCCGGCTGGTGCCAACACCTGCCATCCACCTCCTTACACACTAGGCTATATGGCTAATGCCACTAGGACACAATTCATTCGAATACCAACACAACTTCTACTATGATTGATGCCGAGTATGGACATAATTTGCAATGATTTCAGATTTCTAACAGATGAATCATTATGAGTTAAAAAGGAACTCACGGAGTCACTCCATGGGACACAGTTGTATATTCAAACAAATGAATCATTATGAATATGAAAGGATCTGACAGAACAAACTGAAACAGGAACATAATTCTCAATTATTAGATCTTCAAAAGCATGATCATTCTAACTCGCTGAGTCACTCACTCAAACTCAAAGAGACAATTCTACAATGAGTCACTCACTCAAACCCAAGCATGATCATTTTGACTCACTGAGTGACCATACTGGAACTCCAGGTCAAACAGACCATGAACATAATTCTCAATTATTAGAACTTCAAAAGCATGATCATTCTGACTCACTGAGTCACTCAAACTCAAACAGACAATTATCAACATAATTCGCAAGGGATTTGAATCTGAAACAGATGAAAAGTTATGAATCAAAAAGGAACTCACCATTCGTTGAATGATCCGCCATTGCTGATAATCCTTCTTCCCGAAAACAGCAACATCAGGTTCAACGATATTGAACAATTTAGCCACAACAGTAGCAACGCCTCTGAAAAACACAGGCCTACTCTTCCCACACATTCCCTTCTCCAATCTCTCAACCCTAATCCATGTCTCATGACCAATCCCACCTCTTCCTTCATCCTCCAAACAAGACACAATCCCTCCCTCTTTCTCTCTCTTATTTCCACCAGATCTTTCTCTCTCTACTCCATAATCATACAGATTTTGTGGATTGAAAACAACATCAACACCATTGGGAATCGACTTGAGTTTTTCAATATCGCCTTGGAAATCCGATGGATAGGTGGAGAGATCTTCATTTGCGGAAAATTGACCTGGATTTACGTATATTGAAACAACAATAAGTTGAGTGTGTTTTTGAGCTTCTGTGATGAGTGAGAGATGGCCTTGATGGAGGTAACCCATTGTTGGTACTAATCCAATCGTTTTGCCTTGAGCTCTCATAGATCTCGACCAGTTCCTCATCTGTTGTTTGTTTCTGATGATTTCCGGTTCTCTGGTTGCCATTTTTGGTATGAGAATCGGAAATTAGGGTTAGGGATTGGTGGAAATTGAGCAGATGAAGGTGGCGGCGAGGATGAGGATATTGGGTAGCATTCGTTGAAAATGGCGGGCAGTGTGATCATAATTATTTCATGGATTCGATTGGATATTGATTTGTTGACACCGCCCATGAAATGTACAGGTCTTAGTTCTGAAGGTACAACTACAAACAAACATCCCGTTTTTGGCCACCGGGTTACATGCATGTAAATGTTAAAAGGAATAAAGGGTGTTTTGGTGTCCATAAAATAATTCTTCAACGTTTGATAAGATAAAATTAAACAAAACATAATAAATAAAATGATCAAATTTATTTCTAATAACTTGTTTATTTTAATTAATTTATTAAATTATAATAAACTAATTATTTTATATAACAAAATATATCATTTGAAAGTTTTCGTCAAAACAATTAAAATGATACTAAATAAAAAGTTTATGTAGTTTCCTATTTTTTATTATTATCTTTTTTCTACATTATTTTTATTATTAATATATAATAAATTACATAAGTTAATAAAAATATAGAAATCGTATAAAAATAATAATTTGAGGATAATAAAATAAAAGTTTAAAGAATGAATAAAATGTAATAAAAAGACATATTTAATGTTTTAGAAGAGAATTAAGTTTTATTTTTAGGTTATATTGGTAAAATATAAGTTTGTTTCACCTTGTTCCACCATGTTCCATGGGGTAAGGATGGAACATGCATGTTCTATTTTGTTTCATTCTGTTCCTGTCTGTTCCACGAAGAAGTCATGCCAAACATGGAACATAGATCTCTGTCTTGTACGATCCAGTGTATCAAATGCACCCTAAAAAACTATTTTTTTATATTTTCAATATACAATTTGATCTGATTTTGACATAATAAAATGGTATATATATAGCATTATCCATGAAATTATGTAATATAAAACTGGTGTTGGCATATGTATCTTTATTTATGTCATAATCATATGAAAGCATATATTAAAAGTATATTAGTTATTTAAAGTATTTGTAACAGATTATCTATAATTTTTCTAAGCTAAAAATCAAAATCTTAAAAATATTATATTCATCTACAACAAATTCTTTATTGTAAAAAATATTTATTAAAATATTTTACAATTTTATTATCATAATACACTTTAAACTTTTTATTTAAAATAATAATAATTTAATTTCATTGATTGAATGAATAAAAAAAAGTCATTTTTCTTTCATTTCATCAAATTTCAGACTTGAAATTTTCTCTAATTTAAAAAATAATATAAAAAATATGTTTCACCAAGATAGAAAACAAAATCTTTATTTTCTTTAATTTAAAAATTTTATTAAAAATGCTCTTTATCAGTTATTCTGTTAGTTTGAGTATTAATAAAGAATGTATTAATTAGTTACATAATGCAACATATATCTTTTTTAAAGTATATAATATTTATATATGGTAAATAGAATAAATAAACTCACACCCTCCTCACCTTCGGTAAGGTTTCAACCTTTGACCTTTTAGAAAGCCTATTACCTTTGGGACAAAGGCCTTTTGATACCTAATGCAACATATTCGATCCTACATTACATTTTCACACAATTTACCCTTTGATATTTGTTCCCTTACAATTATCATAAAGTATTGGGTTTTGTAGGGGTCTTATTTCACCACACAAATCTTACAATGAGCAAATTGCATGAAAAAATAGCGTACTTTAACTTGATTCCTATTTTCGGTAACGTATTTTCAAAACTTTCATTTTGATACTTAAATGTAAAACTTTAAACATTTAAGTACTCAGGTAACCGATTGAAGCATTAACCGGTTTCCATGATGATGTAATAAGATATCCAACTCAGTATTATTTGCTGAAGCAAATACCATATCACTCGCCACATCAACATGGTAAAGTAGTTAATGCTTCAAATGTTATCCGGATACTTAAATGTTCAAAATTTTACATCTTAGATACCAAAATAAAAGTTCTGAAAGTACGTTATCCAAAATAAGAATCAAGTTAAAATACATTACTTTTTCATGCAATTTGGTCATTTTTTTATTAACCTGAATATCCAACCCGCTATGCAAGCAGACTAATCCCAGGACGACCACCTGCTTTGCAGATTGCCCGATTCACCGTATTTGAACTTCCGTAGCCACAAAAGGATTTATATTCCTTCTTGGATTTGAACCTGAGACCTCATGATACTTTTGACCTTTGGAGCCAAGCTCAAACCAACCAACCAACTAGTTAATTTGGCTTTCTTATAATCCACTCGTACCATACCAAAGCATGCGGTTCATAACTTTTACGGCACAGTTTGTATTTTTTCAAACTGTACCATACATTTGTTTTGTGTTTTTAACATTTAAACCACTGGGAAAAAATTCAAACGGAAGGAAGATATAAAATAAAAAGCAACTTTTTTTTATGAGGATATACAATGAAAATAGCAGCCTGACCAAAATATACCAAAATGAAAGTGCACCAATCATTCTACCCTAGACTCGCTATAACTATAAGGATGATACCAAAACACCACAAATAAGCTCGCCCAACAACGTAAAAAAAGGAGTTATAGAAATATTGAAATCACTACTTACTGCTTAATGAACCCTTTTAGAGCTCCATCCTTCTAACTTCATCTTTAAACAGACTCCCAACAATATAGCAAAACAACCAACTTCCACCTACTGTTGCTGCTGATCACCACCATCCCTACCTCGTCCCCCCATCCTTCCCCTACCTCGCCCGTTGAATCTGCCGCCGCCACCACCGCCACCCCTGCCATTGCCACCTCTGCCGAACCCACCTGTTTGTGATTAAAACCAATACAAGACCATATTAAGTATGATGATAGTGCATGAACCATATACATCAAATAACTGAAAAGAAAAAAAAAACAAACCGAACTGAACGAACCCGTTACATATCCGACACAGAGGTAGGTCTAGGAACTAAAACGAGAAAAATCAAAGGATAAAATAACAAAAGTACTAACCACGATAGCCTGCATTTCCCCCACGTCCACCGCCTCTGCCGCGGTTTGGGTAACCATTGTTATCTATTGAAAACACAAGTACAGTGAAAATTAATGTGATTAGCAATGGATTCTTGTGCATATACAGAGAGCATTCCGTAAGCAGATGAGACTGGACTTGAGTGAGGTATGCGAGTGAAAGAATGTGGAAGGTTTTAGAGTTTTAATTTAATATGGGTAGTTTAGTAATTTACCTATTTTGCCTCATCTCTCTTGTTTTTGTTCCATCTATTTTGATGGGATAAAAAATTATTGTCTTGTCTGAGTCGCCAGACATGGGACAACCTTTTGTACCAAATGCATCCATGGTGTCAAATCTAATGTTTAAATAAAAGTTTATGCAGAAAGTAAAATACCTTGATAGTTTCCGTATTCACCGCCACCTTGATAATTTCCATATTCACCACCACCTTGATAGTTTCCGTATCCCCCCCTGCCTCCTCGATAATTCCCATATCCCCTGCCTCCCTGGTAGTTACCATATCCACCTCCCCCTTGATAGTTTCTGTAACCATCCCCTTGATAACTTCCATATCCTCCCCCTTGATTCCCATATCCACCCCTGTTCCAACCACGGCCTCTCCCACCTCTTCCCCCACCTTGACCACGCCCCCTATTTCCATGATAGTTTCCGCCATATGCCTCTACAAATAGAAATAATAGCTTTTTGATCAAAGAAACAAAAAACAACGAAGTGATGGTTTCTAAGTATTCATGTAACCCACCTTCATTTACCGCATTATATGCTTGTTGTGCCATTCTTGGTTGTTGTTGTCGTTGATAGTTGTTATTTTGTGGCCTTGGTCGTTCCACATAGAGTGGAGCTTGGTACCTGAGCCATGAAGAATGCTTAAGACAAAATGGAAGAGATTGACAATATTGGGAAATATGTTGAAGTTTGCAGATGGTCTCCAGGTGGCTTCTGTCTTAAGAAACTCCCACTGTCCCAATATAAATGTCCACAAATGAAAATGGCACACAGTTCTAGAAATGTGTAATTATTACAGGTTTTAATTAACTAAATGACAATTATACCCTTAATAATAGTGGGAGTAATGCCAATTATACCCTTAATAATAGAGGGGTAGAATTAGAAGATGAGCATTTACTTTAAAAGTGGACACTTGTTTTTAGACAAACTAAAATGAAAATGTGAACGCTTATTTTTTTGGGTCGGAGGGAGTATTAGGTCTTGGAGCTTGGAATTTCTTCGGTAAATAAAGAAAGAAAAGAAGAGGACCAAAAGGCTTAATTTTTTTGTCATATTTGTTTAACTGCTTAGAAAGAAGCCATTTGCAAGTTACAATAGAACTCACCCAGGTGAATTCTTGTTTAGCTCCCTAGTCGACAAGGTAATCGATATCATTGAGACCTGGCGAGTCATCTCCACACTGCATATAACGAAAAGTGAAACATCTAACACGTACTTTAAGACATACGTTACTGGTGACATAAAACATGGAATCATTTCTTGTCCTAAATCTTTAAACACTGAAAAAACCCGTGATACGATGTGGAATAAGAAATTTGAAACTTACGGCAGAAGACCCTCTTCGATGGGTTCCCATACATCAGTTATGCTTATTGAACTGATGAAAGTATCTTGATGCAATCGAGGAATGTTTCTCTGTTTAAAATTAGCACATCTTACTACTTCTGCACATGATAAACTAAAATGGAGCAATAAAATTACAGGCACAGGCAATTTGAGTAGCAAACCTTAATAATCTCTGCAATGGCTACTGTCTTGCTAATTGCCTGTCCCATCGCTTTCAGGACAATTTCTTTCACACGTCTCTCCTATAGAAATAATCACAGTTAGATTATGTTCATAATCAACAAGACAATGAGGGATGTAGTCCTGCACATTCAAGCAAATATACATAAATATAAAGTTCCTTCACTGGCATAGTCTAATTAGGAGATGCAAGAAATGGGGTCAACAAACAAATTAAATAATGGGACTGTCAGTGAGCACTCCACTTGCATCTTTACAAGACTGGTTTGGCATACATAAGGTTGAAACTCCTTCAGGTGAAAAAGCTTAAAAAATCATGTCTATCAGGCAACAAATAGATGCTAGTCATAATGTTACAGGTCTGCCACAGCTTAGACAGAAATATCAACTACTTTTGTTAAAAAGTCTCCCCTTAGCAAGACATAGGTTCCTAATCACCACCAATATTAGCTCTAAATTAAGGTCACAGATTCCAAAAGCAATCTTAAATAACCAGGGACACAATCAAGGACCCACCTGCTGTTTTATCACACACCAAAGATCAAATCTAGCAACATTTCAGACAATCAGCTAACAAGGCCGATACAAGGAGACTGCTGCATAGCTAGACAGTAGGAAAGGCAGAAATCAAGCCAGAAAATACAATTTTAAAGTAATGCACAGGCGCCTTCCAGAGCCTTCACCCAATTCAAGGAAAACTCACTTTGCAAAACCATGTTAAACATATCGCTCAACTTCGCAAACAAGACAAGCAACCACAACCTTTGGTTGTATAAAAGCACACTTCGGGCCAAGAAATATATCGACACAAAGTTCTAATGATGCAAACTTAAGATAAAAATTCAACAAGATGACAGACAAGGTCTAAATTGGTACAACTACTGCAATACTGCTTGACATGAATAACTTGGTGTGTGCAAACAGGACAAAGTGAGCATCCTGAAGCATGTTTGATAAAGAAGAAACTCCCCAAAACATCATATTACTAGCTGAATCATGATCACCTTTCAAAAACAACTAGATCATAGTCCTCCATGCACTATTATCTACTTTGGTTTGCCTCTACAAGAGACTGGTAAACAAATTCAATACTTTAAACGATAATGATTTCAATTAACAAAAGCAATTTCAAGTTAAAAGCTAAGACCCACGCTGTCTGAGACAGCTGAAGCTAAAGTTCGTTAGAAGGAATACCTGAACTTGCAGGTCCTAATGTAGGTAGTAGGAAACACTCGATCACTCCACCCATTGTTATACAAACAAATAAATATTTTGTAAAAGTACCAACATGATCTCTTTACTAGATAACATGAGATTGCAACCTAGAGGGAACACAAAATCAAATGAGGAAAAGGAAAAGGAAACAGAAAGTGCTACTGCTGGGTACGTATATAAAGTATCGATTGAAAAAGTAGTTAATGCAACACGTACACATGATCATATACAAACGATAACTCAGATTAATATATAACTAAACATTGAGAAAAGGGGTTAGAATTGAAGATATACATAACAACAATGGGATGGCATTGGTTAAAGAGAAGTTGAGCTACTTCTCCATCACAGACCTCTGAATACACCTGGTAGAAGACAGGACTGTACCAATTGGATGTCCATAGAAGAGATAGAGGTTGGCCAAAACAGAAGCTAGTTAAAGTTAAATTCAAATAAATTGCTTGTTAGAACACCATACAAAGTTAAATTCAATGACCATAAAACAGAAACCCGCAAAATATAAACAATAGGCGGTTTCATATCCTTAGCATTACACTCTAACCAAACAAAACATAAGAAAGAGAAACAAACGATGCTCATATTCCATGGAAGAACTCAGAGACTCGACTTTAATGCCAACCATCTACCAGTAAATTAGATAGAGATTCTCCCATACAAATTATTTTTTCCTAGACCATCTAGATTGAAACAATCAAACAAAACGCTTGTTGCTATACTACAACTCTACAACCTTTAATTCACAGAACCCAAAAATAAACAACAATCAGCGTCGATTTCCAAGCATTAGACTCTAATCAAACATAAAACACAAAAATAAACAAACAATGCATTGCACATGTCGATGTAAAAACTCGTACAAACAACGTCAACACCAACCATTTACCCAAATATCACATACGGATTTCCACAAAACCATAAATTAACAAACAAAACCTAGAAAAATACAACGGAAGCAGAAAATAACATACATTTCATCAAATAAACAAAGGAATGATGATATTAATACCTGAAGAAGAGTAGTAGCGTAGCTGATGTAGTTACGAACCAAGCCCTGGGAAGTGATTCTGATCTCATTCTCGTTGATAGGTATATCCGGTTTCTTCTGCTCCACCTTCGTGTACCTATCCATGGCGCACAAAACCCTATAAAGAGAAAATAGCCCTAAAACCCTTTTTCTGAAGAGCGAGTGAGAGAGAGAGTGAGGGAGAGAGAGTGAGGGAGAGAGAGAGAGAGAGAGAGAGAGCGCACGAAGAAGAAGACGGAGAGGCTAAAACCCAGTAGAAGGAATTTTCTTAACAACCATATCCGGGTCGGTCAGTTTTTTATGCCCCATTTTACGGAGATGACCCGATTTTTACTTGTTTAGTAAAACCTACGCGCAGAAGCGTGCGAGTGGACGAAACGTACGATTTTATTGGTTCCAATGTGGGACCCACTCTAAATTGGTACGTACTTGTTCTCGCAACAATAAATTTGTACCACCAAGCTTTCACATTCCACCATATACCATTAATACCCTTAGATTATTAGAAAAGGAGTGAAGTGTAAATTGGGTCCTTGTAATTTACCAAAAATAATATTTTTTTATTTCAAAAATAGTTATCGTAGTTTTTAAAAAGTTTAAATTTGGTCTTCCTAGACTATTAAAAAAATCTTAGACGATCACTTATTTTGCGGATAGTCTAGAGTCACTGCATTTGAGCCTCCATGGTTACAAGAAGATTTTTGTTCCTCCTTGGATTTGAACTTGAGACTTTCAGACACTTTGACCTTTGAAGCTCAAACTCAAACCAATCAGACACCATTCTTTTGTTCTTTATCAAAGCAAAATCGATTTTATGATTTTGATACCTATTATTTTTTATCAGTAAGAGTCAAAAAAATCGATAAAAGTATGAAAATCTTCTTTATTTAACGAAATTTTTAATAACCGTTAGAACGAAAGACTAAATCTGAAAATTTTTATAAACTATGATGAACATCTTGTAATTTCAAAACTACATAGATGAAAAGTGGTATTTTCGAAAAACCACAAGGATCAAACTTGTAGTTTACTCTTAAAAAAGGTTTGATCCTTGTTAGACATCTAAAATAAATTCTATGAACCAAAATTATACTCTTATATACTCTAATTGCATAAAAAGATAAAATAAATAATATGGTACAAAATTGAAAATACATTTAAAAGTTGTGTACCAAACGCTTAATGGGCTACTTATTTTATTAAGTTAACAACGCAAGGGTCGATAATCTTTTCCAATAAGAAGCAAGAGATGAAACAAAAATTATACCCAATAAGTAAGGGTGTTGACTCTTACCAGTAAAACGATACTATTTTAATGGCTAAAAATATTACCCAATAAATCAATGAAAGTGATGACTCGTATGAGTAAACATTTACCAGGTAAACCTTTAATAAACGATCTATAAACAAGCATTGTGGCATTTGTTTTAAATTCAAAATTCTATGTAGATTTTTATGGCAGGAAATTAACTGAAAGTCAATCTTATCGGCCAACTTCACTTTTTAGCCATATATTTAAGTCAATTTCTAAACTAGTCATTCTTTAGGTGTATATATAATTTGTTTACCCAAATTCCTTTTTTTCTTTTCTTTTTATGAGAAAAATATGGTTTATGCAAATACGTAAAACATTTACGTAAAAAACAATTAGTTTGAAAATTGACTTGAAAATGGAACTTTCTAAAGGGTGTTAGGAATTGCTTATTTGAAACAACTTATGTTTTTCTACAAAAATCCTTATCAACTTGTTATAAGTTAGAATGAATTAACTTTTTTCAAAAACTCCTTATTACCGGTTTAATACCAGCATAAACTGTTCATCCAAACACTCAAAAGTGTTTGTTACTGGTACCACACCGGAATAAATCAATAAGTTGTTTTTATAAGCAATCTCAAACACCCCGTAACTCTCAGTTTTTGTCCCCGTCTTCTTTCATAATTCTTTGTTTCAATCCATCTGGTTTACAACTTACTGATGATTTCATCCCTATGTTCTAAAATTCATTACCGTTTTAGTCCCTCATACTTAAACCGGAAACCTATAATGGAGTTCCTAGGAAACTGAAAACCAATCAAAACTTGGAAATATGGGAAAGAGTAAACTATGGTTTTCGCCCATGTGGTTTGTTAAAAGTTACAGACTTTTGTTCTTGTGATTTTGAAGTTCTGGTTTCGTTCTCCTATGGTTTGTAATTTATTGTTGTTTTGGTCCGTGAAGCTCTAACTCCATTACTGCTTTCCGGTTTAAGTATGAGGCACTAAAACAACAATAAATTACAAACCATAAGAGAACGAAACCAAAACTTCAAAATCACAAGAACAAAAGTCGTAACTTATAACAAACCACATGGGCAAGTTTACTCTTTCCCATATTTCCAGGTTTTGACTGGTTTTCAGTTTCCTAGTGAAAACTGAAAACCAATCAAAACATGTCCCCCACAATTCTGCCTTTTAGCACATATTTTGACATACAACTAAGAATTAGAATTACTAATGTCAGTTTAATAACACCCTGATCAAAACCAAATGGAGACAACAAAAAACAAAAACAATATTAATAAAATACAAATGTTTCTAAGCAAGATTTTGAGCTGCACCCTAAAACCTGCCTTGAATCCCAGATGGGTTTAGAAAAGCATCCCATCCTTCAACATACCTATTTAATGAGTCGGGGTTACCCCTATTCTCCGTTTGACCACCACTTCTTGTAACTCGGTCTCACCCTATTCTGGATCCGGAGAACCACCTGGTACCAGCTGTGCAAAAGATAGATATGATATCAGACTCAAATGGGGTAAAGAAAGGAATTTTACAGATGATTGACCTACGGGCCTAAGGTTATTTGATCTTGAATTAACCGATAGTAAACTAGAAGATAATACTTACGATTGCTATGTTATTTCCATTGAGCAAAATCTGGTCAAGTTTTGTTATCCGACGTCCTTCAGGTGTAATTTCACTGCAACATTGAGAGGTGTCATTGAGCATGAACATGCTGGGCAAGCTGTTTAAGATTTTTATTTTATATATATATACACACACACACACATATATTGTGGATTTTAGTAGTAAATCGTAAAGAAAACAGTCTTAAGTTTCTACAAGAAAGTTGGGTATTTGAGATAGATTGTCTTGCTAACTATCAAGAATAACTGCAAAGTACCGAATCTACTTATAATTTATTGCTTCACATCTTCGCTGATGCAGGATAAAATTGAGAAAACAAATTCCAGGATATCTTAGAGCATCACCAGCAGTTCCTCTAAGATATCCTGTCAACGGCTGAGATTAAAGATTAAAAAATTCAAGTTGCACATGATGCCAAAGATAAGTGCTCATCAAATTCAGAAAACCCGATGAGAAACCTTGACATTTGTTTGTTAGAAATGCAAGTGGTTGCTGGATGACAATGCAATCACTTTAAATTGTCTTTATGAAAACACAAAGGAAGAATTAACAACAAAGTATCACCATATATAGGGTTGATTATAAGAAATGGAGGCTTTCATGTCCGGATAGCTCACATGGCATCTAAAATATTGAAGAACATAACTTTCAAAATATATAAACAACAAAAAAGAGAGTTTGATAACAGCATATATAAGAGAGGTAAGTCATAAGTGGAGTTCATGGATGTTCTGTATCCATTAAGTGCTTGCACACCTGCGTTCTGATTTGAACACTAGACCATCATGCACGTGTTTGAAAATGTTCCGAACGACTCTTTGACGTCGGTTTTGGATAAATATACGGCACTTCTTAAGCACCAATTAACATTTGACTCACAAGCAACAAAGATTAAACAAAACACCTAGTCAACGTGTACACCAATTAGGGGTGTTTGGTTAGTTTTCCATTAAGTCCGATTTTTATACAGCTATCCTTGTGGATTAAGTTGTCATTGGGAAGACTTTTGTTTGGGAGGGTTTTTTCATAGGTGGAAGGAGCTTGTTTTTTAATTGGGAGGGGCAGATTTGGAAAAAACTTGGCTTTCTGCATAAAGCTCACTTTCTATATCATTAAGCCATCACCAAAAAATCCTGTATAGCTGACCGAATAAGTTGTGAGTCCCATTAAGCTCATTAAGCTGCTAACAAACAATCCCTTGCTTTAGATTTCACTCTGAATAAGATTGAAATAATCTTTTCCAGAGATTGAAGTTACTTAACCTCCAATACATTGAGGCACAAGATATTACTTCACTATTTGGAATGACTATATCCACAAAGAAAGGTTGTTTTTTGTTCTCCAAAATGCCAGGAGTCAATCACTAGAAATCTAGAATGTGCAAAGATAAGTCTGAATATGATATAACTTCCCATGTTTAATATAGGGTTTATTACCAAAAATCAATATACTATTACTAGTCACTTGCCAATTTTGACAAACAAGGACAACTATTAACCAATTTGACAAATATTCGATGAGCACATGTTTAGTAGAGTAGAACTGGATTGTTCTGTTGTATGCTCCAAGAAAGAAATATGTGGGTCCATGCCAAATTGACCAAATAAGCCTTTCTATTGCCAGGTTGTTTATGTGTCATGCTTATATATGTATTCGCTAACATGTCATATTTAAATTCCAGCTAAGAGTTTTTGCGGAATTCTTGATTAAAAACAAAGAAGAATGTGTTTATTAAACTGGCTAAAGTCACACACACTGTCAAATCAAGAATAAAAACGGTACATTTGTCTTTTTGGTACTCAAGCCTTCATAAGATTACTAAATCACAACTTATTCATGAATAAAATTTTGCAAGATCATTGCTTAAAATCAAGCCACAATGTAGACAATCAAGATTTCAGAACTTAGGGGGCGTTTGGTTTGATGGAATGTTTTTGGAAGGACTTGGAATCTTTGGTGTGTTTAGTTTGTAGGATTTGGAATAGAATTGAATTCCATTCTTTATAGACAATTTATAAAAACAATTTATAAATAATTATAAGAACAACTAATTACCTTTTATTTATTGGTTATTACAAAACGCATGTTTTTAACATATTCTAAAACATTATTACAAACAAATCCAATAAAATCCCGTGAAATACCAACTACCCATGAGATTTCTAAATCCAATATTTGTGGGATTTCAGTTCCGGACTTCCCTTAAACCAAACGCGAGAATGGAATGGAATCCAGTTCCAAATCTCACAAAGGGCCCTTAGATCTCTACCCATTCAATTCAACATAGTATGAATTCACTATGAGAAATTATAGCAACGATCTCACAGTCACACCCTAAAGATTATCTAGATTTGATTGGCACAGTTGAGCCAAAAGCCACTTGGTACCTATGAGCATTTCTATATATTTTATATTTCCTTAAATATCTTAGATCCATAAGTTAGCATGTTGCATCACATATCAGGAGTAGAGATGGAATGAACTATCATAAAGTTTTATATCATATTAGCATGATATTATACTTGTTATTGGAATTCGGAACTTCAAACTTTCCCCTACGAAAAAACCCTAATCGTAGGGTTAAATAAACCCTAACAGGTTGTAGTTATTCAACTTTGAAACATGCCTTAAACCAATGTAATCACGTTTATATCAAACTGGCAATTACTAAGAACAAATTTACATTGAACTATCAAAATATATGAAGCAGTAATAGAAAAGGGCAGATGGAGAGTTACTATTCAGTGACGTCTTCCAGAACCATGTTGACATAGACGTCGAAACCCTTGAGAGTTCCAACGAGTTCCTTATCGCCTTTCATTATCACCCATATCTTCGAACCTATGCATCGATCTATCAGCTCTGCATCATCAAAACCACACTTAAATTGGAATTAGCAGTTATTTCTACCAAGCTGATGCAGATAATAAGAGGATTTCGAGGAGAAAATGTGAACCTGAAGGGAGAAGCTGTGAAGGATTGTGAGCCATGGATTATCTTTGAGCCGAATCGCTTCAAAAATTGAACTTGTATGTCTTTCGCAAATCGCGGAAAGCCTTTCCAGTTCCTCCAGCGGCTACCGAAAGTTGGAGTGGTTGGGTCTTGTACTTTTGTTGCTCCAATCGGACATCCCCAACCCAAAAACAAGGGGTGTCTAATATGCGGCTCTATAAAAATAATTTATTAACTTATTTTGATCTTACATCAATAATAAGCATTTTTAAAGATTTGAATAAATAGTTTATATCGATGTCAAATTGGTAATATAGTTTTTTTTTAAATTAATTATTTTAACTTATAATAAGTTGATAATGATTTTTATATAAAAGCATAAGTTGTTATAAACTAGAAGAGTACCCGTGCAATGCAGCGATGTACATTTGATTCTAATATTTTGTTTTATATTTTGGGTCATGTAATAATGCGATTTTATGTGGTTTTGGAAAAAAGAAAATGTTTTTATTTTTGAACGAAATATAAATTTGAAAATATTATAATATTTTGAAAAACCTAAGCGATATTAGCATCAAATTGACTGTATAAAAGTTCTTGTTTTTGTGTAATTACTTTAATTCAATTCTTTAATATAATTTAGTTGAAGTTTAAAAACGAATTAATTTATTTTTTATTTAATAAAATATTTTTTTAAGATAATAATGAAGTATTCTGTTATATATCAATAATTATCCTAATTATATTTTAGATATTTTATAATTAAAAGGAAATGTTTATCTTCTAAGATTATGTTTATTTGCAGTTAGTTATACGAATTCAAACATGAAGCTTTAATAAGTTGTACTTACGCATAATTTATTTGTAATCTTGAATTTTAAGTAATATGCATCAGTAAACAGTACTTTATGCATAAAAAATGTTTTTTTAGAATTTTTGTCAAATGTTTTATAATATAGTATAGATAAGCAATCCCAAACACTCGTAAGAATCTAAATTTTTGGGTATATTTGTTGAAAGTTTTAAATTCGATAGATATGTTATAATTTTTTTTTTAAATAGATATTAAAAATCAAATATTTATAAAAAAATGCATTTAATTCTAACATGTATTTTATTTTAGCAATTCTAACATTAACTACATTATTAAAGTATTTAATATATTTAATAAAATATTATTTTTCTCTTCTAAACATTTATTTTCAATCAATTTTATTGGTAAAAAGTATTAAAATAATAATTTCTCTATCTATTTAGAGATTTTTACAATTTCTCTTATCTTTTCTTTATTTTAGTATATAATATAACATAGTTCTTGGAGTAATCTATACTATCTTATTAAGCAAATTTAGCAAAAGTCTTAAAGTCTTAAAATTCTAAATGACCAAAATACCCTTTATACTTACTTTTTCACTTTTTCACCCCCTCCTCTCCTCATATACACTCACCCCCCACATACATTCACCCTCTCACAACCGATTTTTTTAAAATTGTAATTTTAAATTTACACTTTATACTCCTATAATTAATTAATTAATTTACTTTACGTCCTTTACTTTTAAATGTTTCATTTTAAATCTTTATCAAATTAACATACATAATCGTATATCAATTAAAACATGTTTAAAATATACATTTTTATTTTAACAAGTTACACTATTATAATCGTCTCGTTAATACATTCGAAATGAGTCCAATATTAAATAGTTTTCTACTTAATTATATTATTATATATTATATATACTCTGAAAAAATATTTTTAATAGTTACGATTTATACTTTTATAGTTATTTATTTCTATATATACTATATATTTTGGGGTTAGGCTGTCCAAATTGCACTATATAATATGTTTTGAATTAATATATTCTTGGGTTTTTTTTGAAATATATACATACATGTATTAATTCAACCTTAATCTGAGTTTCTTGACAAGAAAAAGGGTAACCAGTTGAAATTTCATTATAAAACCCATCTTTTTTTTTGTCTTTTCATGGCTTATGATTTGTCAAATTTGTAGTTTTCTTTATTGGTTTTGATTGTTTATCTTAAAACTCAAGTTTATTGGTTCTTTGCTCTTGGTGTAAATTGAATACATTTGTGGAGTCGTTTAAATATGTTGGATTTTAAATATATTGGATTTTAAACTGTCATACAATTTTTTTCATCGATAGTCTGTAATTAGAACCATAACTCTTATTTATTCAAATTGTATTACTATGTAAAGACCAAGTGTAACATATATCATCGTTAAATCTTATCTTATAAAACCAGTGGAACTTCAAAATCGTTAAAATTTATGGCTCCCGCCGCATTGCGCGGGTACATAACTAGTAAATTTGTTAAAATCTTTCTTTTCTCTATTTTAGCATAATTGTTGGAGATGCTTTAAAACTCCATTTTAAGAAAGATAAACAATATTTAATTATTCTTCCTACCAATGAAAATCTTTAAAACTAAATATATAAATGAAGAAATAATATATCATGAAAAAAGTTGAATATTTTAATATTATAATTCATGTTAAATGAAAAATCAGTTGGAGATGAATATATATTTTCTTTAAATATTCTTGACTTTTACTTATTCATTTTTAAAGAATTTGATGGAGATTCTATTATACTCTCTAAAAAAGCAGTTGTTTTCTTTCCTTTCAAACTATGGATGTCCGACTGTTTGAGTCATTTCATACATACAAATCTCTAACAATCTTGTAAAACTTGTACCGATCAGTTTTGATGAGAAATCTCAATGACTAAAGTTTTATTATCAATTGAACTAACAAAAAATCGGTCATGTAGTGTGGTAAAATTATGGATATGGTTTCTTACTTGCTATTTATTACATTGACGGTCGTTATGGCTTACAATTTGTTATCAATTAGGTATTTGATATGAAAAATGTTTGAGAAAATTATATTAAGTTGAGATCTTTTTACCTGTTTCTTTGATTTTCCTTTACTGAAATTACGAAAAGCAAGATGTTTTTAAGATATCTATTAAAAAGTTCCAGATGTATCTATCTTCCTACCCCTCTTGTCTACAACTTACGTTTCCAAAACCACCACATCGTCGACCTCACCTTCCCTATCCTTCCTCCTCCGTTTCTGCTCCCGTTTACCACAATGGCTGTCTCGCTGTCTATTGGAGGTCGGATCCGACTCCTTCACCTACTCATGAGTTATCTTAGTGAACTTCTTTCGGTGGGTGAAAAAGAAAATCAAAAGAAACGACTTAAACCCCATATTAAGATCAAGGTCTATGGGTTATGAGTTCAAGTTTCTAATCAGTAAGGTGGGTCTACGCTCTTGATTGTGCTGCAACTTCAAACAACGAAGATGAGAATGATGGAACATTAGATGGAGGGAGGAATATGGTTTCAGAAGGTTGAAGATTGAGTCGTGCCACGAGAAAGGAGGTGGTCATGGTGAAGTAAGAAAGAAGGTGGCGGCCGAGGTGCAAGGGAACGATGAGGGATACGACAAGGGGCGACGACTGAAAAATGGTGGTATCCTTCAGTTGATAGTGGAGAGAACCCAACATCACCTAATAGGATGGTGCTTCTCTCATGTCAACGGGGAGGTAAGAAGGGACACATGACAAAACTTAACCGAGTGCATTAACATGTTTTTTTAAGTAATACCAAAAATATCCGTCATTTAACAACCTTGTTTGACGAAGTTGATAAGAGGGACTCAACCCGTAATGGATTGAAAACTATCGCAAGTTGTAACTGTTGGTGCGGTAAATGAGTTGTACGAACCTATTCATAACTTTAACTAAATCACAAGGTTGTCTTTTATATATTTAGAATGGTCATAAAATCCGAAACCCGACTTTTAGGGATATTTGGGTTCGGTTAGGGTTTGGTTTTTTGCCACCTAATCCGTCCCAAAAACCCGAAATATATAAATATATTATTTTTACATATTATATACATATATTATTTATCTAATATCAATTTTCATCAATCCTCTCAAACGATTGAATATGTATATTTTTTACATATAAATATACCTGATCCCTACCGACCCCAATCCGTAATCCAAAATTTAGGGTTGTGTTCCATACTTGAAATCCGATCGAACTTCTGGTTTCCAACCAAACCTACCGATGCACATCCCTACATCATTTTGTATTTTCAAAATTGTCCGAACGAGAGGTGTTACAATCGACAAACTACAGGGACCAAAGTGTAATTTACTCGTAAAAATTAAATTAAATTAAATTTTGGTACCAAATTTCGAAAAGATATAAAAGGAGGTATTGTAAGAAAAATCAAATTCTACCAACCTTCATAGATTCACGAACTTTTCCCTTCAATTTATGAACCTTCTGCTCGATAATCAAGACGTTCATGATCCCTTCTCTCAAGAACGCAATAACAATGGTTCGATTGTCGTATTGAGATTGATTCTTTCGATCTCCGTTGCCATATAGAATTCCAGTTTCAACAAAATCAATGCCAAATTATTCGTCAACCATCGTTTGATTCAATCAATACACGGCCGGACGGGACTCTTCGATGGGTAATGCGCTTAAATCTATGTGTAGCTTGAAACGAAAGATCCTCTTAATTTGATGTCTATGAAATATGATGTATGATTAAAGAACGGAATTAATTTCGGCAATTGAATTCAAATTTCTTACGTTGTTGAGCGTTTCAACGTTGACAGCCATTTTAATTGCCTTTGTTGATGTTCTGTTTTAGTGTTTTCTCCACCCTACGATGCATGTAATGTGTGATTATGAGAACCATAAGCATCTGTCGTTCACGTAGACTTTTGGTCCTTGTAACTCGACATGATCACATTCGAGGTCGTCCAGATCGTAATATATCAATTTTTTGCAAAATTTCAAGTATTCATTACAATTGTTGATGCTAATTGCGTTTGTTTTACTTATGTAATGATTGAAGAGCGTTCTTCGAGACTTGGTTGATTATCAAACATTTTCAAGCTACTATTACCGCAAGTAATTTGGGATAAAATGTTGTTGTGATTGTGTTGCATTGCAATTTTGTTGGGAATGGGGGAGTAGTTAGTTGATATTTCCTTGTTTGTTTCTTTTAAGAAATATAAAAGGTCCAGACACAGTGTGGGGATCTGGATAAGAAATGAAGGCACGTGTTGTACTGGCGTTAATGTGATAACCAATCTGTTGTCTGCTGGGATGAGTTCCGTCACAAAACTAATGAGCCTTTTCCTTGGTCAACTGCAAAGAGAAAAGACTCGTTTGATTTGTAATTTGCAACGAACAGTGATCACATTATTTTATGGATGGGGTAGTACTCAGAATAGTTTAAGAAACAAAGCAAAACCATCAGCTAAGATTCTACATTGATCAAGGATGGTTGTCATGCCCATCTTACTACTTTTAATGATTACTGCAATGGGTGCAACCAAATTTTGGAATTTACAAAGTGTGAACGTTCTGTTGTTCTGAGCAATAAACCATGATGAAAAAGATATCAACCTAATCATGTTATTCATGTACATCTGTTCTTCTTTTCAGACAAGGCTGCCGACTGTTGCTCTACCCATCTCATAGATGGAGATGGTACTCTTAATTCAGCTGGACTCGATAAATTTATGAAGGAAGTAAAACTTGCTGAATGCGGACTTTCCTATGCAGTTGTTTCCATCATGGGCCCACAAAGTAGTGGTATGTATAAATGCATATTTTGCAAACAAAAAGATATGTTTCGCATGGGACTTGATGGCAAATTTTGTATCAAAGTACCTGTGATTATTTTTTTAATGACCCCAAAACCTTATTTAGAGGGTGAAATTTTTACTGCTTGGTCATGACACAATCCTTGTAGTTGCATTATACAAGCTTGGGGTTCAAACTCATGACCTCTTGTTACCGACTTACCACGTCAGACCACTGACCACTTTAGGTAGTCTAGTTGGGAAGTATAGTGGTTGTTTTTGTTGTCTTCCATAGTGTTCCCAAATTGGCCCCAAAAGTACGATTGGCAAAATGAGCATCTGAATCAAACAGTAACCAATTACAGTATATTAAGCTTCTATATCTTTGATGCTGAATTATGATAGGTTGTTTTCCTCAACACAACGGCATTGTTATCAATGGTAATATGACTTCCTTTTGCTGTTTTTCCTGGGTTACTCTTACTGGGTAGGGTTTTACTTGATGGAATGTGCAAAGATACTGCTGCGGTAATCACTCCCCATTATTCCCAAATTTTTCTCAATTTCACAAAATGCATGTATATATATTACGTCCATTGAAGCAAGTACTATTGAATGATTTTAGCAACACTTATTGTTCTGAACAGGGAAGAGCACACTTCTAAATCATCTATTCCATACCAACTTCCAGGAAATGGATGCTTTCAAGGGAAGGCATGCATCCGTTCCATTCACTTATTAGTTCACTTTTATCTGACCCTAGCTAAGGAATCTCACTGACTGCATTCCTATCAGGTCTCAGACCACCAAAGGTATTTGGATGGCAAGATGCACTGGTATCGAACCTTGCACTATTGTGATGGATCTTGAGGGTACAGATGGAAGAGAACGAGGAGAGGTTGCATCCTAATGCTTCTTTTACATTGGTTGAATGCATATCATCAAGCAATCTGTTGATTCTATTGTCATAGCTGGTCGATTTCTTATGCTTGTTTTATTTACTTGATCACTTTATTTACTAGTGGTGAGTTGTATACAAGTACAGCTTCAAATAAGGTTTGTGGGTTATGTTGATTTTCTTTTACGGTTCTAATAGTACTTCAGGAATTGTATTCAGTTTCACTTTTCAATATACACCCATAGCTATTCAACCATTCCATTGATCACTGTTATAATTCCTAGGATTCAGTAATTTTATGGAGCCATCTCAGTCGAAAACTATGTATTTGGTTTTAGTGAAGTTTGAACAGATGACTGTAGTATTGCTCACTGTTATTGAATAAGCTTTTGCATCCTTTTCAGGATGATACTGCATTTGAAAAACAAAGTGCACTTTTTGCTCTTGCTGTTTCTGACATAGTGCTTATTAACATGTAAGTGTGCTGATATCTATATATGGTCTGGCCAATTTTGTAAACTTGTACTGCATTACTCTAAAACTTTCTGTTATTAGGTGGTGTCATGATATTGGTCGTGAGCACGCAGCAAATAAACCTCTATTAAAAACCGTATTCCAGGTATATCATGTGTATATCCTCCTTTAGCTGCTCTTATATTGATTGTAAATTGCCTGAATGTCTTGAGTTATATTTCTCAATTTCAGGTCATGATGCGATTGTTTAGTCCACGCAAAACAACGTTGATTTTTGTCATACGTGACAAGACAAGAGTAAGTGTGGTCCATCCATCTTTCTCATTGCTGCTGTAGATCTTCCAGTATTTCTTGTATAAAGTTCCATCGTATCTCCTGCGGCAGAAGTTGAATTAATTGGATCTGTTTTCCTTTTGTTTCTTTAAAGACACCTCTGGAAAATTTAGAGCCTGTCTTGAGGGAAGATATCCAGAAGGTAAAATTCTGTTAAGTCTAATATGTTTATTGTCTAATGTATGATATAAATCTCAAGGTTGATTTTCAAATCTTCTATTGGCATAGATATGGGATTCTGTTCCGAAGCCAGAAGCCCACAAGGAAACACCACTAAGTGCATTTTTCAATGTAAGATACCGAAGAAACCACCCATTGTTGTCTTTGACTCTTTTCACTATTACGACTCTTGGGATCAAATTACTATGATCATTTTATTGATTATTATTTTGTCTAACCGATCAAATGACCAGATAGAAGTTGTTGCTCTTTCTAGTTATGAAGAGAAGGAAGAACAATTCAAAGAGCAGGTAGAATAAAGGTTTCTGTTTCGTATTGTATGAGGGTCGTAGATATGTTAAATAACAATGATGCTGTGTTATGCTTATGCATTATACTTAGCAAGCTGTATTTATTTATATGTTCTGTCTATATTGTATTTTTTTCAGTAGGTCATTTGGGCTATGCCTCAGAGAGATTCTTAGAACAATTCATTCATGCACCGTTCAGATCTTTAGTTTATGATTAGAAACTCTGAGCAATACAATCACATTTTGTTTTATATTTCCGGTAGTTGTTGGTGTGCATTTTTCTAACTGTTTTTTTGTTTGTTATGGAAGGTGGCCAACCTGAGGAAGAGATTTTTTCATTCTATTGCACCTGGAGGGCTTGCAGGTGACAGACAGGGAGTTGTTCCTGCTTCAGGATTTCGTTTCAGTGCTGAACAGATCTGGAAAGTTATCAAGGAGAACAGGGATCTTGACCTGCCTGCTCACAAGGTACAAGATTTTTCAAATTAACTCCTTAGATGCTTCTAGAATATTATAGATATTTTCCAGGGTGTTACAATTCTTCCTTTTACAAATATTTCTACAGGTGATGGTTGCCACCGTACGCTGTGAAGAAATTGCTAGTGAGAAGTACTCTGCCTTTGTCAAAAACAAGGTTCACTTTTCTCATATCTAAATAGTTCCAAGAATCTGCTTTTTTCTAGATATTGAAACTTGAATGTTTACTACAGGAATGGTGTGAACTAGAGGAAACTGTAAAGTCTCAACTTGTGCCCAATTTCGGAAAGAAGATTGGTTCGCTGCTTGACACTTGCTTTGCAGGGTATGCACATATGTTTAAAATGCTTTTTAAGTTTATTTCTAAAGTCCTGCTAAAAACAAGGTTCACTGTTTGCACATGTTCAAGCAGAAGCATATATATATATATATATATATATTCTGACCAGTGGGACAATTTTGGGTGAATTAGCCTCCTGAACAACTGAAACACCAGATTTTAGGGTGGTTGAACCCACCTGTCTGAAGTCCGTTAATTATAAAGTTTACATTTTCATTGGCACACACATCTCATTTTGCATCTCTATCTAATAAATATGACAAATTTATATAGCTACAACTAGTAATGTCTCTTTGTCTTGAACAGATTCATGACAAATGCCATATCTTCAAGTATTTATCTTATTTGAATTTTTTCAGTTATGACGAAGAGGCTGTGTTTTTTGAAGAAGGAGTTAGGAATGCAAAGAGAAAACAGTTGGAAGAGAAATTGTTGCTAGTAATGCCTCTGCTCTGTATGAATGTAATTTATTTAAGCTCCAATTTCCCTCATTGCTTGTTATCTTCTGTTTTCTTTAGCTTGTTCAAGTGGCCTACGAATCAACATTGCAACACATAAGGTCTGAGGTACTGGAAAAATTCATAAAAACATTTGACGATGCTTTGAGTAAAGGACGAGGGTTTCAAGTAGCTTCCCGTGATTGCACAGCATCATTTATGAAATTATTTGATGAACAATGCAAAGGTATATCTTCAAGTTATTGAATGCCTATCTCAGGGAACTCTTTGTATATTCAGATGTCAAAGTTTCCTTTTGAAAGTTTGTATTTGATCCCAAAGTGCTCAGATTTTGGTTTTTGCACATCCAAACAACATCATTATCTGAATGAGTTGCCTGCTTCGTTGACTGTCATACTTGTTTAAGATATAATAAGCCACCTGTTCCATTCAATACTAGTGATGATACTGATGTACACCGGGATCAAAAGATTGAATTCAAAGGAAACTGAATGCTTTTTACTAGTCGAACGCTTACAAAGGGTTTTCTGGCTTTCGAGAGGCCAGAATATCTCCAAAGGACTCATGCCCAAAAAGTGTTTACAATCAGAATGCCTATTACCACTCCTACTCATACCTATTTAACAGACTCTTAAAGCCAATTTTCCCTTTCTCCCCCTTGTAACATAATACTCCTGCTTCCAATATTGCCCTTATCAAGACTACTCCCCATTCTACCCCTTTACTCTATCGAACATAACTAATAGCAACTTCTAGGGTATAACAGATACATTTTTCTCCTAATGTGGCAATGTCCTTACAGCTGCTACTGCCCTTCTAGAAAATATTCTCTGGGCTGCATATAATCTGACAGATTAGTCAGTTTTAAGATCCAAATTGGCCAAAGCATGTGTATTTAGAAGAAAATTGGGTTGCTATGCTAAATTTTACGAAAGCAGTGCACTTTTAGTATTCGAAATGGATTTATGATCATGTCATTCGTGATACATTAGATCTATTTAGATGACTACACCTTTTACGATTGTTTAATGGATTAATGTTCCAAACAATAGTTAGTTTATTTATTATCATACTATATTCTCAACTTTGGATACCCTAAAGGTGCCATCGTCAAGCAAGCTGATTGGGACTCGTCCAAAGCAAGGGCTAAACTTGCTCAAGATATCGATTCACATATTGCTGAAGTTCGTACTGCCAAGATAGCTGATCTTACTGCACTATATGAGGTAATGGTAGCATGAAAGTTTCACCTTTTGACCAAAGGGTTATTGGCCTAGTGGTACCTAGATTACCCTTGGAGCCCAACCTCCCAGGAGGTCAAGGATTCAAACTTCACAAAACGTGAGGAGTGTGTGTGAGAATTTGCCATATATAGATGCTTGGGTCAGGTTCAGGGGAGCCGCAAAACATGAAAAACCGAGGAACACCTTTGCAACCATTCATCTAGACGATATGCACGTGTACATACAAGTAATTTATAAGCAATTTGTCCGGTATGCACACGTGCATAAAAACCAAGAAACAACTTCATTTACTTGTGTGCACATGTGCAACTTGTCTAGATGAATGGTTACTAGGGTGTTCTTCATTTTTTTCATTTTTTTTTGGGGGTTTTCCCCTGAACCTCTCTCTATATACTTAAAAAAGATTCACCTTTTGACTAGTAAACACTGTTCCCCTCTTTCTTGCCTTTCCACGAGATAAATATTAACATCGTGAATTCATCTGCAGTCGAAAGCAAAAGAGGTGTTATATGCACCTGTGGAAGCTCTTCTAGAAGGGGCTGCTGAAGATACTTGGCCTGCAATAAGGAAACTTCTTCGAAATGAGACCAAAACTGTTGTCTCTGAGTTTTCTGATGCACTTAAGGGTTTTGAAATGGATGAAGATGCCAAGAAAAATCTGCTTTCAAGATTGGAAAATTTTGCAAGAGATGTTGTTGAAGGGAAAGCTAAAGAAGAAGCTGGCAAAGCTCTAAATCGCATGAAGGAAAGGTATTAGTCTCGTAGTATCACTGCATTAGTCCAATCTATTTTACCTACATGCTTTGTGAATTGTGATAATGAACTGCACACAGGTTTACAACCATATTCAACCATGATAACGATCAAATGCCACGGATCTGGACTGGAAAGGAAGATATTCGTGCAATTAATAGAACTGCTCGTATTTCTGTAAGAATGATCAGATTATATAACATTTGGTGGAAATATAACTTCATAACAATAGAATCTTTTAACCTACTTGTGACAGGTTGGATTCCGGTGAGAATGGAAGTTACAGTGAGAAGGGTAAGAAGGGATCTCCACCCTTGGATCAATCCTAATTGAAGAGAACCACTAGATCAATTCCATTCTAAAGCGCAATTCATGGGTTGTTTTGGGATTAAAAGTGATCAAGGGTCCAAATCCCTTCTTACACTTCTCACCTTTACTCCTATTCTCACACGATCCTTCATCAACTTGTGACATGTTCTCATTTTATCATGCATATAAATCTTTCAGTCTTTAAAGTTGCTTGCTGTTTTGGCCGCAATTCGTTTGGAGGATTATGCTGATAAAATTGAGGATACGCTACTCCTTGCTTTAACAGAACCCAGTAAAGGCGCCAAGAGCTCCAATTTGCAAGACCCTTTGGCCACAAGCAAATGGGAACAGGTATCATGGAAGTTATGTAAATTTATGTGTGAAGTATGTGAATGTAAATTGTACTTTTTTGTTCTTCCATGAAATTACTAGTGTGAGTGGCAGAACTTTACCCTCAGGCGTGTAGCTCAGTTGGCAAAGAGGCAGAGCGAATTTGCTCAAATACACAACTGATTCAAGTTCGAATCATGTGGGAGACAGGCTTGACACCCCTCCCCCCCTGCTGGCCTCAGCCGCATACAGCTTTGAAATGCCTTCTCACATGTGGTTCCTAGGAGGTGGGTTCCATGTGAGGCCGGTAGGGGTTGCTGGTAATCAACCTTTTTGCTCATAAGTGGCATAATAAGTAGTATACAAATATTCATTAACAAAAGTGTTTGTTTCTATTCAAATGATTCGTCTATTAAATATGTTGGTATATAATTTATTTACACCCCAGATTCCAGCATCGAAGACATTGATAACTCCTGTTCAATGTAAATCTTTATGGAGCCAGTTTCAGAAAGAGACAGAGTATGCCGTTAGTCAAGCTATTTCTGCCCAGGTACATTTCAATCATCTTAGAGGCCGTTTACTAAACGCTTACCCGGTAAGCGCTTACCGGGTCATTTACCTCATCGGATAAACATGGGAAGGGCCGAGAATCATATCCGGTAAGAGCGAGGATAAGGATGAAGAGTCTTACCTGGTAAGTGCATACGATACCGTTTTGATGATTTTACCCTGTAAAGTAAGTTATAGTGTTGATTCTTACCGGTAAGCGCTTACTAAGTAAGCATTTGGGTAAAGTGCCCCTTAATCTTCCTTGTATTATCTCTGGTCCTCCATATTTATCAATAGAATAGCTTCAACCAGACATGGTTCTTCATGTTAGCACATTTAATTTTGCCATTTTATATACTCTTATGATTTAGGGCAAGTTTTTTGCTCCAATAGATTCCGGAAAACCTTTCTCCAAAAAGGAGAAAGTAGGAGAGAGAGTCTGAAAATGTGCAGAATTGGAGAACTCCCAAAAATGACGACCATGAGAGAGAAATACTTTTTAATATATTCCACCGGTAGAAACCTTATACCTTGGAATTAAATGCTTAGGAGAGAAAAATAATATTTTATTAAATGTATGGAACATTCTTATCTTTTATAAAAATATATTTCTCGCTCCTAGACATTTAATTTATAGGATTTTCATTAGTAGGAAGAATAAAAAATAAATTCTCTTTCATAGGTAATCATTTTTGGAGAGTTCTCCAAATTTAGAGAATTTTGCCCTCTCTCTCATACTTTGTCCTTTTTGGAGAAGGTTTTTTGGGAATTTGTTGGAGCAAAAAAATCCCCAAAATCTCCGGTTTATAGAATCTATCGGAGATGCTATAATAATATAACCAATGTTGTAATCTCCAAAATGATGAAACTAGTGGAGTTGAATGCAATTTCCTTTTGGAGATTTTGAATTTTGATTCTCCATTTTAGATATATTTTGGAGAATTTGTTGGAGATGCTCTAAATTTTAAAATTAGTGAGTGTTTGTTTTAGGAATCAAGTCTAGACCATTTAGGAACCAAACCATATAGGCTATGTTTGGCAAACTAGCAGATAAGCAAGCTGTTGGCTCTTGCTCCCGGTGGACCATTTGTATCTATATGCATCAGAATCTCGATTCATGGATCTCTCTGTTTGAGAAAAGAAGAGGAATGAACCATCTCCTCTTTCTTCTTCAAATTCGATAAATGTTGGTTGATTGTATATTTCACTAGAGTTCTATGATTTAGAGTATCCACTGATAAGCGTGCTGATGGCTGATGGTTGATAAGCTAGCTATTTGAACTAATGTTTTAATTCAACTTTTATGTTTTTGCATGATTTTTCAGAAAGCTAACAAGCAAAATAACAGTTGGCTACCACCTCCATGGGCTATTCTTGCCTTGTTTGTGCTGGGATTCAATGAATTCATGACTCTTTTGAGGTGTCTTTTGGTTTCAGCTTAATTGTCTCCTTCCATCTTCGTATTTTCGGTTATTTGTTACTAGATTCTCGTAATTTTGTTTTCGTTTGTTTTTCAGGAATCCATTGTACCTGCTTTTTATCTTTGTTGGCTTCCTACTTTTGAAAGCCTTGTGGGTTCAACTTGACATAGCCTCTGCATTCGAAAACGGTGTGGTGCGTGTTAAAAAACCACCTTACTAATTACTATATTCATTTGTAAATCCCATTTCCATCAAGGAGACATTTTTATTTGAATAAAGGGACCTTCATTATCAATATGGACCCAACAAAAGGAAACTAAACCATATCTTCATTATGCAGCTTAGAGGGCTTCTGACCTGTAAGCTGCATACTGTATTCATTTGTGAATCCCATTCCCATCAAGGAGACATGAATATGTCAATAAAAGGATCTTCATTATGAATATGGACCCAATAAAGGGAAACTAAACCTGTTCTTCGATATGCAGCTTACAGGGATTCTGACGTTATCCACCAAGCTTCTTCCAGCAATTATGAACCTTATGAGAAAACTGGCGGAGGAGGGGCAACGGCCGCCACCGACCGCCAATGCCCGAATAAACTAATGAATCAGTTCATCTGGCTGACTCTGGTTTCACGAATATGGTCTAGCTATGTCGGGTTTTCAGTAGCACGTCCAATTGAAGGAGTTGGGCGCATTGGTAAACATTAATCTTTTTAGTTTTCCGGGCATTGATTTTACTACGTTGATCTTGGATAGATCTTTCGTAGTGAAATGAAGCTAGCTCATTTTTTGTATTCGTTTGTACAGATGTGTCAACTCTATTATACAAGGTGTAAAGCTTTTGAAATACTTCAGAGGTGATACAGGGATGTTGGTCTGAATCTGGCCAATTGGTTCAAGGATAGCACCATGTGGTTTGGTTTGTGATTTCAAAATGAAACCCAACCAAACAAAATTGGACCCAGTTTTAATTAATTAGTTTTGTATTAGAATTGTTTATTCATTAAAATAATATAATTTATTTGTATTACGGAAAAATATGTATTTAATTGTATAAGTTTATCCATTATGTATTTATGGGGAGATTCAAACAAGAACAATAATCAAATAAAAGAACACGAAAATGAACAAATCATGTGTAACGTCACGTATGATTTTACATTAATGGTCAACGCAAAGGTGTGCAGGCGACGACCAAAGTCGCGTGAATCAAATGTGATTTTACACGTAATTTAATGTAAAATCACATGTGATTCAACAGTTTTCTTATTTTCTTATTTGGTTATTGTTCTTGTATAAATCTGACTACATATTTATACTCTTACAATCAAAACCAGTTCATTCTTTCGCAACCTACTCGCTTCTTATCTTCTTCAAACATCCTTTCCTTGTTAATACCGAATGTCCCAAGTTATGGTGAGCAATCATATAATAGTTCCTCAATTACAATTTTACTGTAGTGACCTGAAGTAAGGTCTGTTTAGTTGTTTTTTTCATTAAGTCCTATATATATAAAGTTGTCTGTATAAATTGAGAAAGTTTGTGGGAGATATGTTTTCATTGATGAAAGGAGCGTGCTGTTTAATTAGGAGGATGCAGGTTTGGGAAAAAAAAAACTTGGTATTCTACATGAAACTTCTCTCCATAAGCTTATTGAATAAGTCATTTCATATTTTATGAAGTCGTTACCAAACAACCATGTATAGCTGAACGAATGAAGTGTAAGTCCCAACGAGCTCATTAAGCTGCTAACAAGCATACCCTAAGTTTTCATACTAGTATTATGATGTTAGTGTAAACCTCGATTAGTTTGCATTGAGGAACATCTTTAATCAGATTCTACATATCGTGATCACTACCAAACGTTTCGGTATCAAAATTTAAGTCGCTATTTTGGTATTTTTAAATGATGGTACGTTTTGATATATTTTATAACCTCACTCTTTTATTATGGCATTCCATTCAAAAACTACATTAGATTAAATCAAAAGAACTTTCATTTAAATTTACAACACACCGAGAAACTTGATAAAAACCTTACCGTGATCTATAGTCAGGGGCCGTTTACCAAACACTTATCAGGGTAAGCGTTTACCAAGTCACATTACCTTACCGGATGAATATGATAAAGAACCAAGAATCTTACCTCGTAAGTGCGAGACAAGGACCAAAATCTTACCCGGTAAGTGAGGGCGACGACCCTTACCACGGTAAACACTTACCGAATAAATTGTTGCATATAATGTCGTTTTTGTGGACTAAAATCTTACTTGGGTAAGTAAATAATGATATTAAATTTTATCCGTGAACGCTTACCAAGTAAATGTTTGATAAACGGCCCCTCATTAAGATGGTTGCCTCCTAAAAAGTTAAGGAACAATCAACAAATAGTTTAAAACACATTTTTAAAAGATCATGATATGCAAAGTACAAAAAACATTTATGCTCCTACACTCATTTAATAGATGTGATATTTAATCCTTTATAAGATGATACTCGTCCCCTCCTTCAATTCCCGATCTTATACCAGTTGTAACATTCTAGGCTAAGTGTATCAGATACTATCCACTTTGCCCAATCTAGATTCACGGTTTTTAACATACGTTTGATAAAGGAGGTATTCAGTACCTTATAAGGCAACATTCGCTCCCTTCTCCAACCGATGTGGAATCTTACAGTTTCGAAGGTGCATCGATTCTGCCACATTTGTACAACCCATGTGTATGTCAAAATGCTTGGAATTTACAAACTATATGGAGATAAATGAATAGTCAAAATACGATATAAGGATGAATCAGGAACTAAAAAGGTTTGTTTACTGAGGTGTGAAAGAAAGAGAGGGAAAACAGAGAAAGGACTACGATGCTCTCACGTGAGGCCATTAGGCGCACTTGACGTTACTTAATGGATCAAAAGTGGATGCCATCAAGACACAAACCGAAAACCACTTGGGTTGTCGAGATGTTTGAATCCAGACGGTGTCAAGCTTTTATGATCATGACGATTCACCTGCAATACGATGACTTCAATAGATGCAAATGTAGGTTGACTCAGAAACATACGGAGACCTGAAAAATAAATAAAGAGGACATTGACAAAAAAAACATTAAAGATTTCAAAGAATAATGATTGAAAATATAAGGTGCCGTTTACCAAACGCTTACCCGAGTAAGCGCTTATCAAGTCACTTTACTTTACTGGATGAATATGGCAAGAAATAAAAATCTTACCCGGTAAGAGCAAAGACAAAAATCGAGAGTTTTATCCGGTAAGCGAGGACGATGACTCTTACCATAGTTAGCGCTTACCGAGATAAATTGTTGCATACGATGCGCTTTAGTGAATAAAATTTTACTCGGTAAATAAATAATTGTGTTGAATTTTACAGGCAAGTGTTTGCCGGGTAAGTATTTAGGTAAACGACCACTAAGATGACCACAAAACACATGATAGTTTTAAGAAAAACCGAAAATTGTAGTTAAAAGAAAATAATTAAATTTGCGGGTTCAAAAAAGGCAAATAATTTGAAATACACCGCCCCTCTGTGAAAAAGGGTTGAGATCCAGCTCAGGCGTTGATGGCGTACACATGTCTCCGCCATTGCCAATTCTCGCTTCAGTTTGCAATTCAAACAACGCACATGATACTCTCCCTTGATTCAAGCACAAACCCTACACAATATTCCACTCTAATCCCGTATCTCAATCCACTCCCCTCAGTCAATTTGTGAAGTACAACAAAAGGAATCAACTTGGAACAGTGACATCGATGAAAACAGGTGATCTTCTAAATTTTGACTACACGATGGCTTAATCATGTGCCGATCTTCGTTCTGATCGTTTTGATTTGATCTGAAGTGATCGAGTGGTAGGGTAATCGATGATCACGAATGCATGTGTTTTGAGTTTTATTGTTTGTGGTTTGTCCAGCTTAGGTTATTGGTTTATTGTTACTGTGTTTAAGATATGAAGATGTTTTCCTTGAAATTCACGGATTTACTTGAATTACTTTAGGGTTAATTTTCGATTTTCATGCAGCATCTGGGATTTTTGGAGTCGGTTTGTTTTAATTGTTTAAATTCGTTTCTATCGTTGTTTTGTTTGTACAGTGTCGGAACATATTCAGTGAGAGGTAGAACAAGATAAATCTCAGACGCATTCGAGTTTTTGGGGAAAAACAAGGGGAGTACAAATTGCGAACTCTATAGAGGATTGGTTGCAGTACTGGTTGGATCACTGTGCCCTGTCTTGTTGATTTACTGTTTTGTAGAGAGGGAAGTTTGCTTGATAGCTAGGTAATTTGATGAAGAGGTTAGGATCGGTTACATGCATAATCGTGAAGATTGGCATATAGCATAAGTGAGTTGGTGCTGCAGTTTTACATGGTATTTTCTTGGTTAAAGGGGAGCAAATGGAATTCTAAGGTAAATGCATAGTTCTGGAGAAATTGAGAGTGATCCTAGAATATAGCTACTGCCATGACCAGTGAGGTACCTTGTGCATCTGGTCAATGGCTCAAGCAAGAATCGCACTCTGTTTTGAAAGATGGGGTATTGGCTGGGATGAGTTCCAAGAACAACATATCTCTAAGAACAGGTGAGGAGTTCTCCATGGAATTTCTTCAGGACCGTGGTACAGTGAGGCAGGTTAATAATGGACATAGTAAGGTCATGAGCAACGAGGCATTACTAAGAAATAATGGCAACCATCATCCTGGTTACGAGGAACTCGGTGTTATGCTTGGGTTGCCAAGGGTGGATTCTGTCTGTAGTTCTGATACGGCAGCGAGCACTTCTGCAAGAGGATCTCTTTCTAGGCCAAGTGCTCCATCAGCCATTGATTCCGCTCCCTCTCTGGCTCACCGAGCTTTGGGATCAGGAGTTTCAGATGATTCTCAAAGAGGAAAGATTAAGTTTATTTGCAGTTCTGGAGGCAAAATCTTGCCTCGACCCAGTGATGGAAAACTGAGATATGTGGGAGGTGAGACACGTATCGTTTCGATACAGAAGAATATCTCATGGGAAGAGCTTGTCAAGCGAACTACTGAATATTGCAACCAGCCTCACACGATCAAGTACCAGCTTCCAGGAGAGGATCTTGATGCTCTTATATCAGTGTCTTCTAATGAGGACCTTCAGAATATGATAGAGGAGTACAATGGGCTTGGAAATCTTGATGGTTCCCAGCGACTCAGGATATTTTTGATTCCTCTAAGTGAATCTGAAAGTACATGTACCATTGAAGTGAGTGGTAATCAGCAGCACAATCCGGATTATCAATATGTAGTTGCAGTCAATGGAATAGTTGATAACAATCCAACACGAAACAATGGGTGTTTGACAAACGAAGCAAGGCAGTTGAAATCTGGAACGGACCAAAACCTGAGCTTTCCCCAGAAGCAGCCTCCCTCTTTTGATCCTTTGCAAGACAATGTTGGTCGGAATAACTCAAACATCACTCCACAAATATTCGAACCTCCAAGTTTGACCAAGTCTCCCGACTATTTCCCTCTAATTTCTCCTGATCTAGTGCCACAAAAGGATTTGATGAATGGTCTTGCACCAGCGTATAAGGATCCAGCATGTGGCAGTATTGAGATCCCAGTACTGAAGGGCCGAGCGTTTCATTCTGAGAATCCTATTCCACAACCTGCTGATCGGATGGAACTATTTTTGGGACCTGATGATAATGGGTCTCATCCTGGAATGCCGCATGCATTTTCTGATCCCCAGCTCCAGGAACTTGGAGGAGACTCTTGTTTCAGCTCTCAAGATGGAAACACTTTACCTCCAATCTTGAGTTTTGCGCCACCATCTACACGGACACAGTTGGAATCTGTTGTTTTGCTAGAGAAGTCTGTTGAACACCATGAGAATGTCCATCCACAAGTTGTAATTGAGATACCAAGTGTGAGACATCCTGTTTCTTACAGTCAGACAGATTCTTTGCAAGGGTCTTTCGGTTCTGAATCTTTGAAGAAACAACATTGTGATGCAAATGGCATAAATGAGAAGATCCAAGCAGCAAAGGAAGATCTATGTAAAAATGTTGGAGTGCAAAACAATTCTAAGGAGAACAACCCAACTTTTTATGAAGCTCAAAATTCTTGCAAGAATACCTCACCTGCAACTGCCAATGGTGACATCATTAAAGCATCAAAGGTCAATTGTGATCAGATATCTGTTCTTGTAGTTGGCACACCGATGCACAACCTGCAAGGGTCGGACGACACAATCCCTGCATCAGCTGCAACTAATCTAAATCCTCTTTCAGATGCAACGCTGCAGCAATTTTCAAGCAATCATTTAAAGAAATCTTCAGCTGACTCTGCTATTAACAGCCGAAGAATTGTCGAGAATCAGCAGTTTGCAATGACTGGGATAGAAAATTGTGAGCAAGGAAGCAATGTGACATGGATCCATAATCATGAAAAATCTTTGACTGATCTACTTTCTGGCTTATCAGATAACGTATCTCACGAATCTGCCGTTCAACTACCAAGATTGCATCAGAACGGAATGAATGACCAGAAACCTATGCTAATTGGCTCCAGGGAGTTTCTCCCGTCGGCAGGTCTTGATTATGCAGGGCAAGAGTCACCATCATGTGTTGGTCCTTTGATGCAGAATCCAACAACAGGTGCTGGTTCTAGGAGAGAAGTTTCACTAATGGATGAAGACTTTTTCAATTACACCAAACAGGAAGTTGGTAACATAGGCTATGAAGAATATTACCATAAGATGCCAAAGGAAATCCCATCTATCAAGGACAAGCAAGAAAATAAACTGGAGTTGGTCGACCTTTTGGGAGATGTAACTGATGCTGCAAGTCGTTCACATATGTTAGATGCAGTCAGCACTGAGGCTCATTTTTCAGATGAAACTACAGCTGAGATCACTTTTTCAGATTCCAATGTTGAGGTATGAACTTTGCTATGAAATATTTAGATTTGATTTTAAAAGCCTTTCAGCATAGTAAGAGATCATCCACACATTTTGATTATGCGGGGCAAGATCAATGTAGAAAAATTAGCAGGACTCGTGATAATAAATGGACAATCAATCAGAAATTCTTTAGTACCACACTTAGAACAAGGCACCAAACTTACACGGGCCTTAAAATTATTCACTTCATCATCTCGTTACAGTGCTTTTGGAAGTCATTCGATCTAATTTCGAGTCCACTTGAACTGCCATGGGAAAATTCAGCAAATGGTAAGAAATGATAAAATACCTGATTAGTGTTAACCTTCCTACTTGAGGTAGATTGTGGATTTTAAGCTTCGCCAAATTTTATTTACTCTAAGTTGAGTTTGGTGGAGACCAAGCCATATACTTTCAAGCTTGAGTTAGATTATACACATTATTTAGCTATTGGTGAGCCAAGCACCAGGGTGTGTGACAATTACTGTATGAAAACATGTGTACAATTACAACTCCGAATGAGGTCTTCCGGATGGAGTCATGAGTTGTGCCTATCATGGATAGAGTGTTTGGGCACATTCATAGGAGAACGATGGCGGCACCAGTGAGGAGAGTAGAAAGCATGACGGTTGAGGGGGCGAGGAAGAGGGGAAGTGCAAGGAGGACCTCGGTGGAGTAGCTGAGGATGGACATGGCGGCTTTAGACATTCCGAGGAAATAACCTCTGATTAGGAGTTCTTGGAGATGAAGCACTAGAATAGCAGACTAGGTGTAGTGACCTGTAGCTAGCGCGGACGTGCATAAGGGAGTTGGAGAGGCTGAGGGTGTGTGTGTGTATGAGGGTGGAGCTGGCGGTTTAGTCCTGCCATGGATAGAGGGATAGAGGAATGAGTGGTTTGTCTTTCCTTACCTCTATAATGTGTTTCTTCTTACTTTACCTTATCTTTTCTATGTGTCAATATACCCACTTCTTAGTTTTTCTTACTTCATTTACTTGTTCTGTGCTTACTTTGTGCTAGTCTCTGTTCTTTTTACCTTTTTTCTCACTTTTGCACAAGCTGGGGGTCTTCACAAATCCACCCTCTCTGCTTTTCGGTTGGAGGGCAGGTCTACGTACATTCCACTTCGTGGACCCTACTCCGAGTGGGATAAACTGTTAGTCTGGTTGGGGTTTTTAATGACAACTCCCTAAGACAATTAAATACTTGTCTTGTGTATTATTGACCGTAAATCTTGTTTGATTCTCCATTGACTTGGCGGTCAATCTGGATCAGGGAAGTTAATAAGTGAAATCAAGCCAACTTACTTGGTCCAGAGAAGATCTTGGTCTTGAACTCTTGATGGATAGTTCAAGGCATTGGCATACAAATATAAACTAAACCTAATGAATAAATTGTAAAGAGACAAGCGTTATATACTTGAGTTAAAATAAGCGTACCCTTTTCTACAAAAAAGTTATACTTCAATACTTACATTAAATTCCAAATTTAAATGAAGCAATAGCCAATTGATGTAAGGGCCATCCCTTGGGAGGGCGGGCCGTATGCCTAGGGCCCACTAGAAAAGGGGCCCATATTTTTTTAGTATATAGTAGTAGAATTAATAAATAAAAGAGAGAATTTTTTAGCATCTAATAGGACCCAAAAACAATTTTACATTATATTAAGGGCCCAAACATGTATTAATCAATTACACTGGAACAAAAAATACGTAAAAAGTTAATTGGTCGTTCATTTTATAGTATTATTTATTGTTTCTCTAAGTTTTTTTTATCTAGTACCAAGGTATAAAATTCTTACTTAGAAAACCTTGATATTCTCCATTATTCATCTCCCACCGACTCTTTTGGTTATTACATCTGCATGAATTTTGTTTTTGTATTAGAATATCATAGATACTTCTCATTGTCTAAGAAAACTATACATTTAAAAAAAATTACCAACTATATAAGACGGTCCAACTTATATCTATATTTAGGATTTCAAAACTACCTTTATTTTTCATACATTATTGACTCCTTATATACCTAATTGTAAATTCTTGTATACTGATCTTACTATTTATAGTAACAAAGATTCACACACAGATAAGAACAATGAAGAATTGTATTACGAAAGTCGGCATGTCATTGATCTTGAATTAGAGTACATGAGAGAATCTTAGAGAGAGAAAGTACAAGTGCAAATTGTACGTAAAAAGTTATTCCAACAGAATCTACTGACTCTATTTATACTAGAACAGAAAGGGTAAAGTTACATGTAGTTATAAAACAGACTAATTACAGTTTGACACGTGTTCTAGTATCATGGAGTCTTCGAGTCTTCAATTTTTCAAAATGAGATCATTACAGAGTGAAATGATTAAGTCTCGAACTCTGGATAAGTGTATCCAGAGTTAGTTCCAAACTCTGAACACACTTCTTCCTTACACATTATTTCTCTGCACCGAACTCTGGATCCATTATTCAGACTTGTACTTTGTGAAATACTCTAACTCTGAACTTCTTTATTTACAACTCTGAGTTCTCTCTTCAGAGTTAATACTTAGAAGAATATTTACAACTTTGAACCAACTTTCAAATCTCTACACTAATATTGAGTGCATGAATCTTAAGTACACTCTTATCTCTGAAACAAGAATAAGATCTCAGATTATAACAATATGGGCTTTTGTTTATGAATTGATGGTTCTAAAAAAGTTTGTTTTAGCCCTAAAATTTTAAAATGGTGGTGAAAAACATTAGCATGAGGTGAGATGGAAACCCAATTGATTTATATTGATTTACACAAAGTATTACTCCTACTAGTAAAACATTGTAACTCCAAATGTCAATCTATATATTAAAGGTATATCAATATATGTTTCTGATGGTGGAATTGATTGGCGATGCTATATAAAAATGATATGGTGGATAATATTAATTTAGAAATAATTATTTATTTATGTCTAGGAATACTCGGAAAAATGGTTTTATATGAATTATTAATATTTCTTGAATACAATGTTATTTTTTGTGCTAAAGACAATAAATTGAAGATTTTTTCGTACTTATCGAGGGCCCTGTTTTACATCTCGCCCAGGGCCAATAAAATGTCAGGAACGGGCCTGATTGATCTGTAGTTGAGGTATTTTCATATCTTATGCAGGATGCTGCAACAGAGAATGGATGTAAGGATGGACCATTCAGTAATGCATTGATAGCTGAAATGGAAGCTGATATGTATGGCCTCCAGGTATATTACTATCCTGTAAATACACATGTATATATGGTTATTACTTATGCTGTGTTGTTGAGTGAAGTTGTATTGACACAACAGAGGTACTATTCTATTACTCTGTGTTTGGGCTTTCACCCTATGCTTGCAAGAGAAATCCTTGCTTTGCAAGCTGATAAAGAAAAAATAACTTTATAAGATGGTACCTATTGACCTAGGAATATGTTAATCAAATGCATGTAGAAATTTGCTTAACGCTTAGTTACTTTGGTCAAGGTGAATCTCATGATTATATGCATATGACAGTTACGATCTTACCTTCATAAAAAATATTTGTTGTATATGTTAAAGTATATATCTTTTTGTTATTGTTTTGGCTTTGGATTTGTTGTTGTTGTTAACTTGTTATGCACCTAATCTAACACTAGAAAATAATTTGTATCATGTTATATTCACAGAGATCTTGGACATATAGAAAAGGAAAAAAAACAGCCTTGCACTTATTGCATCTTCTGAGATGCATTGATGTGCAGAAATGAAGAACTGACCTTGGAAATGAGAGATGAATCTACATTATTTAATGCTTGTTAACAAAGCTCAAGCACCTGATGAACATACAAGTTATATTCCTGACAGCAGGAAAAAACTGCGCCCTAGCTCTTTATGCTATCAGGACAGTTTTTTTCTTTCTTATCAAAATGGTCCAAGTGTCTAGGTCACAAAGTTCTATAAAAGATAGTACACAATAGCAGCTTATGAGTTTATTCCCTACTAGTTCAAACAAGTACCTATTCTGATGATTCCAGAGCACAGGTATTGCGAGCATGGTTTTAAAAATCGTTTGAGGCGTATACCTTGAGGTGCGCCTTAATGCGAGGCAGCCCAAAGTCGCACCTAAGACGGCACCTATTGGTCCCTAGACAAGGCTTACGCCTTGGTTCAATGAGGCGTACGCCTTAGATTATCTGCTTTGTTAATGGTTTTTCTTGGCTTCTTTTTGTAAGCTTTAGGCAGTAGTAGTACTTCTCTTTATAGTTTTTTTTTTTTTTTTTTTTTCATAAAAGAATCTAAAAGCCACTGCCAATGACCCCAATGTGTACTTTTAATATTTTAAAACCCCAAAAATCTAGAGTGTGGTTTGACCCTTCCTCTTCCTAGAAGCAACCAATTTTTCCACAAGCTCTCAGCCTATCTCATGATTTCACTCTTTCCTCTTCCTCATGATTTCCTCTGCCTTTTAGTAATCTAGTATTTTATATATATATATATATATATATACATATGCACATACATACATATTGTATATAAGGATTGGGTTCCGATGAGAAGGAGAGTTAAGGTAAGAAGCATAAAAAGGATCTTCACCCTTGGATGCACATTAGGATGAGATGCATCGAGATGCACCGAATCAATCCCTGCATCAAGTGCGATTCATGGGTGGGTTTGAGATTAAAGGTGATCAAGGTTCTAGATCACTTCTTGCACTTCTCACCTTAACTCTCCTTCTCACATGATCCTTCGCCTTGTATATAAATGTTTATTTCTATGTGTAGTATACATACATATTTTTGGTGTATATATATTTTCTCCTCGGACAACCTCGAGGCCCAATTTTGCTTTTTAAAACCTTAATTCCGAGCTTGTTTGCCTATTCAAGAAAAAAAGTTCAAAGGCTTCCTTATTCTAATGATCTCATAATATAGCATAGGAATTTATCAAATATTTCCACCTTATTTAGTATGCTGGTCCTTAAATACACTGAGCTGGGACCAGTGAGTCGTTTTGTCGCCTGTTGGTTACATGTTCTTGTTGAAATCCTTAATTGCATAATTTGTTAGTAACTAGTTTTAATTGAAGCATACATGTGCGTGGACAAATTACTTTTATTACATTTTCAAGGCTCCATTCTGTTGGTGATCTGTCTTTTCTGTTTACTTCTTAAATTTCACATGTTATTTTAGCATCCGTTTGTTCTCTTCATATTGTGAATGGATCAGAAAATGAAAGTTACTAATGCAACTTGATGTACTCCTGCTAATAGCGAATCCTATGAAGACAGATTCTGCTGCTCCCGTTTGATAAAATAATAATTTTGGCATGAAACCACGATCTTGCTGTTGGGTTTTGTTCAATATCATTTTGCATCTTCAACAGAATACATGGATGTCATATGCAGATAATTAAGAATGCTGAACTTGAAGAACTAAGAGAGTTGGGCTCTGGGACATATGGAACTGTTTATCATGGCAGATGGCGTGGGTCAGATGTTGCTATTAAAAGAATCAAGAAAAGCTGCTTTGCCGGGAGATCATCTGAGGAAGAACGGCTGGTGGGCCATCCCGCTAACTTTTAATGTTTTTTATCCTTGGAGTATCTGCTTTCTTCTACTTAAATGCCATTCCATCTATTAGCATTATTGATCGACCTCCGACTGTTCCAGACCAATGACTTCTGGAGAGAAGCACGCATTCTTTCAAATCTTCATCATCCAAATGTGGTTGCATTTTATGGAGTTGTACCAGATGGAGCTGGAGGAACATTAGCTACCGTTACAGAATTTATGGCAAATGGATCGCTTAGAAATGTCCTAATAAAAAAGGATAGGTGAATTCACTTTTATTTCTCATTAAATTTTTGGCTTCGTTGTATCAACTGGGTTGAGTTTTGATGTCATGGCAGGTCACTTGATCGTCGGAGAAAGCTCATTCTAGCCATGGATGCAGCATTTGGAATGGAATATTTGCATTCCAAAAATATCGTCCATTTTGATCTAAAGTGTGACAATTTGCTGGTTAACATGCGTGATCCACAACGACCTGTTTGCAAGGTAATCAAAACTAGCATAAGTCATGCCCGATATTGGTACATGCAGGCAAACCAAAAACGAGCCATTTATCGTCAGAAGGGGAATCACATAAAAGCATCTACGTAGACATTCTGAGTCCTTTTCTTTGGGTTTGTAATATGAACTCATAATTATATTTCTTTAGAATCTATGATGGATAGAGGCTCTTGCAGGTTGGAGACTTCGGACTGTCGAGGATCAAACGGAATACTCTAGTTTCAGGTGGTGTTAGAGGAACTTTACCATGGATGGCACCAGAACTTTTAAACGGTAGCACCACTCGAGTTTCTGAAAAGGTTAGAATACCTTAATTTAGGGTTAAATCGTCTGTAATATTTACACATTTCTAAAATTGTGCGTCTTTTTCATTGTGGGAATTTATTTTGGTATGGAGATTGAAATTTGTCATGCAACAAATTAGGTCCAACCAAATAATCAGTTAATTCTTGGTATTGACAGGTTGATGTGTTCTCTTTTGGGATTACTATGTGGGAGATCCTAACTGGTGAAGAACCTTATGCAAATTTGCATTGTGGGGCCATCATAGGTAAGCTGTTGTTCTCTACTCAGATAATAAGTAATGATCAAAACTGAGGAGGTCTTGCTGAATTAAGACATAAAATGTGATTGCGATCTTTTAAGGGGCGTTTGGTTTGATGGAACAAATGGTTTTGAGGGATTTGGATTAGGAAGGATTTCAAATCTTTGGTGTGTTTGGTTGGTAGGATTTGGAATGTAATGAAATTTCATTCTTTATAAATAATCGTAAAAATAATTAAATTACCTTTCATTAATTGATTATTGCCAAACAAATGTTTTTAACATATTTTAAAACATACGAAATCTCGTGAAATACCAACCCCGTGAGATTTCAAAATCTTATGCTTGTGGGATTTCAGTGAAATCTCGGGATTTCAAATCCAGGAAATCCTTCAAACCAAACTTGGGAGTGGAATGAAATTCAATTCCAAATCCCTTCAAATCCAATTCAGTCCTACAAACCAAATGAGACCTTAGAGTCCCACGTTGGCTAGACTTGCACTCTCTCTTCAATGGATGTTGGAACCCCCCCCCCCCCCCTTCACGGGATATTTTAGAGGGTAATCTAATGGGGTTCCACATATCTCACAAGGTTACAGGCTTACAGTGACAAGGTCTACCATCGAGCAATGTTTGCCCGTCTAGCCTTCGTTGGAGGGGCGTGTGTTGAAGTCCCACAATGGCTAGACTTGGACACTTTCTCTTCAATATATGTTAGGAACCCCCCTTCTCTCCTTAAGGGGTTTTTTCGGAGAGTAATCTGATCGAGTTCCGCATATCATACATGATCAAGGGTTTTATTTGCAAAAATTTCTCATATGATGCTAAGGTGATTCATCATCATTAAAAGTATGAGCATCAGTTCCACATTTCATGGTTTTGTTTAAATTGCTCAGACACTTGCTTAGTCAACTAACAACTTGCTAGTTAGCTTCCTCCACTTGGAGCGGATTCTGCTTTTTAGATGCCATCGGTCAAAACCATTTTGAGAACCCCAAAAATGATAACAATCTGATTCTTTGCCTTTTACCAGTGATGATGAAAGTAGTCAAAATACCTCGTATACTTGCATTCTAGATCCAAGAACCTTTTAGGTTTCATCTATAAGAATCCCGAGACCAATGCAAGCATAATGAACAATGAACGTTCTACAAGATGCACAGAATCCTAGAACTTGTGGAGCACTAGATATCTCTATACCTATCAAGACCTTCTAGAGTGTTCTAGATCCTTGGAGAATGCATGTAACCGATAGGCACATATCTAGTTCCTGTGTGGCATATCCTGAATTGAAGAGCTGAGGATGCAACACTAGTCCATCATGTTCAAATACTTGAGTTCTACATCTATTACCAAAAAGAAATACATTTTTTGACTTTTAAATTAAATGTGGTACTTTTCGCCTTTTAAACTGATATGGGTTTCTATACTTTCTGTAGATACCTACATTGAACTTCATCAAAAAATGTACAAATTGAGAACTTCCTAGTTTTATAAGTTGCAAAATCCATATTAATTGTGTTTTAAATGCCAGGATTATTTGGATCACAAGAACATCCTTTCACTATAGTCAATCACATGTGATACTGTAGTCCATCACATGGGATACATATTGGAGTCCCACATCTGCTTAGACTTGGACCATTTCTACTATATATATGTTGGAACCTCCCCTTTCTGGCTAGCCCCCTCTCAACACCTAGAGACAATCTGTGTCCATCTAGCTTCTACTGGAGGGGGCGTGTTGGAGTCCCACATTGGCTAGACTTGGACCAATTCTTTTGTATATGTTGGGACCTTCCCTTGCTCCTCAAGGGCTCTTTTGGAGATTAATTTGAGCTTCCGCATATTTTCACAATACATATGTGATACTAAATCAGAGATGCGGGAAACCTTTGGCTTAACTGAGGTTGCTGGCAACCTCTGGCTCAACTGAGGTTGCGGGCCAAGTTGCCCACACATAGGTCTCTCACGTGTATTATCATATGTGATAAGGGTGTTCTCACGGTTTCGTAAATGAAATCGTTCTTGATTAAACCTCCACCGATTTGGATATCACATCTTTTTGGCGTCACTAGGGATTTGAAAGGGTCATGCACATCTCCACCCCCTCGTTCATAAAATTCGCAAACTCGTTTTGTTGTTAGAACTTTTAGAAAACGAAAACGTTGCAGTTTTCACGAGACAAATAAAGCATCCTTTTATTCATTTGCCATTCTTCTTTTAACTTGTATATTTTATGAAACATGACAACAGGAGGGATTGTGAAAGATACTCTTCGACCCGTTATACCCGAACGGTGTGACCCCGAATGGAGGAAGCTAATGGAGCAATGCTGGTCTGTGGACCCCACCATCCGGCCTTCGTTTACCGAAATCACAAATCGACTACGGACCATGTCTAAGACGCTCCAAGCAAACGCAGCGAGAAAAGGTTCACATGCCTAACTCTATCAATCGTGTTATATACTAGTAACTGCGTCACATCTATTCTATATGGTTTGTTCATCTTTTTGTTTTCTTGATTCTACATATGCATCTTGTCATTTGTTCATTCTTTTTCAACTGAAAACAGCGTCGTGTTAATAGCATCAAATTAGCTTTCGAATAGCATCGCCCATCGCTAATCCTTCGTAGTATCTAATTCCATTTTCGCTCCTCCTGCACAAACTATAATACTCATCGATGGATGTACATACAAACATACATTTATAAGTGTGCCGTTCTTTTTGTTTCGAAAGAGTGTAGCCATTTTTCGGTGTTCTACTTTTCATGTATATTTTGGGCAAGTGTTGTTTTTCGCACATGCGTTTTGCAAGCTGGGAGTCTTTATGGAAACATACGCTTTACTCTTTTGAGGTAAAAGACACCGGACATATTTGTGTACATCTCACCGTTTGGTTTTACTTTTCCTTGGAATAGAACACTGGTTGGTTGATGTAACTTGGCTTTTCGGAAATTGACCAAAATAGTCTACCTCTCCAACTAACATTCACTTTTTAGTCACTTTTATAACCAAATTTCCATTTTTAGCCGGTGTTTTTGCAAAGTCTTAAACCAGTTGCATAACATCTACTTTCAGATTAAAAAAAAATCTTTAATGTTAATCACACATATTATGCAAATCCTTTACGTAGATTATGCATATTATGCAGATTCTTTATGCAAATTACACAAAAAAAGATGCAATTTCAAAATCTAGTTTACACAAATGCGTAAAATATTTGCATAAACTCGGGCTAAAATGAGAATTCAATTGAAAAGTGACTAAAAAGTAAAATTGGTTGATGAAATTGACTACTTTGATTAATTTCGGCATAAACGCATGTACACCCATCTCAATTGCTTGAGTGAAATACTGTTTGAAACCATTACGATTTGGTTTTTGTTGTAATTACATTACCAGTGAAAATGTTTTATTAAGATCATCATATTAATATAACTCGTAGCTTTTCTGAAATTTGTCACTAAATTTGAAATAACAACGAATTTTTTTTATTTATTAATCTGGATATCCAACTCGCCATGCGAGTCGATTAATCTCAAGGCAACCACCCGCTTTGTAGGTAGCCCTGGAGGCATTGCATTTGAACCTCCGTGGGCACAAAGAGATTTTTATTCCTCGGATTTGAACCTGGGACTTCAAGGTACTTTTGACCTTTGGAGTCCAATGTCAAACCAATTAGGTACCACCCTTGTGGTTAACGAATAAATTTTTTAGGAAATCAGATTTGAGTAAACATATGAACATTAGGGTCATCAATTCTGGCTGTTATCTTCAGGCAGAGCCTCATGAGATTAGTCGATGTAGACACCAACCAACCGACTCATACATTCATGGTTAACAAAAAAAACCAATCATATTCGAATAAACATGTCATCAGGGATTTCTTTTTTGCTGTTATCTTAAGGACGTCATAGGATTAGTTGAGGTGAGAAAAACTTGCCCCGACACCACGTTAACAAAAAAATCTAATCATATTCAAATAAAGATATGAATATCAAATTGAAAATGAAATGATAACATAAGAAAAATGACATTTATAAGCCATTCTATTAAAGCATGAGATCATTATAAAATCATCATACTTAACATGACTAATTAATGTTCACATTCTTGGTTTAACTTTTAATAATGAAGTAGAAAAGGAAGTGGAACACAATGGAACATATCCATGATAGAAAATATCCAACCATTATTTTGATTCTTTACTAAATCTGTATAATCAGATAAAGATCCAGTAAAATTATATAACTATCAGTAACTGATTATTCAATTATTCTGTTTGATTTTTAAAGTTGTAGTAATGATTTAAGAACACCCATCTAAACATTTGTAAATAAAACAGTATTATATATACATACATATATATATATATATATATATATATATATATATATATATTAATTTGAAAGAAAATGGAAAGAAATGGATTGAAAATTGACATTCAAATTTGGTCTCCAAAGTAGATGGCTTTTTTCTTTTCCCACTAGAAATGAAGTCTTTTGACTCTAATCAAAAGGTTTATTTGGTGGGAATAAAATTTGGCAAGTCTTTATGGGAAGTGAAAATGAACCCAAAACTCCATTAAGCTTTTTATGATGGGTTTGAACCCAACTCAATGTACCACTTCATACCATGACCAACCATCTTCAACACTTGTTAGTCTTCAAATTAATGTCTATTCTTTATTTTTCAAGCTTCAAATAATAATAATAATACATCATTACCTTTAATATGTAGTTCAGTTGGTAAATGTGTGAATTGATTTTGTCAAAATACAAGACATGTCTCAGGTTCGATCCATGTAAGCTAGTCTTAGCTGTTGAATGAGCCAAAACAATGTCCTCTCACATTAGTGTTCTTGAAAGAAGGTTTCATGTGGGACTTGTTGGGGTTGTCAGTAATCAACTTTTTGTCCAAATAATATATTTTTAAATTTGCATGAAATGGTTCTACAATAATCATCATGTTACCTATTAATTTATAAAACAAGAAGTCTTGAATTTGATTATGTTATTATAATACTGGATGTTACATGAATACTCGTTATAGACTGTGTCAATCTCTTATTAGAAGAGTTATATTCGGATTGAATATACGTGACAACATTGGACTCTGACTTTTATGACTTACTCGACTGAACTGAATAGTATTTTTACGACACAAGAAAACAATAATACTCTTTATATGTAATAATTTTACATATAGTTTAATAAAAGTATTTATTTATTAATTAAATATCTCATTAAGCACTTAATTAGATACATGGATTTGGTAAACCAATGTGTTGAAGTCACTAAAAACCCATAGTTGGAGGAAAAGCTTGTAAGTGGTTTGCCAACATGTGTTGAAATGCTACTTATGACTAATGACTATATATATATATATATATATATATATATATATATATCACAACAATCATAAGCAAACCTAACCTCATCCTCACTTGTACCACCACCTTCATCAATTTGTTTTTATAATATATTATTTATTAAGAAATTTTATGTTTAAAATTCAGATGTTATATAGACCCTTTTTTATATCAGAATCATATTAAAGTATACATTAAGAGTGTAAAAAGTGGAATTTTGAGGTTTATATATGTGTGAAAGAAAAAAATAATAGGTATAGATGCATTTAACAATATATATATGAGTACATTTAGGGGGAATTAACTAAAAATAGTAATTTTCAGGCTTTGGATTTATCTCATAGCCAATTTATCTCCCAATATTTCAAAATTTTCATTATCTCTGTAAGTAGCAGCTTTTCAACCCACAAAAGGGGTCAAAGTGTAAAAAAAGTTTCTGAATATGGTTCGCAAATAAAAGGACTACATCTCTAAATTAGTCCCAGTACTTCCGCAAGTGGCAGAAGTGCCACTTGCGACCTTTATCTAATTTACAGATTTGGTTCCTGCACTTACGGACCATGTTCAGAAACTTTTTTTTTTTTTTTACAGAGGTAGTGATATTTTTAAACTTTGGAAAGAAAAATAGCTGAGAGATGAATCTACGTGTAACTAACTGCAGATAAACATAATTGAATATATGATAAATATCTCATTTTAAATATAAAATTTAAAAAAAAATTAGGATAATTATTGACTTCTAACAAAATACTTGATCATTATCTTTATAAAAAAAATTATATTATTAAATCAAAATAAAATTTTGAATTAAAAAAATACACACATAAAAAAAAATAGTTAGTTTGATACTAATATTAATAATTTTTTTCAATTTTTTATGATATCTTCATACGTATATTTTATTCAAAAACAAAAACATTATTTTTTTTCTTCTTAAAACCATATAAAACCGACATCGATTGAGACAAAAAAAGAAATAAAATGAAACATTAAAATCGATATGTATCTCGCTACATTATGCTGATATCATTCTAATTTCTATTAATTTCCCGTGTATTTAACCCACCCAAAAATTTATTAGGACTCTTATTCATGTACTTTTTAAGACAAAAAGGTTGCTATCATTCTATTTTATTTTATTTCGCTGTATTTGTCGTTATTTGGGTAAAAGTATTCATTTTTGTAAATACAAGATATTTTTAGATTTTTTAAGCTTAATGATTGTTTTGATATAGGACGTATAATCTATACTATATTATAAAGCAATTGATAAAGACTTTTAAAAACTATTTTTTATGCATTAAGTACTGTTTATTGATGCATATTACTTAAAATTTAAGATTACAAGTAAATTATGCATAAATACAATTGATTAAAGCTCCATGTTCGAATTCGTGTAACTAACTACACATAAACATAACCAAATAGAGGATAAACATCTCATGTTAAATATAAAAAATCTAAAATATAATTTGGATAATCATTGAGTTTTAACAAAATACTTAATTATTATCTTTATAAAAAGTTATAATATTAAACTAAAAATAAAAAAATGAATTTAAAAAATTAAACAAAAAACAAGAAATTTTAAATTATTAGTTTGATACTAATATCAATATATATTTTAAAATTTTATGATATCTTCATATTTATATTTTGTTAAAAAATAAAAACATTATTGTTTTCTCAAAACCACATAAAACCATATTATAACATCGACTGAGACAAAAAAAAATGAAACACTAAAATCGAAAAGTACCCCGTTGCATTGCACGAGTACCCTTCTAGTAATTATTAAAGGGATTCACTTCAATTTTTTTACATCTTTGTGGTCACTTTTTCCTAGATTTAATAAAACAATAACATGACTTGGGATCATGTGAGACCAGTCTGTTTTTGTGAGACTTATGAGACTACTTTTTTATACTTGAAACTTCATAGCAAAACGCTATGAAGGTAACCTTCACAGTGTTTTTGCTGTGAAGGTCTGACTTTTTTTTTTACCTTCATAGCGTCTTGCTATGAAATTTCAAGTGTAAAAAAGTGATTTTTTGGTCTTACCCAGTCAAAAACCAAAGGACGCAAATTCATAAAATCGATTTTGATTGGGTAAAAAACATTTTCTTTTTATAAAGGACGAAAACCCATCTTATTTAACAGAGATTTTAACGACCGTTAGAGGGATTGTCCAAATCCGGGTATTTTTACTAACCACGACGACTATCTTCTGATTTCGAAATTACTGGAACGAAAACTGTTATTTTTTGACAATCCAGAAGAACCAAAATTTGTAGTTTAATAAAAAAAATAACAAAATGTAATTTTGATGTTTTAAACAATTAAGCATATGTTTTAACATG